ACTCATCTTGAATCAAAAGTTTAAGGATAATATGTTGTCATTCAAGTTTTTGACAGATTTGTGCTTGAAGGTTGTCAAGAGCATGTACATAATTATGGTCTTATAAAGTTACCAAAAATTCAAGATAGTTACATCATGTCTGAAAGATGTAGCAAAACACAATTTAAGGTCTTGACACACCCTAAATACATGTACCATCCTTACCTTTTAATAGTGCCATTTGGAAATACCAAGAGGTCCACCCTTCACCATTTTTCATTTCTAAGGTTTGGTTCAAGTATAATAACGTCTAGTTAGGCTCAAATCAATGGAAGTCCTGCCCATGATTGGTGTTTGATTGTTGGTCATTCAGGAGGAACAGAAACAGTTGCAACAGGACTCCAGAACAGTGAACTGATCCTAGTCATCACCAGGGATACCCCGGAACACTATCCCTGCCCATTTGTTTAGGGGGGGCCTGTATTGTTTATCGCTGATGACCCCTGTCTATGGTATGAACATTTTGATGGCTCGTTCTTGGTTGACTGAAGTAAACTACCGGGCGTAGTTTATATAGGAGAGGGGATGAGTGCGTCAAGGTTGGTTAGAGCCATTTTTCATTATTTTTTGTGGGGGGTTGAGATCTGTTTACTCCACAACTTCTGTACTACCCTGCAGTAAGTGGACTGGAGGTTGGTTAAAGGTGGATGGCTGTCAGATTTTCTGAGGGGTATGTGGTAGAATAGCTACACTCAAAGGCTTATCATGAGTTATGACTGTGTTTAGGGGTTGTTACTTTATTCCTATCATCAACATTTTTCACTAAACTGTCATAGCTGTCTTCTTAGCAAACTCTAACCACATTTATTTTTACCTTTCTTGCTATGTTTGTGACTTAAGTTGGACTGAGATTAAGACAGTAGGATTGACATAATGCGGGTAACACAGACGTTGTTGTTTACTCACCCCAATGCTGTGTAAACATCGCCGTGGAAACCCAGGGGTCAGATGTCGAGTCGTATGTGCTCAGGTAGAAATTGTCACGGTAGTCGTGACAAACATTAGACACTTAGAAATAAGGTAACGTCTGAAGGCCAGAACAACATTTCTTGTATGAAATCTTGGTTGTATGTAGACCCAGCAAGTATAAGGGGCCCTTAGCCAATCAGACGACATCCAGGCAAATGACACTGTTAATTATGAGAGTTATAATTTTGGGTACTGTAATGTCACAAAGTTGAGTCAGACATGGTTTGTCAAGTTTTAACACCAGCAGGTCTGTCGAAGTTTAGTATCTACAAATATGGAGCAAAAGGTATCATCATCAACTCACCTCATAGTTCACACCAGCCGTCAATCCCTATACAGCCATGCAGTTTATGACGAAGAGTGGTTCAAGTGCTTCAGCACATCAAAGTCTGGACCAAGTTGGCTTCAGTGTCCATTTGACTATATGCAAGACAAGGAACAGTTTTACTCTAAATTTCAAATACAATGATTATAATGTAGTACTGATCTGTCTAAGGTATCTAAGTAAGAAATTTTAATATCAATAATATTGGTTTCTTCTACCATTGTGGAAAAATGTCCTCAGGTTATTTTTATATGAACTGGCATACAGGTGCCGAGGCTTGCATGTGGCCCTCCCTCGCCCAATACTTACACTCAACACTGTGCAAGGGTAATACTCTCCTCTCTCTTGATCTCTGTCAGCACCATCTTCAAGTTGTTCTACCTGTACTGGAGCCAGCTCTGAATTGAAAACCTTAAAATCTTTCCAATACATTAACTTGTCCTTCTAATTGGTGGTTTTGATTGGCCAGTTTTCTTCAGCGTTGTGTTGTTTCTGCTGTTGCCACGACAACTGTGCCTTGCTTAATCCACAGCTTTGGAGAATTAGAAAAGCAAAATCAATTTAGCTGCCTGCTCAAGATCGTTAGTTCTAATGGTAGGTGGCTCAACAATGGAGGTAATGTAGTAGGAAGTGTTTTGGCTTTTGTAATAATGGAGTTACCAAGTAGATGAATTGGAGAGGAAAATGATTCTATCTATTATGTTGTTTAGTTCTAGAAAAGTGCTTTAATTACCACCAAAGTTGTTTCAGTATTGGATAACCGGTAAACTGTCCCAGCTACCTGAGCACAGATTTTTGAGGTCCTAGAGTTTAAGTCTTAAGGCTCAGAGCAGCTTACAGTTAGGCCAAGATTCGAACCCACAACCTTCAACTCCAGAAGCAGGATCACTCACTGCGAATAGCCTCCCCTCTGAAGGACTGCCTGTAATCGTTCCTTGAAAGAGAATTAAGGACTTCACAACACCAACAGCAGGCCGGGATTGGAACCCACAACCCTCTGATCCAGAAGGAAGATTTACCTGGTCAACAAAACATTGAGGATGGATTGAGCTTGACATTCCTGCCTCACAAAAGGACTGCAAGCCCTAAGCTACCAGTTGGAGGAGAGGTCCAAACTCTAACAGATTGGGATTCAAACTCACATTGTGGACTCCAGACCAAGAGTAATTTTGCTTGAAGAAGAGTCAATTTTTGACACCATGGCTGGGAGGTGGAGGCAGCTTCATATGACGTCCTCAGGACTAAGACTGCACAGCAGTTCTGCCAGATCAACACCTAGACCATCCAGCGGGAGCTCCAGATTATCATTTAGAGCTTTGTGAGGAGATTTTCTTGATTTGTTTGCTGGGAATGTTAAATGTTTCAAGATGAGAATTTGGTTAGGGCATTTCCTACATGGTCTTCCTGAAACAACAGAAAACCTCATGTCAAATTGAACATGTAGTCTAGGTCTTCAGTATCAACTCTAGAATAGTTTACTATAAAATCGTTCTGAAGTTCTCATGCAGAAAACAGTAGACAGACACTTACATACATTGTGCAGAATAAACAGGTTCATTGACCAGCCAAATTACATGATAAAGACAATAGACAGTACATACCTTTCCCGGTAGCATTATGACAGGTGAGCAAAAACAGCCAGAATTCCATCCCCTAACCTCCTAGTCCTTTAGCAGGTCACTAATCACTGAACTACACAGAAAATACAGACTTCTCTAGCTGGTGCTACACGGTCTCTCATTGTCAGGGACTGATTGGGCCTTCTATCTATAGGGGTCTGATGATTTGGAGGGCTGGACAGGCTACATGTCTTCATCACACTGACAACAGTTCTGTGACAAACATTCATTTATCATGCAAAAGCCAATCTCATGTTCCATTCACTCAGAAATCCAGCAGCTAGAAAGATTTTATTGTGCCTGGAATTGATGAGACAGGTGGCCTTTAGGAACCTTTGTGGTGTAACTATTGTAGAAGTCCTGCATTTTTAATGCGGGCAGAATTCCGCACCCTGTACGCAAAAGAATCTCCAACAAACACTGAGAAAAGCTGTCAATTTACCTTAGCTTTAGTTCATAAAGCCGCCTCTATATGATGGAGAATCCAAACGGAAGACGTAGAAGTCGCTCACGGCAACGGTCGCTGTCGCGCGGTCGCCTCTCACGGGCAGGTTCAACAGACCTGCACGGCTCGCCCGTACTCGGCTGCTCCGACGACTCGGAGTTCAGGATGTTTCTGAAGAGTGCGAGGGACGCGGAGGTGTATTACGATAAGCTGGAGGTTTACCATGCAGACCCTAACAGGTGGATGTCTTTCTGCTTAAGAACTTCTTGCCATTTAAGACAAGGATCCTCCTGTGTTCTTGGGCTCAGGTGGAGACTTATAGCTATATAGGTGGTGCCTTGATTGTTCATTGGTCACTTTTCTTGTATGTGGTACATAATGGCAAAGTAACATTTGTTGTGAGTTAATTCACTCTGCAAATATTGAGCTTTCAAAGCCAACAGTGCAACCTTTCCTGGGTGGAAGCCTTCGCTAAGAGACTTAACACGTTGCACGAGAGAAAGGAGCACTTTGCTGTAAAAACATCACGGTGCAAAAGGAAAACACAGGCATTGTGGGTTCAGCAGTGAAATCCGTGCAGAGCGGAGCGCGGCATGACCAGCTCTTGTTCTAGCCATGGTATTAGTCTCTACGTCAACAAGGTTTCTGTTGGCTTTATCACCACGCCACCTAAGAATTATGTTTGGATTGAGAGCTCTTAGAGACTGGTTCTCGGTCACCAGCATTTTACAGTTGCTGGGAAGCAAATGAACTCCCAGCCATTTTGTAGTCTGCATCATATTCTATTGTGTAATCCACTGTGGCAAGGTGTCCTCATGATTTTCCACAAAATGTGGCTTTTCGAGTGATCGTAGGAACTTGGGACCAAGAGGAGTTTGGAGCATGGAGTTACTTTCTTTGTAGCTGCACTTTGGAAGTGCCATGCCTGCATTCATGGCTTGAGATCCAAGTTTTGGAATTTTCTACAATAGTTGGAGCATAATTCAGTCACCAAATCTCTCTGATAACACTAGTGGTCAATACTGGAGGACTTTTGCATGAGGCTGGTGTCTTGCTAGCAGCGGATTGGAAGTTCCAGAATGGCAGGCTCATTTCTCAGTGCTCCCTCGGAGAAGGCAGCCCGGCGTGTGTCCTGGGCACCTGCGACAGAGCAACACCTCCTAGACACCGGTCACCCCATGGTCAAACCGAAATCAGTACCCTTACGAAGGGCCTCCATCATGCCAACATCTTTTGCACCACTGGTGCCTCTGCCACCGTTTCAGCGGGAAAGGTAGCAATCTGTCAGCAGCACTTCCTGGCAATGTGTTATGTTTTGGACTCAAAAGGACTACTAACAATGTAGACTCGCTATACTCTGGGAGAGGCTGTCATCACTTGTTAACAGAAGAAGTCAAGAATGGAAACCATTCTCAATTTTTGGGTTGTAGGTTATTAGCTCTGTCCTATAGGAACGTTTAAGCTTTCATGATGATATCGCTATGTTATGTGTCTGATGTTTCCCTGCATGTTTGGTCAGTTATGGCCAACGTGACCTGGGCTCAATGTCTTTTTCTTATTTGCGAATGAAGAATGATTTTACTGTACTGTCTGTGTTCCACAGAGCTGCATCGGTGGCCGGCAGCGTGCTTGGTTCAGACACCAAGAAGGGGAAACTGCCGCTGTGGCCTGAGTGGAACGACAATGATGTCAACTCTGAGAAATGGGATGCCTCGCACAAGGGCAAAGACAAGGAGAAGGGCAAGAGCCCAAGTCTGGTAAGTAGTTCTATCTCTGTTCATTAAAGACTGGATTATTTTGCTGTCCTTCCTTATGTATGGTTTTCTAAATACAATGTATTGTATGATAACTATAAGACTTACAACTTTTCATGCTGCCCAGGAGAGAGGAAAGCGTAGCCCTGTACATGTAAGTTATGTAAACATGTTAGACCTACCAGTAGTCACAATCTGGAACAATCTTTCCAGAAATTTCCAGTGAGACATTCTTATGAAATATCATATACAAAGGTGACTGTGGATTGATAAGTTTATTTTCCTACGAGTAAGCAATCTAATGAACTTATAATTTGCAATAATTCATGGAGATGTTAGAATATGTTCATCTTGAGGCACCCTCAATTACAGTCTACTTTACAGTCTACTTCTGTTCCTTCCAGCATTTCTTTGAGGACCCCGAGGGAAAAGTGGACCTGCCCATTTCATTACGGGACAGAGTCAAGGAGTGGAAGAGACCATTTGAGTTGGTGGGGGAGGGAAAGCCTGCTACAGTGGTAGAAAAAGAGGATGGCTTTGACCTGGTGGCCAACAGTGCACATTTACATGACAGTGAGGTGAGTGTCAGTTTGCATAGTATAATATCAGTTTTTACAAGCTGACCTAAAAACTACAAATTTTCCATAAGTACACAATACTACATGTAGTTACAAATGTGTAGTTCTTGAAAGCTTGTGTGTTAATGTGCAATTATAAGGTCAGTCCACATGGCTCTCTAGCAGACTTGAACAATATAGAAATCCCCCTAACAATTTCCCTCTGAACTGCAGCTGATGCGTTGGATCATCAGCCAGATCATGGCGCTGTGGAAAATGACGGAGAATAAGACTCCGCCGACCGACGCGGGGAGCCGTGCGGACCCCAACGTTCCGGACGGGCGCTCATGGCGACCGTGGGACCACATCTACTCCCTCTGTAAGGCTGGGAAGGGACCACATCAGCCACTGTACAACGCACACGGGAAATATGTCATCAAACTCTACTGGATGGTGGGTTTTCTACATGGTTCTATGGATGACATTCTCACACTTAGGAAGTGTTCAAATTGGCACAGAAGGCAATGATGCTATTCCTTTGGTAACAATCTGCTAGAAATTTAAAAACTGGGAACCTTTCCTAAATTCACCACCAAAAATGAACTTCTGTTATGACTGATTTAACACTCTTCACAAATCAGATTTGCAATCTCTATGAAATCTAACCAATTACAAGTCAACTTTTCGTTGCTAGAGGAAAGAGGGAAAATTTACCAAACTGTGTTATGTTATTATATTGATCCTGACCATTGTTCCCATTACCAAGAAAAAAAGCCTGTAACTCTGCTGATTGCTTTATTCTGTTCCCCAGGGCTGCTGGCGTAAGCTGATCGTTGACGACACGTTACCGTTTGACGGGGAGGGAAACATGCTGCTGCCGTCCACCACCATTCTGGGCGAGCTGTGGCCAATGTTACTCACCAAGGCTATCGTCAAGATTGTCTCACTAGAGTAAGTACAGGGTTGAACTGTGCTTTACGCATCACACAGTAGAAAGTTAAGCAACTGCTGATTTGTTGAAAACTCACCACAGAATTTACTAAATTGCACTCATGCTTTACATGCTTTTACATAATGTAAATTATACATATGGAACATTTTGAAACCGGGTTTTTGTTGTTTTGTAGCTACAATGGAGGGCTGCAGTCCTGTGAGTTTGGTGAGGCCAGTATCATCCACTGTCTGACAGGCTGGCTGCCTGAAACCATCCCACTACAGTAAGTATGCTAATGTATTAGTAATACTGGATTTTACCTGGAAGAAATCTTAATTACCTGTCCTTGGTGCTGAACACCATCCACATATCCACACATTAGAATATATGATTGATTTATCTGGAGTTCATCCTGTTAACGAATCACTTAGTATTAAACACTTTTCAATCCCATGCGATGTATTTAGGGTAAAAATATCTTAACCTGCATCCATTGTGATAAGAAAAGAGGAAAAGATATTTTATCAGTTTTTGTCTGCATGAAAATAAGTTATTATTTATGTATCCCCAGATATGGCCACCAGGACAAGGTGTGGTTGTTGCTGAAGGATGTTCTCCCAGAGTTCACCCTCCCGGAGCCGCCGCCCCCTGCGGAGCCGGCAGGACAGCAGCCCGACCTGGGCACCAGTGCCGCGTCCGTGGACACCGCCATCGCGCCCAGCCGGAAAGCCGAGACACGGCAGGAGTCGGAGGCTCTGTCCAGGGTGGACAGTGTGAGGAAGGATGATCCAAAGAGTGGGCAGACTAGCAAAGGTACGGGTGGGGGATGGATGGGTGGGAGGTGGTTGTGCTTTTGCCATGATTGTTTACCTACTTGTAAACTGATTAGAATTATTGCAAGTCTTCATTTTGTGTGTGGATGGTGTTCAGCACCAAGGACAGGTTTATTTGTGTGTGGACAGTATTCAGCAAGGACAGGCTTGTGTGTGTGTGTGTGGATGGTGTTCAGCACCAAGGACAGGTCTGTTTTTTGTGTACAGTGTATGTCACCCCAGGACAAAAACCAGAAACAGTGACTTGTCATAACTACAAGTTTCATTCTAGAAACAAGAACACAGTTAAATATTAGAAATTCACCCTTGCCTAGAATTGCACTAGAATGGAAATTGTTATTGTGAACAGAAATATTATATATCGCCTCTTTGCCAGACAGTTTTGAACCAGCAGTGTAAGGTATACGTCCAGGTTTTGGGTGTCACAAACTGATGGTAGTGTAGTACAACCAGCCATTTCCATATTATCTGTGAAGTTGATGTGTTGTGCCATTTGTACATGTATGCTGTGTCCTCCTGTTTACTGACTGGATCATCTGTCCTCATTGTTACAGCCGAGAAAGGAGAGAAGGGTGGGAAAGAACAAAAGGAAGACAAGAAAAAGAAAGAAGGTGAAGGGAAGGATCGGGAGAAAAGTAAGTCAGCGGGTCGGTCGCATTCTGCAGTTCACTCCGCCAAAGCCACTGATGCGGACAGTAAGTCGTTGTTTTTCGCTCCGTCGACAAGCCCTCGCGCACGCAACTCCAGCTCACGGCAAGGCTGCGCCAGGTGGACTGTAGATGTATCTTAGCAAAATTTGGACAACTGTCCATTTTTATACATCTTGTACAAAATATCAATTCAAACCATAGAGCTTTGTTTGCTTCTTTCTATCTTTACTTACCTCTGAGGGAACTCCGGTTAGAAAATCACAAGAGACCAACATCATTTTTTCATTTCATCACAACTATCACATACTCTCTCATTTTGTAATAAATCTACAAGGAGCTCTTACTCTTAGGACTTTTCTGGAACGAGGATATCCTAAGCTTATCAGAATCTTGAAGGATTCTCAGTCCACCTGACTTGCAGACCGTGCTCGTGTGCTGGCAGTCTTGGCGTGGCGGGGGCTTGTCCGTCGGACTGGCGTGCCGTGTGCTGATTGGCTGGCGTGCAGGACCCTGCATGCTGATTGGCTGGCATGCACGACTCACATGACTCACCCTGCGGATTGCTGTGGCTCTGGCGTGTGGAAGTTTCACTCACAGGAGCACTCGATTAATGCACTAAATGGACTTAATTCATGGTACATTCAGGCTTTGGTGTACAATGTACATGTAATCAACAGTGGCTGCACAAAACAGATTTTGGCATCCTTTAGAAACTCCAAGTCCAATAAAGGACAGAAGAAAGACATTTGAAAGCAAGAAAATTATAATTTCTTTGTTCTGCAGCTTATAATGACGTCACACCAAAGCCTATGTATGGTTGTTTCTTAATCATTGTGTTGGCTGCACTAATAAAGTTTCAGGGTGGGAGAGAGACCTGTACGTATGTTTTTTTCTGTGTGCTCTCTCCCTATCTTGGAATTCAGGAAAATTGGGGTCATTTGTTGGGGCTAACACATATACTTGATTCTGGGGGTTTAATTCATTTTGCTGTATTCTAATTAATTTACATGGAATTTGCTTGAGGCTTTCTGCTTGGTGATTCTTCAAAATGGGGTGGCTATGGGGAACTTCACTGGTTCTAGGCCTAAGGCCATGTTGATTTGATTATATGGATGACATCCGCGCGCGCATGAATTTTCGGCCGTTTCCAAAAAAAAAAAGTTTTCAACCATACTGTAAATCGTACAAAACAGTTGCAAAATGAGCAAAAATATACTGTAAGTTACAAAAAAATAAGTAAAAACTATACCAATGTCGTAGGATGCCAAAATCAAACGAAAACAGACGAAATTGTAAGGAAATGAACTTGAAGATTAGATTATTCGCCAAACCATATTCTGTCCCATTTGTTCAACCCTCATGACCACATAGATTTCATAATGAAAACAACTTTTTTTTTTTGCAAAACTTTTCTTTTATTCGCACGCGCGCATCAGTTTTGGGGCTCCCGGAGGATGTCATCCATATAATCAAATCAACATGGCCTAAACGTAAGATACCATGTAAAAATATGAAACATTAAATAAACTATCATCTGTTATAAATGGTCTGGCATTTTTTACACTTTAGACTGTCATTACTATTTTTGTTGACAAAAAATGCACAAATTTTAGTGGTTTGTTTAGTGTTGGAGTATTTTTTAGATTTGAGATTATTTTCTGTGTTCTAACAGTAACAGAAATACCTGTAACACTGATCACTCTAGATTTGGACAGTCATTCTCCAAAATCTTAGCAACATCATTCATGTATTGGAAGCCATGTCTAACTTTAATCCTGTCATTTGAACAAACATGCTTCCCTTCATATCACAAGATCTTTATTTCAGTTTTAACTGTAGAGTTTCAACTGTAGAGTTCTGTAATCTTTTGACCTCATCCCAAATTGGAAGTGACTGGTGTTACATCATTAGATTTTGTATAACTGTACCATGGCTGTTCCAGATGCGGCTGCACAGGCGTCAGGCCCAGTAGTGCCTGAGAAACCAGAGATTCTGGTGTTTGTGACCTACACCCACCCACCCAAGGTGCCCAGAGTCTCCGCACTGGGAGAAATGGTCAGTAACCCATATGTCACATCTACCTCACATGTACACCATATGCTCATCCCATGTGTGCCCTTGACCCAAAATGATAATATCACCAACACACATGAAAAACATTATCCACACACAGGTAAACACACCTGTCTATGATGCTGCCGCTAAACACACCTGTCTTTGGTGCTGAACACAACACTATTCACACATATTAGCATACCTGTCCTTGGTGCTGAACACCATCCACTCAGACTAACATACCTGTACCTTGTTATTGATAAACAGTATCCACATAGGCAAACAGACCTGTCCTTGGTGCTGAACACCATCCACTCACAGGCAAACATACTTGTGTACGTATTGAAACTTGTCCCTGGTGCAGAACACCATCCACTCCCCTATCCCATGTTCTGTTCTGAGGTGAACATCTATGCTCAGCACGTCTCCAACCATTATATACAATACCAAAAAGATGCACATAATGAACATAAACTGTGTAGTCTATACAGGAATTAGTATGGATTTGTTTGCCAGTATTTTATTTTGCAGGTAATAGAACTGCACTTTATAGTCATAATAAAGAAAATCCTCCATCTTGTTTGCCCCTCAGGCGGATGCGTCGGAGAAACTTCGGCAGTCGGGCCTGTCCCACATCCACCCCCACCCCCTGCTGCTGACCCAGACCCGCTCCTGCCCCCTGGTCGCACCCCCTCCCCCCGTCGTCGTCCCCCGCTGGAAAACCATCCGGCAGAAGAAGAAGAAATCCCTGCCAACAGATGAGCCTCAAGGTGTGTAAAGTCTTTTATACAATAACACTGTTTAAAAGTTCTTTTAGTACAGCAACCATTAGCTCATTAGCCTGGTTACCAAACCTATTTTACAAATGTAGCTCACCTATTTTAGCTCCTACATCCTCTCCTATTTGCGGAGAGGATGTAGGACTCGGGAGCTACAGGTTATCACAAAGAAGTACAGCAGAGCCTTTCTGTTAGATGGTTTAGATGATACTGGTAGGATGTACAAGGCTTAGATGTCATGAGTTTTTACCTGAAAGACTGAAGAAGAAGAATTCTCTATCAATGGACTAGCGTCTAATTGTGTATGTTATTCCATCCTGTAGAAATTTGGAGCATTTCCAGATATTTTCAAAAAGACTGACAAATCATTTTTTGCAGAGCCACAAGAGAAGAAGCCAGAGCAGTTCATTGAAGTGTGTTCCCCGTACATCAACTACAAAGTCAGCCCCATTCCCATCCCCAGTGATACGTAAGTATGCCTTATGGTGTCAACATTTGGATTAATCATTATAATGTTTCTGAATGGAGACAAATGGTACATCGTGATCATGATATTTCTCTATCAGTTTAAAGGAAAAGGAACATTTTCTTCTTTTACTGCATTTCCTATCTAGCTTAAACAGCTTCATTTCTAGGCAAAAAGGCTTGTCTGAATATCCTGAAATTTAGTTTCTTTATTATCTAATACTTCCTTACACTCGTGAATGATGGATTGACTATCTTTTGACACTCTGTTATTTTAGCCACCGTCCCAAGTCCATGTTACGGAGAGGAGACACCCGTCCCAGCACTGCCAGCATGCCTGAGGTGAATGAGGATGAGGAAAATGCTCCAGAAAAACCCAGCGGTCTGGAACAGAACGTAGTGAAGGAACAGGAACCACCTCCTAAACCTGAACCCGAACCAGAGGTAGGCTGAAGGCATTTCTTATTCTGTGAAATAAATTTTCAACAACTACCGAATACATTTGGAGAAAAGTGTTTTGAAACTGAAAGCTAGATCAAGCCTCTTAGGTTAGCTTTACAGTTAGTTACATCTTATCTGTTTGTTTTGTCGAAACAGAAGCCTGCCCCAACACCAGCCAAAACTGAAGCTCCACCAGCAGAGAAGAAGGGAGGGAAAGAGAAGGAAAAGGAGAAAAGGCCACTGAGTCGTGCCTCAAGTAACCTGAACAAGGAAGAGGTGAGACAACATTAAGACATTGGCACTTCAGATATGTTAGACTCATATTGTTTGGCTGAGATCCATCTAGAAATAGCAATGTAAATTAAAAGTCACCATTTTTTCTTCAACAGATTTTAGATTGCTCCCAGACAAATTACACCATTACCCTTTTCATTTCTTCAGGAAAAAAGTCGGAAGGGAAGCGCGTCCACCTCCAAGTCTAAGGAAGCTGAGAAGGACAAAGCCTTGAGTGCCAGCTCAGGGAGCAAGGGGGCCAAAACTAAAGGTAGGACAAGATTGTCAGCCACTGGTATCTTACATGAGTGACTGATGACATGAATGAACAAATAATCAAATGAAATGTTGTCAAGTTGTTACAATTAAACATTCCAATCGTCATGGCAGGTTTGGATTATCTTGACTGTTCAAATCCTTTTCAAATCCTGACAACAACAGCTCATAAACCATAAGACCTGTTTGTCTACCTATGAAAAGACACAACTACACAACACTGTCAACATTCTTTTAAGCAAGTGAAGATTGGCCCTGGTATTGTCTTATCTTAAAAACTAAGAGAGCCAGAAAACAACTTTACAGTAACTGTTACAGCAATTAATTCAATCAACAAACCTGTTTGTCCCCAGATGAGAAGACAGAGGACACCACAGTGTTTGACTCAGAGGCTGCTAACGGTGACACAGCAGAGGGAGAGGGGGAGGACAGCCCACCGGTGGAGGAGTCACCGGCTCAGGACCAGCCTCCGCCTCTCAAGGAAGCCTGGATGGACTTTGAAGACTTCTGCAAATGCTTCAAGTAATAGTCTGATAACATGATAGAGATAGACTTGAAGTGTTATATCTCCCAAACAGGAAAGATGGATTCAAATCTTCAAATGAATGCTTCTAAGTCATGATCATTACAAAATTCTGAAGTACACTTTTTTTATGTCTCCCATGTATGTGAAAGCGCTGCTTGTCAAGTACAGGCCCCAATCAAAGACACTATATCCTGGGGAATCTGAGTACTAGTATCTAGGTACATTGAATCAGTACATTAACAGACTGTATATACATGTACTGTACATGGAAGTACATAGAGCCAAAGCATCTTCCCTTCTTGACACAGCCATACATAAGATCTGTCTGTATGCTAGAATGATATTTTGTGATACATTTTTTCTCACAATTATTACATTATATTGAATTTCTTTTAGGACGTTATACCTGTTCCACAAGCCCAACACCTACCTGTGTAACCGTACGGTAACCGACATCAAGGTGGGTCAAGGGTCAGATCTAAAGGTGCGTAGTGTGGTGAAGGTTAAGTGTTCCTGTGTGCTGTTTGAGGGTTGCTGTTCTTGTTGGTTTGCACAATAAATTAATCCTGACTCTGATCAGCAATGGTTCGTGCAGCTTGCACCCTAACCCCTGACAATCTGCACTGATACGATCACTTTTTGCTGTGCAGTGAATTTTTCTCCGTGTTTGCTATTACTTTTTTGTTTGTTTGGCTGATCACTTTTGGTGTGAAAAAGTTTAGCCATTTCACGGCACCATATCTTTCCAATTTATGTTACCGCACTGTTTTGACATGTTCTTCACAGTTTGTTCTACTTAAACGAAAAATCAAAACTTGAATCAAAAACAAAAAAGTAACAAATGGAAATTGAGATAAAAAGTCCAAAAATATTACTTCACAAGTAAGGTAAAGGATGTTATTTTCACTCTTTTCTCCTGCATCTGTTTTTATTTTGCTCACAAAAAACAACACTTTTCTCCACACAGAGAGAGCCCTCTCCCACCAAGAAGTCTGGGTTGCAGACTCCTGCGGCTGCCCAACAGTCGACTATGGCTGCCAACACTCCTAAGGGTGGGGCTAGCCCGGCTCCGCAGCACTCTGTGGTGCAGTTGATTGAGGATCAGACTCCATACTACCTGTGTATCCTTTACTTAAAACAATTCTGTCATTGACCAAGAATTGTTGAACAAATCAATAACCTTATCACTCTTCTTACTAGCCTGGGTGCCATCGTGATTTTTTCAAGCGTTGCATAGCAAAAATCCGGATGGTACCCAGACTATCTTGAAGTTCCTACTAGGAAAGTCACAATACTACACCATACTTTAAAATTTACAATTTATGTATCTCATGCCATTGTCGAGACCTGTGTATATATATATATATATATCACACACATAATGTTTTACAATCATGCACATGAATCATGCTTCTTTCATATAACACGTGCATAGTATATGACGTGAATAGAATAGTATGTATGGTAGGTTATGTATCAGTGGTACAGTAACAGAATGTTTGACAACAACAGTATGAATCCTTAACCCACACACCAGTTGTGGACAACCTGCAGCCCACAGAGATCGTGGTCAGTTTCTCCTCCCTGTCCTTCTGGCGCGAGCAGCCCACCCCTGACCGATCCTCCCTCACCAACATCAAGGAGAAGGATGAGAAGAAAGCTGACGACAGCACGACCGCGAGCATCGCCGAGGGCGCCAGCACGGGCTCCGTGAACAAGGAGCAGCGTATCGTTCCGCCGGGTCTGCTGGTGGCAGAGCCATACTCGTGGAAGAGTCTGGTTACCGGGCAACCGGTGCTGCGGATACGGTCAACAGCCACACGGGCAGCAGTGCTCACTCTTCCTGAAGGGTGAGGAGACAAGATACTTTTGAGCCCGATTTACAAAGCACCGCGCGTCGCGTCTTAAGCGTCAGATATTTTGAGTGCGTAAACAAGTTCGCCGTTCTTCGATTTTCTGTGGCACACCCTGATGTGCCACACAAAAATTGTTTACATCGCTTTATGTTTTTCTTGCTGTATTCTCCAACAGACGCCATGTCCTGCGGTTTATAGTGTCTGCTCCTCTGGGTTTCCACATCCACCTGTGCTCCACGGTTCAGTTTGTGTTTGGGGAGGAGGAACAGGTCATGCCACACCTCACCAAGGTAAGACTGAAGGACTGAGCAGTACAGCTTATAATCACACAAGGGATTCAAGTAGTAAATACTATAACTTTGTTATAGCAATAAGAAAATGTGAACTAAATGAAACACTTTACTAATAATTCTTTCTGTAACAAATGTCACATTTGTTTTGAAATTACACATTCAAGAAATTTAGAACCTCTAGGAAACTTTTAAGAAACAAATCAGGTGCCTATGATCATGGAAAAGAATAATAATAAAAACTTAACAGAAATTAGTCACAGTCCTTTTTTATGACATGCCATTGAAAATCATGTCTTTTACTTGTTACTCAGGAGAGCTGCAGGTTTGTTGACCAGGCTGTTTCCTTGATGCAAGCTCTGGGAAGCATCATCCACTGCTTCAATGACCCGGTGGGCCTGGATGAGGCCAGGAAAAGCCTGGTGAAGGCACACTGTCCCTACCAACCAGACAACGTGGCTGCTAGTCTCCAGCACTTCCAGGTAAGGCAAACATACGTAGCTGAAGGAATGATTAAATGCATAACAGACAAGGGAAGGAGAAGCCTAGTGAAGGAATCCTTTTCCTACCAGCCACACAATGTTGCAGCACATTCAAGTAACACACAAATGCACAAATAGTAGTGATTAAAACTGAATGACTGAGTGAATTTATGACACAAGATCAAGGCATACAATACACGTACATACTACTTAGACAACAGATTCTCCTTTTTTTCTCAAGTCATATTTCATATGTCAAAACATATTTCTTAATGAAGTTGAGTAAAAAACTGCCACAATAACTAAACAAACCCTGTGCCCTGTTTCCTTGTTCCTCCCCAGTTGTTTTACCAGGCCCTGTACGCTGCTTTCCGGACTGCCCTGGAAGGTCAGGTGACTCCGGAGATCAGCTTTGCGTTCCGAGCGATGAACATGGACGCTGCCACGCGGGACATCCTGGGGCCTGCTCAGGCTAGGACAGGTACTTCTTTTCACAAGAGTTTGTTTGTTTTCCTCGTTCCCTCTGTCCTTATCCATCAACAAATAAATGTTAAAATTCTCTCCTCTGCTCCTTATGGCATGACATCAGGTAACCCAAATGTCTTAATAGTTGATAAATAGTATCGTTAGTACACCATGCTGCATATGGTTACTAAGGTTACTAAGCTTGCATGTTGTGCCAACTGGTGTTTAAAATGGGGCTTGATTATATCTGAATCAACAGGTGGTGTTGAAGGTAAATGCATTTGTTCAAACTTCAATGACAATGACAGTGTAGTGCGTTTTAAAGGGTCTCTGAGGTGAAATCAATTATACAGAATTAAAATCAACTCATCTAACACAGGGAAAAGTTTGGAGCCCATAGGAGCGATATAAAGCATGTAAGAGCACCTCAGTGTCCCTTTAGAGACCATGTTAGGTTGCTGCCTGGCTTGGTGACTAAGCTTTGCCATATAGATTTGTGCGCTGACAAGTTTGACTTCTGCAGGAATCAGCCACAGACCAGGCACGCATATGTCCCATGGCAGTAGTAGTCTGGGTGAGTTGTACCTGGTCACAACCAGTTAGAACTGGTTAGAACCAGTCAGAACTGGTGCATGGTGGTGGTAACCGGCCAGGACCGGTCCTAAGTGGTGATGGGAGCATGTTTAACACTAACACACCTTGAAGTTCTCTTTTACAGCATGACTTTTTTTCCCACACTTCATTGACACCCCTTTTGCTGCAGTCAGTTGCTTTACATTGTCACAATCTACAGGGAAAATAATCAACAACCTTTGATATGACATGATCTAACAAGCAACCTGCACGCACACGTATATGTAAACTCTTTCACGTAACATTTTCCCTAACATCGCAGTCTGTCTTACATGTGTAACACACAATATTTGGCAGACTGCTGTTACAGTAGTGGTAAACGACACATCTGTAGCAAATAAAACATATCACAATGCCGGTCAGTTTTGTAACTTTTTTAAAAGTCCAAATTTCTAGGGTGCCAAGCCGATTTGAAGTATTCCCTTTCAAATTGGTAAATATGTATTACTATGATCATGATTTTTCTATCATTGCATTATGTATACAATGTCTAAATAAAAAGTTTCCAAAAATGACTGGTATTATCTGTTCACAATGACTAACAAAACTTCAGAAAGATCACCTGCTCATATCTAATATCTGACTCCTATAATGTCTAATAAGATGTGTGAAACTTTCTGTCGTGTTCGAATCCAAACCAATGTCTTCCCATCATCCACCAGGGTCAGGGCGGGCAAAGTCTCCACGCGGTCGCCACCGGCGTAAGTCGCCTCTAACGTTGCTATGCACGTCAGTCACCGGGTTCTAACGTTGCCACGCACGTCAATCACCCACTAGTGTCACCTGATTGGTTAAACTGCACACTGCATGACTCCACTTGTAAATCGTAGTGATGATTAGTTAACTTAAACGATAGTTTAGGTGTGGTTGGAAGATTTTTGCCCGTTTCATCCTAACTTTTATACCTTGAGACAACTTGTATGAAAATTATGACCAATATACTGTAGCCAAGAAATTCTCCCTGAGTGTGTTATTTTGTCACTATCAAATTATCATAATTCTGCCTAATTTTTAAGGCAAAAATGGGCAAACGTCTTGTCAACTTCAAAGCTGTGTATAAAGACTGTGTATAAATTGTAAATGCATGCCTTTTGTCTGGTTAATGATATGTGATTATTATCTTCAAGCAGAATTGCAGACTGAGGGAAAATACTACACTTTAGTCTAGTATAATCTTGTTTGATCTTTCCCATATTGTCCTCTTGCTACATAGCCTTTTCCCTGCCCAAGTGCTGATAGAAAGAGTTACAGTTACTCTATAATAATTGTAACTGATTCAGCAGTTGGAAGGAAAAAGGTTGAAATAGAGCAGAGGTTTTGTAGATATTTAACAGATGTATATGACTGTATGCATGTAAAGTATTAAATGTATTAATTCATCCTCTTAGGCCTCTGTTACCTATTGAATTCTATAAAGAGATCTTGCCAATACATGCCATCACATCTTCATTTGTGAAGCTACTTGAATATTCTATGATAAATTTCTTAAACTTTAATTTGCAATTCATCTGTATATGCCAGTATGTTGATATCAATATCTTTGCATGCCAACCTAGGAAATTCATGAAATTACATCCACAGCAAACTATTGAGAGAAAGTCAACAGGAGAATCACTCAAAGAATAACTTGTACATAATTATAATGTATGACATTGTCTACAACAACTGGTCACAAGATTCAATAAGAAATCTGTTACAGTTTCATTTAAAGCACAAAACTTGCAAAAAGCTTGCAGGCAGCTGCTTTTTTTATGATTTGCTGCATTTTCTCTTTCCACTTCCTCTTGGTTTCTGGTTGAATCACACTTTGGTTTCTTTTCTTTTATTTTGTTTTTAAAGGGCTGACAGTTATTAACACTGCTGACCATTAACATTGCATGACTTTTTTTGTGCATTTCTGCTTTTTTTTTTATTTCTCGCACCTGTCGCATTCTTCAGAGCCCCTCCCAAGCTTCAGACATGACTCCAAAGGTTTGTGTTTGTCCACCTTCACATCTTAAAGAAAAACGCGCAAATCTTGAAGATTTGTCAGATAGAAGATTTTACTTTGTACATGTACAATGTACAAAGGATCATTTTCATCTGAGAACTGCTTCACCATTTGTAACCTAAACCAGAGATAATGCATGCAGCATATTTATTTCTCCATAAAAGTCCTGAGTAGACTTAGACATAATACAGATAAATGACAAATAACAGGTGTATTATAACATGGTGCAACATGGTGATTATTTGTAATGGTCTAAATATGATCCTTAACGGACGTACATGTACATTCGATTGATACCCTGTAAGTCCTGTGCTTTTGAATATAGAATTATAGCAAAAATGTTGTTTTGTTTCAGTTTCAATATTGCTGACATCAATAACTTGCAAACAATCTGCATGCCTTGATTTACAGAATACAGATGCTGCTGTAATACATCAATGATAGAGCATTCTTTCCTCCATTGTTGCATTCATTCATTCAATCATTCAGGTGGCAGATATGATTGCAGATGCAGGTTTGACAGTAAAATACGTCTATTCAGACATGTTGTTTAATGTGTTGTTATCTCCGTTTCCCCCACAGAGGGTGCTAAGGATGTGCCTGAGGCCTGGAACAACAGGTAACTGTTCATCTCCTTTGACTTGATATTTCCTGTAAGCCAGTAAGACCTTGTAAAGCAGTCTAGTAAAAGGTTTTCTTTAATATTACTGTGCACTGATTCAGCGTAAGAATTTTGCCTGACAGGGTAGACAAAGCTAGACAACTCTTTTGGGCCAAATACTTTCTTTGAAAATTTGCGATGACAATATATGTTGGCATGACCTAATTCTCCTTATTTTGCAGGGAGCCAACTTTGGAAGAACATGATGCTGTGACAAAGATCCAGTGTCACTGGAGGGGAACATATGTGCGCAAACTCAAGAAGGCACAGACTCCTGGTGGGTTTTGTAATCATGTCCTTTTCTTCTTATTGTTCTTTTCTGAATGTTTCACACCTCTCTAGGAAGCAACATTGATCGAATGGTTCCACCCCCTAGGTACTGATGAGAACTCCAAGGCCAGAGAAGAGCTACAGAAAGCTTGGGCTATCCTGGAACCCAACCTGGAGACCATCGGACTCACTCTGCTCAAGTAAGAAACTCTTTGTGATCTGAGACTGAAACACTGTTGATGTCACTCTTCTTGAATATTTGTCAGACCAAAGTTGGCCTAGAGTCACTTTTTTTTGCAGTCTCGCTTTCCAAAGTATGCCCTTGCAAAGTTTGCAATCCTCAGAGAGCTGACATTTTGCTTGAAAATGAGATACGGTAGCGACAGTTTCAAAATTTCCAAAAACAAAAAAAATTAACTGTTTTGGGTGTTTTGTCAAATCTATAGCATATACTAACTGTTTTTTTTTGTCTCCAGGGACATGTTTAAGCAGGACCCTGAGCTGATGACCCGCTATCCGTTCCACCAGGACGAATGGAACAAAATCTCCTACGCCGACTATCACGGCACCTTTGCAGACCAACCTGCCAACACCTGGTTTGTTGTCTTCAGGTGGGTTACCTGGCTTAGGGTTGGAAGAAACCCTTCATTTTATATCTAACATCTTGTAAATAACTTAATAATAAGGTATACACAGTCAGGTATACTTTATTCCTTGTCACAGACTGTGCATACAAAATGCATACTGTGTCATACAAACCCAATTGAAAGCATGCTTCCTTGATGGAGGTGATAGAACAATTTCAGTATCATGTTTGAGTTGGGTTGGAGTTTAGTATTAGTATGGTGAGGGTAGTACATTGAAATTCAGAGTAAGGCTCTGATGTAGGGATACTAGTAGTACATATGTAGGCATCCTTTTATCACAAAAGATGTATGGAAATCTAATACAAATATGCCAAAAGAAGTTACCAGTATTATGGCCCTAGCTTCTACTAACTTAAAGACAACCTTGTATCTTTTTTTCCTAATGCAGAGATGTATTTTATGTGGAGGAAGAGTCGTTGGTAGTGCCCAAACTGTACACCCCTGTAACAACGTGTATGCTGAGGGTGGTGAATAACGACACACGAGAGGATGTGCCCAGGGTCTTCCAGCGTGTTGCTCCACATGTCTACAAGAAGAACAAGGTAACAACTTGACATTTCCTATGTGTTTTATTTTGCTTTTATTTTTAGTTTTACTTCAGTGTCCAAAAGTTTTAGATGCAATTATATTTGTCCCTTCAAATGCCATATCATGTTGGAATGAGGAGCTTCCCTGAAATTTGGAAAATGACATATTTTCTAAAAATAAAGTCACCTTGTCCAGTATTTTATAGCCTTTGAGATGTTATCTTTTTTCTTTTTCCAGACTGGCTACACTTTTGTCGCAGAGGCAAGGGCAGGAGACCTACCGTTGCCTGGCAACAAGTGGCGGATGCGTCTGATTGGCTCATCCAGCCCACTGCCTGCACCGGTGAAGGAGACTCTGACAACAAACTTCGCAGTAAAAGAACTGAGGGACTACTACATGCCAAATAAGGACTGCATCATGTTCAGGTGAGGAACTCTGTACTGTACCAAATAAGGTGCTACATGCCAAGTAAGGATGGCATGTGCATCATGTACAGGTGAAACAGCACGTCGATAGAACGTACTGCACGATGCAAAACATCTCATTGTAAGGTCATAGTCGCGCATATGTTAACAACCCGTCTGTAGTTTCCAATTGTCATGTTGGAATAGATATTGTCTGCAACAGACAAAATTCTGATGCAACATTGACCAAACTTCCAACAAAAACTGTGGAAAATCAGGGTTTTGCGCAGGCGCATTATGTTCTGCCGACGTGCTAGGTGAAACAGCCTTAATTAGTTTTTTGAAAGGTAAGACTGTTAATTCTGTAATAAGTTACATCTTCAATGTGCCAGCTGAATGGAAAATTTTAAAGTTTGTAGATCTCAGTAAAGAGTGGTGAAGCCTTAATCCTGTTACGTTTTTCCCCACAGGTATGCAGTGAAAGTGACAGCAGATCACCTGGTGACCTTGCAGCTGTCGACCTCCAAACCTGACGTGTACATCCAGCTGCAGGTGCTGGACCACGAGGAGGAGGTCGTGTCAACCCAGGGCAAAGGTCACGCCGTCATCCCCGCCTTCGTGTTCCAGAAGGACTGGCAGCCGGAGGACAGGCCAAGCAGTCGGCAATGTACGGCAGAAAAAACAAAACTATACATAGTAAATAGTTACAAGTGTTGATTAGTCATATGTAAGGGTTCACTATTTCTGTTTACTGAAGGAAAACATATTGTTTTTGCTCTGTCTCCTCTTCTTCTTCTCCAAACGAATAAGGTCAATGACCTGAACCAGACATCTGTCACCATGGTAACTGAAGCTAATCCATTGAAAGCCCTTGTTTGACTTGTCCTCTCTAGCCCAGACAGCAGCTCCATCTGGCCCCATGAAGAAGGCCACCAGTAAGGAGAGTGTGGCGGCAGACAAGAAGAAACGCACCAGCTCAGCTGGCAGCCGATCTTCAGTAAGTCTTAGTGTAACATACAAATGTATTGTGACTTATCAGGAGATCATCTATATAGCTATTCTGCACTGCTTACAGTAAACTTGTTTGTTTGTTTGTTTGTTTGTTTGTTTGTTTATGTGTGAAAAAGGTGGAGAAGATTAGATCTGTGGCAAGGTTTATTCAGGGATATGTACGTAGTTTTACCAGAGAAACCCAAGTAGCAAGTGCACATATTTGACCTTCACAAGCGCACTGACCTTGACAATGTCCTGCCCCCCCCTCAGCGTGGCAGCCGACATGCCTCCCCAGTACGGAGTGATGATGATACTGAAGCAAGTAGAAAGGTATGGCAAGCAAGTTTTCAACTTTCAGGACTTGCTACAGTAACTTTAAATTTTGCCATTTATGCCAATTTTTTTACATCTCTTAACATGAAAACTCTTACTGACTTTATTACTGTATTTCATCTTATGCTCTTCAAGTTTATACCAACGTGTGGGGCATAGGTTTGAAGGTTCTATCTCCTTCTTTTATTTCAGCCACACAAGTACATTCTGCAGGCAGTGGTCCTGAGGAAAAGCTGGCCTCTCTCCACCAGTCAGTGGGCCTTTGTCAACCAGCTGAAGGAACTGGAGAAAACAGAACTCAAAAGTATGTAATCTCTGACCCCTATCCCTGGCACTGAACACAATCTGAATACCATCCACACACAGTCAATGCCTGTCCTTGGTGCTGAACACCATCCACAAAGAGCCAGTGCCTGTTCTTGGTGCTGAACACCATTCACACAAAGGCAGACACACTTGTCTCTAGAGGTGAACACTATCCACACACATGCAGTGCCTTTCCTTGGTACTGAACACCAATCACAAACAGACAAGCATACTTGTCCCTACAGCTGAACACCATCCACACACAGGCAGTGCCTGTCCTTGGTACTGAACACCATCCACACACAGGCAGACATACCATGTCCTTGGTGCTACAGACAAATCTCCCTGTCCTCGGTGCTGAAAACCATCCACACACAGTTAACCTTGTCTGTCTCCTGGTATAACAGCTTAAGGAAGTTAATATATTGAAACAAAATTGCAGTATCCAACAACACCATGTACTGATTTTCTAAGGTTTCTGAGGTTTCCTGTGTCTTATCAAAAGTACCTTGCATTTTGATAGATATAGATAACATGATTACCTTGTTCACAAACATTTGTGATACCTATAACTGTACATAAGGTTCTAGTCCTGGGATGAAACCTGAGTATGTTCTACTGTAGGATAACTCCTCTGTCTCTGACTGGGTAGTTCCTGTAGTTTGTAACGACCCTTTTGCCATGTGTCACACCTAAACCAACAGAACCTGCCGAGTTGGAGTCAGCGGTCAGGTCAGAGGTCAGGTCGGCATGTAGGTCTGCCTCCAGCAGAGGTAAGAAGGGCAAAGGTCAAAGGACTCCGAGCACCACCGATAGAGGTCATCAGTTAGGTCACACAAACTTGAATTCATGGATAACATTCCTTGGACAGTAAAGATCTGACATAGATCTGAGGAGAAATATATCGTATGTTATGAAATATAACATCATTTCTTGACAATTTCAGTCAACTTCTGACATTCTATTTGTCAACTAATATTCCTCAAGGGCTGTAAAGTTTAAGCAACTTTTGATTGGGGTATGGAGCTTTCTTTTAAAGTAAATGAGCCAAGTTTCAGAGTAGGCAAGGATGTTATCCATGCAATAAAGACAGTGTGGCCTAACGTAACAAACGCATCACTCTAACTCCCACATCATCAGCATGCTGTGTATATTAAGCACATCAACAAGCTGAATGCATGGTCAATAACATCTTTTATCACTGATGTATTCAGAAATGAAATTCGTTAAGTGGACTTATCCTCATGCTTGCAGCAAGAACAAATTGTCATTGCAGCACAATGAATATCAATCATTTAATAGATCAATAATCCTTATAGCACTGTCTCATCCAACAGGCTGAAAAAAATACTTTAAAATGGGGACAAAATGTTCTTATCCATTGAGGAAGTCCGCTTTTACTGTTTCATTTCTTTAACATATATCCTTTATTTCAAACATGTTACAACTGATGCAGCAGCTTTTTCTCTCTAATAGGTCGGCGCATGCATGTCTACAGCAATGTATATCTGCATGTGAATTCTCCAAGCATGGGCAAACATATTCCTATTGCTGTAATAACTTGATGGGTTCCTAATAAGAGTTTGTGTCTTAGATGCTGTCCCAGGGAAGGACAGATCCGTGTCTCCTCCCCGCAGTGAGAAGTCGGCCATCAGTAAGGCAGGAGGGGGGAAGAAGGGGAAGGATAAGGACAAGGGGAAGGGGGACAAGGGCGAGAAGGCTGCTTCAAGACCTCCGTCTGTGGTGAGTGTCATGGTTTGGTTATCTGTATCTATTAGTATGTGTTGGCCTTTTCTGAAGATAAACATCATTGAAACTAGTTACTTTTAAACATTTGGAAGGACACAATGAGGAGGTTAGAGCCTGTGAGAACTTTGGCTTGATAAAGAGGAAAGGATGCCCTTTTAAATGAGCGAGTTGAACTGCAATAGGGTGTACAGTTGAAAGGTAGAAAGTGACGTTTAATTTACGGTGACATTGTTTTTGTTCAAATCTAAATGTTTAATATGTGTGACACATGGTAAATAATGTTTTGGTAGAGTTAATCTATCTGGCCCTGTGATACCATGACTATACTTTCTTAATGTTGTTTGTCTATTTTGTCACTCCAGCAATTTGACACTACCAAGCCATACTGGATGTTGAGGCTTGTGAGTGATGGCACTGCTGCTGTAAGTACACCAGTCCTGTTTGTGCACCTAACTTTGTTTTTACATGGAACACTGTACCATGGTCAATAAAACATACAAGTATGGCTGACACTAGCCCTGTCTTTGACATGACCCCCCCCCCCCTCTTTGTCAAGAGAATCTGAAACATATTTTCCTGTTGATTTATGTATATGTGGTGTGCTAACATAGACCAAGCTAACTGATTACTATGTGTTGGAAGCTGTGACGACTGGTCTTCATAATGACACAGACTCCTGAGCTCCTATTGGACTAATAGTCCTATTGGTAGTTCCAGGAATGAGAATGGTTCTCTTGAGTTAGAGGTGTATGGCTACAAACTCTCAGGAAGGAGGCTCAATCAGCTGTTGATGGCAAGAAATTGTGTAACTTAGGTCATGGCTTGAAATACTGGGTGCATGTGCACCTTAGTGCACCCAAATTTGGAGCTGTGCACCCAATTGTTTTATGTGGGTGCACCAGTGCAACCAAATATTTTCGTGGGTTTACGTATGATGTTAAATGTATTGTAGTATACAGCATATTCTTAACATTTAACTTAAGTTAGAAAAATAATAAAATCATTGTAATAACACTTTCTTAAGAAATAAAACATTAGTAGTTTTTGCTGACATTCTTACTTTATCTTATATGGTGCACCCAAAAAATCTTTTGTGCACCCAATTTTTTAGGCTGGGTACATCAGTGCACCTATTCTCAAAAATGAATTTCGAGCCCTGTAGGTGTTAACTGAGTCGTGTCCTGTGTTTGTTAGGAGGAGCTGGAAGTGAAGAAGGACACGGAACGCCAGGAGGAGATCAAAGCCATGAAGCAGGCGTGGGAGGCAGCCGAGCCCGGGCGCGCCGTCAAAGCCATGCAGTCCCGGCTCCAGTTCCTCAACAAGCGCAGGAAAACGGGAATGCCAGACAAGGAGAATGTGTTGGAGGAGGATACAGCAGGGAGTGTGATCACGACTGATGGGGCCAGTGAAGGTAAATCTATCTCATTCCTTCCTTCATTCCTTCACTCTTGCTTTCTCCTTCATTCATGCCTTTCTTCCCAATCTATCCATTCTATGTTTAGAAAATCTGATTAGTCACTAGCATTTTGATGCTATATAACCACTGTCACTGTGTCCCAGCAAAACTGCAAAATTGGTGTGTTACACTGCCTGCTATCTGTCCTTGGTGTTGAATACTTTCCTTACATCCTCTATGATTACAGTAGTGTCAGCCTTTTTTCAAACCACATTGTGTTTTTCATGCAGTTATACTGATTGCCTAGTACAGATACCTGTCCTTGTTGCTGAATACCTTCCATACATACATTCATTGATTGTGATGATCAATATACATGTACTTTTTCATGCATAACAAGTCTTTAACTATACCCGACTGTGTGTTTGTGCAGTAACAGCCCAGTCACGTGCAACCCCAGCCCCCTCGGAGATTGACCAGCCTGTTGTCAGTGAAGTTTTCTCTGTTGAGCCACCAAGACCGCCAACACCAAAGGATGCCGTTCCACCCGTGGACAGGACGCCATTCATTAAGTGAGTTGACAGAACTTTTGGTGTTTTTGTTATCATTGAACTTCAAGGTTCATTGCTAAATACAATTCCTGCTGTGTAATTATTGATAAGAGAGTGTAAACCTACACCAGGGCAGGATTAAGAATGAGAAACTTCCCTTAACTTACAATTTCAGAAGAATTTTTTTGAAAATTCTATAGTATTCCTCTGTCTAGATCCAGAACAATCACATTTTTCCTGATGATTTATCATACAAATTAAAAAATGCCAGTAAAATAATCATAACCTGCTTACATGACTCTCACACACCTTGTCTCATGTAATACACGCTTGCAACTGACAGACTTCACCCTGCTCCTCTTACAGGAAAGCGACAGGACCGCCCAAGTTGATAGATGAGGAGGAGATGGTACGGAGGCAGCAGGAGAGGATGGAGGAGATCAGGAAGTTCAGGGCGTTCCGTGAAGACGTCTTGGAGCGACGGGAGGCTGACAGGCTGGAGAGGAACCGGCTCAAGGAGAGGCAGCTGCAGGAGTGCGAGGAGATGCAGGTGATTGGTCCATTCCTAGCCAATCAGGATGCGGGGCTTGTATTTTTAAATTAGTTGTTGTGGGATGGTTGGCATATTCTGACCAATCAGGAGACTGGACTCCTGGGCTTCCATTTTTAAACTACCGTTAGAGATGTTGGCAGGTGATGAACTTATTTTGGACCAACCAGGTGGCAAAACTCCTGTGCTTCTTATTCAAAGTAGAAATGGTGGTTATTTGAAAGAGCATCATAATTCATAATTCTTCTATCCCATTGTATCTATATTTCTGTCATGTTGAAACTTGTTATTGAAACCTGTCAAATGTCTTACATCTATCAATTTAGCTGTGTTTCTGTAACATCTGTACATCTTGTGCTGTTCTCAGGCTGCCTTGGACCGAGCTCGTAACGCCATTAACACCCCACGGGAAGCCTACAGGCAGAAGTTCCTGGAAGTGGAGAGGAGAAAGCGGGAGGCAGAGGAAGCTGCAGAAGCAGCCAAGATGGCTGAGATGGAGAAATCTCCATCCCCGAAGGGCAAGGGGAGCGAGAAGGGGAAGAGTGCTGGGAAAAAGGGGAAGAAATGATCAATGTAAATCTTTACTCTGTGCACAAATTCTGCTTTAGTTTTATTCAGAGCACAACTTTATGTATGTTCAATTCAGCACTGAATTCTTCTGTATATATTTTCTGACATGATTAGCTGGTTTAGAAACAGCTAGTTCAATAGACTGCTATCACCTAACCAACATCCCAACATTGTACATTTTAAAATAAAACAGGCTAAAAGTGACATTTTGTTTTACAGCTATGAGTGCTGTAGTGGCTGGAAAATATGTATTCCCTGGTTGATGGTTGTACAATAATTGAATATTTTATAAATTGTTCAAAATCTCTAAATGTAATTTTCTCAGTGTACGAAATGTATGAATATGGTGTAAACTACTTCAAATTCATGAAGAAATATGACTGTATATTTTTTACCGGTGTGTCCTTTCCCAACTTTTTTGCACATGAGTGTCATTAAAGTCTTATTTTCAAGAACAGTGTGTGTTTCTTCCCATAAACAGAACATCATTAGTCCATTTTAAGGGATACAAAAAGAAGAACAATAGATTTGAATGAATGAGAGAACGAATGAATATGGATGGATGGATGGATGGATGGATGGATGGATGGATGGATGGATGGATGGATGGATGGATGGATGGATGGATGGATGGATTAATGAAAAAAACAAATGAACATAAAACATGGCCAAGAGTATCTATGATAAGCGATAAGTCTGTTGTGTATCAAATTATTTGCCCCCAACTATGGTAGACTTGCTCTTTTCATTCAGCCCCAACTAGAGCCTGTATAGAGACTATATTGAACACTCAGGTCCTCAAGCTGAACTGCAATGCCAACAGATGTCATGAATATGCATACTGAAGTGGGCTCAGCCATGGGGAAAATAGGCTCCTTATGCATTGAGGAGGCAAAACTATGCTCTTAGGCCCTTTTGACTTACTGTAACTTTCCTAATAATGCAGTATCAAAAATCTACTACCACCCTGAACATTAGGCTACCTGTAATTATGAAACAATTGAGGAAAATCTAGTTCAGCACCTGGAATCCAAACTAACAAATGGTTTTGCTCTGGCTAGCAAATCCTTGAGGGAGGATGACCACACTTGAACACAAATGCGGTACAATGTACAGTACTGTGAGTTGTTTTGTGGTATCTGACCTCGTTGTAGGGAAAGTGTCATTCTGAATACAGACTGTTATTGTTCTTATCACTTTTAGCTATTCTGGCCAGACAAAAGCATGTTTCAGAATTGTTCAATTCAATCAAAGGGGTTCTGTTAACATTTACAGTAACACACTGTTCCCATGTTTTGCACACTCACACATTTCAAAGCTTTCCCTTACTGTCTCTCTCTTGGTTGTTCTGGGCTCAGTTTTGTACTAAAAGTGATTGAAGTAATGGGTATAGAGAGAATAATAGTGTGATGAACAATAGCCTAGAGCAGGGTGTGGCTGTACAACAGGATTTTCACTGGCGGTTTTGGCAACCTCCCAAAATAATGATTTTGCCAACTCCCAACTGTGGTTTCAAACATTTCCAATCCGGTTTCTTTTCTCAGATGTGGAACTTTAGCCAAAATACAGAAGAAGACAAGAACAGAGTTTGATTACCAGCATTCATTTTTGAAACAGAATAATTCTTACCAATCATATAAGATTGGTATGGACAGAATAGAATTAACCTTGCGACGAATTTGCTCTATAGTACAGGAATATGTTATCAGCAGATACGGTCTGAAAACTACTGAAGTTGTTTACCTGAAGACACTTAAAGACGTAACCAAAGATCAATGAGCCTTGAAGTATCCTCAAGTAGGGCTCTGTTTAAACTCCTCGGTATTGTGGTACTTGATTTTAGTGCATGGTCTGTGCTGAGGTGAATTCATAATGACTTTCTGGATTAATTTTGGTCAAGACAGCACCCTGATGCCTTAGCATTAATGAAAAATTCATAGCAAGCTCTCTCCCAAGGGATGATTGCAAATGGTAAAGAAAGAAGATTGTATATAATTATACAGTAGTGTGAAATATCAAAGGTGACATCAATTTTAAGGATTAATGTATAAAACTGGGCCTGTTGGGTTTTGCTACTTCTTTGTAAGTAGGGGAAGACCAGATGTCCCACTTTTTTTTCTATAACAGGCGTTTGTTTTGTCTGTTTACTCCTGAATCTATTGTCTGGTGTCGTGCAGCAAAACCCGCTGCACTGGTCCTTGTATAACTGCCTGAATTGAAGTGAATAACGATCGACTTTCCCCCATATTATATGATCAGCACAATTTCACAGTGGATGGAAAACAAAGTACACAAAGCGATATCTAATATGGCCCCCTTGTTCAATTGGTCACGGTCGGCTGGTCTAAATGCCCAAGTACTGAAACTCTATTCGATCCTGCAGAGTTGAATTGCAGTATGAGACGACCACCTTTAACCCAAAGTACAGGCTTGAGCAACAAAGAACAACTTCTTGGTCAGACGTCACAAAAACCAAGAGGCTGCTACTCACAGGTGTGTGCAGTCCATAGAGGGAGGGGGGCACACAGTGCAGTAAGCATGGCTACAGCCTTTTGCCACACTGTAAAAGAGACCGTTGCTTCAGTTACATGTATTATATTTCCCTTCCGCACATGACAGAAAACCTTTGTTTTTTTCAGATTCACTTGTCGTGTAGAACACTAAGCAGTTTGTTTCGCGATGGACAGGGAACAGTCAAACTGGTCTTAAAAATTTGGACTCTCAAAATTCTGAACCCGTCAAGTAGAATATCTATTTTTTCACTATATCCATATATGCATGGTACATAAAAGGATGTCACAATATGACATGCACTTTCAGATGACATGCAAAACTGTTGATGCTGTAACAAGATAAGTGTCTGACTTCCAAGCTGGTGCCTTTTAAATCTTCAAAATAACTTTGAAAAGATGTGACTGAGGCTTAAAGCCTTAAATAAGGATGTGAGGATAAAGTCCCAACATTTTCAAAAGGACAGACTGCGTCCCAGAGCCTATGTGATCAGGATAGCTATACCAGCTTCCTCTGGCCAGCTTAGGCATCCAGACTGGCACCATTTTTAATCTAATTTTCTGAACATAAAGGGCAAAGAAAAGGCAAAGCTTGGTTTGTGGCCTTTAGCTCATAATATGTTTATCTTTAACCAAGGAAACAATGCTAGCGGTTACAAAATTTACATACCTTGACATAATCTAATTTTGCAGGGCCACATGGTAACAATTTTGGGTGGAAAGTAAATAGGCTGAGCATTTCTCTGGCCTAACACAGAACATAAATGGAAGATAATAAGTAACAGTTTGACAACGGTCTCAATGCCACATTTCAGGTTTTTATTTTCTTAAACTGTTGAATACAAGTCCTCTTTTTCTAAACTTTGTAAGTGCACTTAAGTTAAGTTCTTCACGGTTTGGTACAACTTTAACTCAGTCTGTACATGCTGCAGAAGTCTCTACAATAATCTCAGCACCGGTGTCTAGTTGTGAAATAAAACATAACAGGATGTTCTCTAGGTTAACAGTAAATGTACAAATCATTCAAGGGAAATGCATAACAGCCACTGAACTTTACCAATCATTTCAAAACATGAAGTACTCCTGCATACAGAGCTTTCATCTGCTATTTCCAGGTATCTCAATTCCACTTGAAGTTATTTACAGGAAAAAAATTGTGGCACAGTGCACGATTTGAGTCCCAACAATTTCTAAACTGCACATCTGGAATTTGTATACGTGGGATTTCTTCTGCAGAATTATCAAGTCACCTGATGGATAAAGTTAATGACTGCTAATGTTCTGAGTGTGCCCAACCCAACATTATTATGAACACAGCTTCTGTAACAACTACAAACACTTGGCAAGAGCCCGAGTGGGCATAGACGTATGAATCTTTTGAAGTTAAACGCTTGTTGAATTATTTACATTTATAACAATGCCAACCTTGTGGTTTGCCAAAACAAATCAACACCCTAAGAGCATCGACAAACATGGCCAAGTGTTTACATAAACATTGATCATCCTGGTACAGTTTTCCAACAAATTTTCCACATCCAGAAAGAAGCTCTAGACAAAACGTGTTTCCAAAATACATCTCAAGTTATTGCCAAAAGTATAAACCGTTTCACATCAATGACCTTTAAAGTTGTAGCTTAGAAAATAAAAGTATATGTACTTCTTGACATTACAACTGCCTCTGGGCACATGTAAATATCTACACAAATCTGGCTTTTTTGTTGTTTTTATGGCTCACAATCAATTTCTTCACCTGTCTCACAGTCACAGTTTTACATCCTTCTCTTTTCCTACTATTTATAGGACAGCACCACAGATACTAACCATCCTTTAAGTTACAATAAAATACTATATTTTTACATTTTCCTTCTGTAACAAATCTAACAATGTTTTGTTACACATTATGGCTCATTTTGCATTTTTCACACTTCCAACTTATCATCATTCTCATAACCCGTTTGCTATCACCAAAAAATAGAATTTAAATACTTTAGTTATATCTTTTTGTCTTTTACAATGCATTGTCCTGATGTTACACTGCGGTGTGCACTGTCACCCCTTTAGCTGAGCCACTTGCATGATGACTGGCGTGATGTTTCACCGGAACGTTGCCTGGAGGATGGTGGTACAGCAAAACGTTCGACTTTTTCTTCGTTCCGAACCTCCTGTTGCAAAAGTTCTGCCACGATTCCATTGTCTTGGCGCTACAGATCCAGAGAGATGTCCCGAAACACCCCACGAGAAGGAGGAACGCAATCTTCACACAGTACACAGCTACCAGAGGGATGGAGCTAGAAAGTCTACAGTCCACACTGTTGTTACAGGGGATGGATTGGGCAGCCATGGTCCAAGTGGACATGTTTTGCTGTTCGTAGAAGTAACAGGCGACCACGCATGTAGCTGGAACTGTGTAGAAGACGGAGAAGATGCCGATTCTACTCATGAGTTTTTCGAGTCTCTCCGTACTGTTTCCTCCGTGCCGCATCACTTTTCTTATCCGGAACAGGTTCACGAATCCGGCCAGGATGAAACAGGTACCAAGGATCAGGTAGGTGAAGAGTGGCGCGAGCACAAACCAGGTCAAAGCGGTTCGATCCTGGTTCCCGACGTAGCAAAGTCCAGTCAGTTCGTCCCCGTCCACACGTCTCAAAGTCAAGACCACGATGGTCTTGACTGCAGGCACTGCCCAGGCTGCCAGATGGAAGTAGCTGCTGTGGGCTTCAATGGCTTCTTGTCCCCACTTGAGTCCTGCTGCTAGGAACCAGGTCATGGTGAGTATAACCCACCACAGGGAGCTGGCCATGCCAAAAAAGTACAGGATCAGGAACACGATCGTGCACCCCGTGCTTTCTAGTCCTTCCTGGATCAGGTATGGTTCCCCTCTGTCCATATCGCAGGAGATGGCTTCTCGGCCGAGTCCAAGACGCAAGATGAACCCGATTGAGTAAAAGAAGTAGCAAACAGCCATGAAGATAATGGGTCTTTCTGGGTACCTGAATCTTCGAGAGTCTATCATGAAAGTCAAGATGACTACAGAAGTGGAAACCACGCAGACGACGGACCAAATCCCCATCCAGATCTCCACGAATTCCTTGTCCTGTCGACTGAAGAAGACGTCTATGGAGGCGTTACACCTGGGGGCACAGACGCCCGACTTTTCGACGAAGAGGAACTTGGCGGGGTTCGGGCACTTCTGCCTCGGGCTCGGCGTGCTGTGCGCGGCGGGCGGCGCGGCTAAGACGCCGTCCCCCGTCGGTTGCTTGTAGTCTTTAGAATCCGATGTGGTTGGGGGGCATTCATACAGAGATTCTCACGGTCGTTCTCTTCAGGAAGGGTGTCGCAGTTGAGATTTTCCGGCCACGAGAAGGAGAACTGTGCCATGATGGGGGAGCAGGCGTCTCGGACCTCCTCGCACATCGGCCGGCAGGCGGGGATGGGAATGTCCGGGACCTGCTCCGTGCACATCGGGGCGTACAGGGAGCACAGGAAGAACCGCAGGTTCACGGAACAATCGTACTGCACCAAGGACGACCACTCGTGCACTTTTATGGCGGCTTCGGTCTGGTCAATGTGGCCCAAACGGTTCGGCATCCGCGTCATGTTGTAGCCGATCCCGATACACATCGGAATGGTGATTCTCTCGCAGCTGCCCGAATCCTTCCTGAAGTCGAGTCCGAAGCAGCTTCCCAGGAGCAAGAAGAGAACGGAGGACCACCGTAGGAACCCCATGACTCGGTCTGCGAGGGTTCCTGAGCGGTAGAAAGGTGGTGTAGAGAGAGAAGGAGCACACTGCCAGGTTTATAAACAGATCCGTACCGTCAGCAGCGAACTGATCCAACTGACCACTGCACCGCCCGCACTACTGATACTCGAGTCAGATCCATCCGCGCGGCGATCGAAATACGATGATTTTGCCCAATATCAGTCGATTTTTCAACTAAGGTATCAAGGACTACCCTATATGGTCAAAACCAGTAATTTTGATTCGTAAAGATTCTAGCCAAAGACTTCAAAAGTTTCTCAACATAGTGTAGGGGACTATTTTCTGCAAGCGGACGAGGATAGACCGGATCGGTAGGGGGCCTTTTGTTTACAACGTGACAGCCTGTTAGTTTAGAACTCCAGGCATCGAGCCGTATTTTTCTCAGTGAGCAGTAACTGAACAAGGAAGACATATCAACATCTGCAGAGAAACAACAAGTACTATCACGTATTTTATTGTTGAAATGCTGTTCATGGTTCACCAAATTACTTTTTATACGTTGAAAATGTCGCTCTTGCTATCAGAAGTTCTGTGCAAAGATGTCTGTAGTTGGAGATTACTTCGCATATGCCCAAGTGGTTTGCCCTATGCCTCAAGGAAAGGTGCGGTTGCATTGTAATCATTTGTGATCATTTGTAAATCTCGTAGATTTAATCATAGGTGTCAACCGCAAGATTTGTTTCGGACAGAATAAATGGTAGAAATTTCCGAATATAGATAATAGTTTGCAGGAGCAGCGAGTGGATCAAAGAAGATTCCTAATTTTGTTTTTCTGGTATTTTTGCCCCCAGCGGAATCTGGAAAAGTTCCATGCGGTATGTGATGCGGTTTGTGCACATCAAACTTCTCCGCAATTTTGATAGTTTCCGGACACAGGCCCGGGACTCGATCAAGGACACATGGTACAACTTCCTACGACTCCATTTGTTCAAATCGTTAACAGCTGTCACAATTTGCAATTGTAGGGTTTCTTGCTAGCATTGTTTGACGATTTTATTTTGACACAGTTCTTTTCCTGCCAAGAGCATCGATCATTCTTTCGCCCATTCTTTCTTTTCTTGCGATAATTTACACATCCACCGCGGGGGTCCCTCCGTGCCGCCATGATCCGTCATTGTCTTTTGAAATTAAAATGTTCTTGTCGGTTCAGGCGGCGGCCACAAAAGGGCCATGTGTGGAAAACACAGGAAGAACAGCTTTAATTTGCGAGGTAATTATGGATCGAAATAAACTGAAACTCAAACTACAAAGGAACTCTCTTGCACGCCCCGGTTCGACAGAAAAGGAGATAAAGATTGTATCGGCGAGACAGCCCAATTTCCCTATTGTTTTTGCACCTTGCTCAATTGAAGAAAACGTTAGGCAGGAATCATTACTGTCAGCGGGAGGTAGTCTCTACAAGACTTCTCCCAGGGCTGAATAAATAGTGGAAATTGGCCAAAATAAGCTGGCCACCTGGACCTTTTCTGGTCGACTAGAAAACTTCTGTCGCAAATGGGCCATTCTATAAAATTCTACTATTTATTCAGCTCAAGGAGGTTCCTTGTTCAGCCTCAGTATACGCGTGAGTCTGATGCGGGCTACAGCCGCGCAAAATTTAATACTAGTAATCTTTTGAATGTATTTCTATTTCAATCGGTGTCAGATTCCGAGAAAGGATTAGTCAACCTTCTAATAATCACTCATCTCTCTAATCACTCGGATTAGTTTGGATATACCACCAGGGACCCTCTATTTTGTTTTGCATTCTTTTGTCTTGTTGTTGGGAGTTTTGATTGTAATACAGTATTTTTCTACGCATGTCCGGCGTGTTTCTTATTTTTTACTCCAAGATTATAAAGAATACCCCGAACCTCATTGGTTACACAAAAAAAGCTATCATTAGCTACTATTAAACTATTACACTTTTACTCACATCATACAATGTAACGTTACATCGTGACGAGTTTCTTGCATCTTGCATCTTGCGTCTATGTAACAAGTTAGACATTGACCGGTCGACCAACAAGTCGTCATTGTATTTTTCTTTCTTTCTTACTTTTTCCTTTCCGTCTTTTCGCTCGCCTTTTTTTATTATTATTGCTAGCTACCGTTTTCTGGTGATTGAAAATCGCCCGGAAAACGCCTGCTCGAGCCTGGTGTTTAGACTATCTGGTAAAGATATCTCGCCCCGGGTGGTCGCTCCAGGCTATCTGCTTTGATCGCCGACAGCCAAAGTGTGCAGCAACACCCTCTACCGGCAAAGTTTTGTATTGCATAGATCTGCACTGCTGTTCGTTGATCTTCCCGATCCGCTAAACTACAAGTGATGTATATGTGATGTGAATGAAAAGCTAACCATCATATGAAATTCCACCTTTTTCTTTGGGTCTGTTTGTGTCCTCTGTGTGTGTGTTGTGGTGTGTTGGTTAAGTTGGTGTGTGTGTCCCCATTCCATGTCCTGGTTTAGCCGTATATTCAGGGTACTTTAATTTTAAGCGAGGGGAAACAGATCATTGCATTGAGAGTATATTATATGTACTGCTAAAACAAACAAATGACCAACTGCCCTGTATTGTGATATGTTTACCAACACACAAACGGGAAAACAAACAACGTGACTTGCTAATTTGCCGCAAAACGTCATCAAAGTGTCGTAAAAGTCCAGCTGCCGCAAAACTGTCGCCATGTCGGTCTACTAGAGATGACTGTGGTGTCAACAAGAAGCCGGGATAAAAATATATCCTCGGCCCCGAATTTTTGATGCCGATCCAACAGCGGAATCATGGCGGAGGGGATCCACAGAAATAACATCGTCCGCGACTTGGGGTGCCGGACCATCGGCTTGCTCCATCCCAGGGACTTTGTCGTCTCTACAACCGGCAAGTACCAATCATTTTCATCCGTTTTGTTTATGTTTTGGGATTGTCATAGATCGTGTAGTAAGATGTCTTAATACAGAGTTGGCAGCGAAGAACGTAAGGCGATGGCGTACCCTGAAAACAGTTGGAGCGAGGACGAACCATACAGTTCTGTTTTGGTAGAAGGGGGAGGGGCGGTACTGTAGGGGGAGGGGGGCGGAACTGTCAAAACAATGTTCTGTTCCAAAACGGAAAGCAAACGGCACAGGATCATCCTACCAGTATCAGAATTTTCGCACTATTGACAGGATAATTCTGTCAGTACATTGGAGAGGGATTGTATTGACCATCATGTCAATAACAAAATGTGTACTGTTAGGTTCGTCCTGTCAACAGTGCAAATTTTTCTGTTATTGACAGGACGTGCGTTACGCACTCTTGCTCTTTGAGGTTGAAAGTACGTAACGTTACTTGCTTAACATATCTTACCCCAAGGCTAAGTGACACATGGCTTAAGTGACACCTGAAAATGGACACCAAATCTCAGCCATCCTGTTTAATACACCTGATATGTTAGTGTAACAACAGGTGTGTCTGTATGTTCCAGGTAATACCAGTTTCATCCAGAGACTCCGACTGCACAGTAAACTGCCAGTACATACAGGATGTGTGAGTATCTAACGTTATTTGTTTGTTTGTTTATTTGTTATTTAATTTCCTTCACATTGAGGGGTTTTGCTTGAATGAAGAAAAGTGACAACTTGACTGAGTTTGATATGAATCAGTTGTTTAGGGTGGTAACAACTTGACAAGTATTGGGATGCATAATATGATTTTATTCATCTTTTTAGGCAGCTTGTCTTGGCTAAGTCCACCCCTTGTCTCCACAAATTCCTAACTTCCACAATGTTCAAATTATCATCAATTGACTTGAGTCGATCACCTTGCATGTGAATTTATTCAGATCAAGGACATCCTTGGTCAGGTGAATGATACAAAGTTTTATTTGTTTGTTTGTTTGTTGTAGGTGAACAGTATCTGGTGGTCGGATGATGGTGAACATATTTTATCTGGCAGTGATGACACCAACCTCTGTATCACCAATGCTTGGTCTGGGAAGGTCAGTTTTTCTTCCTCAAAGTTGCTCTAGTCCATTATGTTCAACCATTTCTCTGCTGACTAACCACATAACCAATGGGATACCATGTACATCATAATGATCAAATTCTTCCATGTTGTCAAATTATAATAATAAAAGTGTCCATAGATTTCCATGCTAACCATATTGTCAATTGCAGGCAAATTGCAGGAGGTTATGTTGGGTCCTGGATGAGTGACTTTCAAAAACATCAGATATTTAAAAATATTTGATGTTTTTGAAAGTCAATTCTTGATCTGAGAACAATTGTTACCACTTGTATTTTTATTATATAAAAGATGTGAACTAAAAATTCATTCCAGGTTGTATGTTCCAGGTTGTCACCTCCATCAGATCCGGCCATCGAGCTAACATCTTCAGTGCCAAGTTCATGCCCCACTCCGGGCTGGGCCGCGTGGTGTCGTGTTCTGGGGATGGGATCCTGTACTACACAGATGTGGAGAGGGAGAACACCTGGGGGTCAAATGTCTTCAACTGTCACTACGGCACTGCTTACGAGGTCAGCAGCAGCAATATTATCATGTAAACAGTAGCAAAAAAGCATGAATCCCTCTATATTATGGTGCATATTGCATGGTACCTTTACTTGTCATAACCTACAAAGATATATGCATGTACATGTAACATCAAATAGTATATTTTATATTGCCCCCCCCCCCACTAGGGCCTTCAAATATGGCATCGATCATCATTATTCTTTCTTTTTTGCCCACAATTCCTGTGCTTGCTAAATGCATACTTAGTGTAGTATTTGTCAGTCCTAGGCTGCATGGTCAGGGAACACTGTGGTCACAAGCATGCATGGCTAAATCTGCGTAACAACACTTGTTCTCACATCTCCCTCCCTCTGTAGCTGCTGACAGTGGACAATGACCCCAACACGTTTCTATCATGCGGCGAGGACGGGACGGTTCGGTGGTTCGACATCCGTCTCAAGACAACCTGCACCAAAGACAACTGCAAGGACGTAAGATTTGCTGCTGATCTTTCATCATTTCTTCCACACGTTTCCTTGAGTTGATTTCTTAAATGCTTTGACACAATTGGATGTGGGAGGGGTATGCTAGGCACAGACTGTGTACATAGTATGATTTCTGTTTACTTTCGCACAATTCATGAACAAGAAGAAATGAAAAAAACACTGAAATCTTTCAATTCAAATATTATGCATTGTTAGCATCATATGACTGCATGTCTCTATGATAAAGACTATATTGTTTTGCACATAAATTAACACTATATACAATGCCTGTTTTTGTAAAGTTTATTACTCATACTTGAAATACAGATCAGTGTTTTTTCCTCTCGCAGTCCTGATAAAAAATCATAATGTGAAGGTTGTTTTTCTTGTTCATTTCTGTATCTGTAGGACATTCTGATAAAGGCCCATCGTGCTGTGACGGCCATCGCTGCCAACCCCCACACACCGTACCATCTCGCTGTGGGCTGCTCCGACAGTTCTGTACGCCTGTTTGATCGCAGAATGCTGGGAACTAAAGGCAGTGGTGAGGCCAGTTGGTCATTATACTCGACATGTTGGTGTAGTCTATGATCCAGGTCTCCAGAATGTTTGCCTTTACATTATGCTTGATGTGTGGTAAACCAAATGTTTTAAGAAGGGTCTTCAAAGTAATGGAATGTATCTCTTAAGTTGTCTTCATTTGTAGTTTTCACATTGTAGGGTTCCTAAGACTTATTTTGTTGGGGTGGGGGTGGGGGGGTAATGATAAAGTCCATGATAAAACTAGACTTATCTATGTACCAGTATAAACCTAAAGGTATTTCCAGATGTTCTGGAAATAAGAGCTACTTAGGATAAAATAAATTGGACCTAAGTAGAGACTATATAAATATGTTTGTGGATTGAAAGAGATAGTTAGCAAAAGATGTTGTGAAAGTTTATGTTCCTTTGAGTAACTGGAGACCTACATGTATTTCCTGTGCACCTAATACTTGCAGGTGGTGTATGTGGGAAGGGAACGCTCGGCGTGTTCTGTCGCTTCTGTCCGCCGCCGCTGACCAACAAGTCGTGCCGCGTGACGTCACTGAAGTACAGCGGGGATGGACAGGACCTCCTGGTCAGCTACTCCTCCGACTACATCTACCTGTTCAGCCCTCAACACCTGACTTCTGATGGACATGGGGGGGTCAAGTATGAGGATTCTCACAGCAGCAGCAATGGATACAGTGTAAGTTGGTTTGTATTAACCGTTACTGCTTTAACTGTAAGGTAACCAAGGCAGATGGTGCCTGAACAGCCCACAACACTAAACACTACACTAGCCTAGTAGTACAGTCGAGACAGTTTTGTTTCAACAACCAAGTCATTAAACTGGATTGGCCTCAGTGTGTCTAAGTTGTTTTTTCCTCTGGGAACCAACAGAAATGTCCTGAAAAGTCGTCCAAAGATCCACCTGTGAAGAGGCTGCGATTACGCGGAGACTGGTCCGACACGGGTCCGCAGTCTCGACCGGAGAGCGAACGCGATACCAGGGCAGCGTCAGCAGGTGATCACCATGTTTGATTGCTTATTTGTCTGTTTGTTTGTGACGACATTAGCCTATACTCCAACTTTTTCATTACAAAAGAATATAACAAAGTGGTTTTGCTTTTGTCTAATTGCTCATGAGAGCCTTTTGAATTGAATGAATTCAATACATGTATTTACATATACGTGGTTGTGTAAAAAGATTCTCTTTACTCGGTGACTTACCAACCAGATGAAACTATTCACTAATGTCAGTGATGTTTGGTTGACTGAGGATCCAGCGAGCTTCATGCTGATTTTTATGTTTGCCCAGTGGCTGATGAGAGCGAGAGCCCGCAGCGCTCCCTGATGCAGCGGATGACGGACATGCTGCAGCGCTGGCTGGAGGACCCGGCCAGCTTCCGCCAGTCCATGCAGCCTCCGCAGGGACAGGACTCCTCCCCGTCCTCTGACTCTTCCACTTCTCAAACTACGGCAGGGACACCCTCACCTTCCCAACAGGAGACAGCAGGAACACCCTCAACTTCCAGACAGGAGGCTGCAGGAACAGCAGAGCCTTCCAGACAGGAGGCAGCAGGAACAGCAGAGCCTTCACAACAGGAAACAACAGCAACAACAGAGCCCTCCCAACCAGAAACAGTAGAAACAGCAGAGCCTTCTCAACAGGAGACAGCAGGAGCAGCAGAGCCTTCCCAACCGGAAAAAGCAGAGTCTTCCAGACAGAAGACAGCAGGAACAGCAGAGCCTGGAGCAGCAGACAGCCAGGTTTGTACCAAATCTATATTTGTTGAAATTTGCATGTTTCTAAGACTAACGTTCTCTATTGTGCCTGCTCAGAAATGTTGGAATATATAAAGCCTCTTCCGTGTATTTCTATCATTTCTGTCACTCGTCACACTTTTTAATTTGCCTGAATTTCAGTCTTAAATGTTTCAGACTCTTGCATGAAGATACATAGATGTAAAAGGAACACTGTACAGTAGCAGAGTTCTGTGTTTGTTGCAGGAGAGCAAAGAGCAGGGCAGCCAAGCAGAGCAGACACCTGAAGGGACAACAGCAGAAACTGCTGCAGAAGAATCAGCTGCTGCAGGGCCAGGTGCTGCAGCTGTATCAGGTGCTGCATTAGGTGGAGTTGTAGAAGAAAAAGGTGATCCTGCCAAGAGCACAGAAACAACACAAAGTGACTCTGACAAGAATTCTTGCAAACTGAAAGCATCACACATAACTAAAGACACAAGTGCTAAGAAGGACGTTGCAGCCTCGGCTAAGGAGGAGGAGGCAAAAGTGAAAAGTGACAGTGAAACCTTAGATAGGAGCAAGTCTGAGACAAAGAAAAGCAGTAAGGAAAGAAAGGAACAGAAAGACAGTGGGACAGCTGTTTTGAGAGAAGATGTTGCACAAGAAACAAGTCCATTGTGTGAAATTAGAGTTGTGGATACAAGTGAGTTAACCACAGAGTCTAGTACTGTGGGTCAGACTGGAGCTGTCGCCAAGGCAGCTGGTGATCACTCAAATGATGCCGAAAAAATTGACAAATTGAGAAGTGACTCTACAGGTGATAAGAAAGAGAAAACTGGAGAATCTGCCAGTTTGAAGGTCGATTCTTCTGAAGGTCAGCAGGAGTGTCCATCAGAACCTGGGGCTGTCGGAGGAAGTGACTTACCAGACTCGAGCGCTGTTTCTCAAGAAGATGTGGTACGTCCCAAGACAGGCTCCAAGTCTTCTCAGAAAACAGGAGGGGATGATAGCAGACAGTCCCCCCCACCGACGAGTGAGACAACCCCACCCACCCCTCAGTCAGATGAGCCGATCCATTCAGGAGACAGCAGTGATGATGATGATGAAGAGACATCACAGGTAGGGCAGAATGTCATTAAATGGAGGGTTGGAAATATACAATGGTCTACTTACTAATGATTGTTTTCAGATTGAAATAAAAGTGTAAATCAGAGTAAAAATGCAATGAATGAGGAAGGTACAGTGAGTACCCTATATAGAAAAATCAATAAATGAAGGTACAGGAAAGGAGAGAGTGAGTGAGTGAGTGAGTGAGTGAGTGACATTAACAGTGAGTGATTTGTCTACTTGCTAAATGCCTTTTTGTCAATAGGATCTTAGTTTATGTCACTTTTGTTCCTCTACCAGTAGAATAGCCCCTTGCTGGTACAATTGTTGCCCAGTTGTTATGAAACATTGAACCAGGGCTACCCAAGTAGCCAAAGGCTATTACAAAGGGCTAGACCTGGCAACTGAACCAGCGGTTACCAGAACTGTTTTCCATCCGCAGTCGGAGGAGAGGTCAGGCCGCCCGATGTACGCCCGGCTGCAGGCGCTGATGAAGATGCGTCGTCAGCAGCGCGAGAAGGAGGAGACGGAGCTGAGCCAGCTGCCGTGTCCGCCGCACAAGATGATCTACAAGGGACACCGCAACGCTAGGACCATGATCAAGGAGTCCAACTTCTTCGGATCCCAGTACGTGATCAGTGGGTCGGACTGCGGGCACGTCTTCATCTGGGACCGCTACACCGGGAAACTTGTGACGCTCTTCGAGGCAGATAAGCACGTGGTGAACTGCGTGCAGCCTCACCCGAGATATCCCGTGCTGGCGACGAGCGGGATCGACTACGACGTGAAACTTTGGATGGCGATGGCGGAGGAGGCGAGCTTCCCGGAGGAAGCGCATGAGATCATGCACCGGAACGAGGCGATGTTGGAGGAGACGCGAGACACGATCACGGTTCCCGCATCATTCATGCTGCGTATGTTGGCGTCACTGAACCACATCCGCTCAGAGCAGGACTCACAACCTGCAGCCGAGGAGAGGAGACCCAGTGAGGACTGAGGGAATTTAGTACTCTTAATTTTAATAATAAATGTACCTGAGAAGTGTTGAAAACAAAAAATTTCTCACATCTACTTCACTTCTCCAGCCCCACCAGAAAGGATTCCTCTTAAGAATTTGCTAATGTTTCAGGAGGTAAAGTTTGCATTGTCTTCCTCTTTTCTGACCTAGATTGCTGTACAGCCTGTACTGATAAATGGAATACCATGGAGCTTACAAGTCACATTTTAACCTCCTAGATAACACTTAAAATGATGGTGGTTGCAGAAGCCTTGATTTGGCTGCAGCATGCAGTGATGGAAAAGTTGGGTAGACACTGCTCAATCTGTCTATGTTAGAATGTTACATACTCAGTAGTACCGGTAGTAAATTGTCTAATGCTGCACTGTATATATGTGTGTACAAATGTATTTACCTTTTTTGCCAAGTCTTTCTATCTCCATTTAATTCTCACAGCATTTTTGAGAGACATTGTCGTTGCATCTAGTAACCCATCCACTGGTCAAGCCTTCTTTTGCCTGCTTCCTCTGTCGGCCTAGGGTGGGGCTCCACAGAGCTCTAGAGATTGAGACTTAGTGTTACATGGACACCATTTTTTATGCAGAAAATAAGTAAGTTACATCTCAAAGATGACAAGTTTGAAAGAGTCAAATCTTTTGGGCTAACAGTGTGATGATGCATCGAAATGGGAGTATCTTACCAATAATACTTCCATCAAATGAGTGTGTACTTATATCTCACAGCACGGGTTACTTTTAAAATTCAGGAATCTGTAGCCAAAATTTAAAGCCATATTTCTACATACATGTACATGTAACTTATAAAGTTATTATGCTCTTACAAGTGAAGCATGGGAAACTTACCCGTTTATCAAGTATAAACAAAATGAAATGTAGGGTATCCAACATGGTGCCCTTCAAATCTGAAAACTGTTGTTCCCAATAGACAATGTGGAATGACCTGTGAATCCTTGCTTTTTCAATGTAGGTTTCATGTCAGAGTATTGTACAAATGTATGTGGAAAATAGAGAATGATGTGTAACTTGTGGGTTTTGTGATGTAAGGGTGCTTCAAATGGAGAGTTGATTTGAATGTGCCTTCCACGCAAGTCACTTTTGTGGTAGGAAAACAAGAACATTTAACCTTCTCCCTGCTGCCTAACCTGGTAACCAATACACATTTGGTGCAAAATGACTATATCTAGCAGGTTGATGGTCAAAGATTTCTGATAACTGCGTCCAATGCAAATTTAGGATGCAGAAAGCAATTGTTGTTCTTATAGTTATGATACACATCATACAGGTATATATACATATACATATACATATACAGGTATATGTGTCATATGTACAGTGAAATCAAACTACAAATGTATTAATTCAAAACATATTGTGATTTGCTCACTTTAATTCGATCTTAGGCCACACCAATTTAATTTGTTGGTTCTCGGATTATTTCAGAAAAAATATGAAGCGACAGGGCGAAAAAAAATAAAAATAAAAACAGGTCTAGGCATCCTATTATAGGCTTAAATGCTACAAAATGAGCCATGAAGTCAACACAAAAGGCTGGGTTAAAATTTAAACATTGAATTTTGAACTTTTAATCAAACCACTGCAATGATAGATGGGAAAACTGTAACAACTACTCAGGAAGAAAAGGACTTTCCTCAACTGTTGGGGGGCAAAACATAAGCATTTTTCAGTTGATTCAGGACCAGAATCAAATTTTTTATTTTTTTTTTGCAAATCAGAAAAAAAACAAAGAGGCGAATCCGAGAACCAACAAATTAAATTGGTGTGGCCTTAGCGCCTGAAAAGTTGCACTTATTAAGGGGCAATTTTAGCATATGTTGATATTTCAAAACAACAAAATGTAGTCTCAAGTCTTTTATTTGCTTGAGATATTACATGTATGTCTTCATGGGGTGTTTGCCAGAATAGCTGTCAGTGTTACAACAGATTGAAAATAAGACAAGAACCATAGTTTGAACAATTACAGTCCGAATAAGAATTTAAAAGTAAAATTGTTCCTTACAATGTGAGCAATGCAAACATTACAGAAATTTTGCATAAAAAATGCTGCTTGAAGTTGAGGGTATGTTGTTATTTTTTTAAATCTACTCTATGAAGAGTGAGAATAAAAGCTCAAATTAAGGAGCGAAAGATTATTGCTGCATTAGGCCATGTTGATTTGATTATATGGATGACATCCTCCGGGAACCCCAAAATTGATGCACGCGTGCGAATAAAAAAAGTTTTGCAAAAAAAAGTTGTTTTCATTATGAAATCTACGTGGTCATGAGGGTTGAACAAATGGGACAGAATATGGTTTGGAGAATAGTCTAGTCTTCAAGTTCATTCCTTTTTTCGTTTGATTTTGGCATCCTACGACATTGGTATGGTTTTTTTGTAACTTACGGTACATTTTTGCTCATTTTGCAACTGTTTTGTACGATTTACAGTATGGTTGAAAACTTTTTTTTTTAAACGGCCGAAAATTCATGCGCGCGTGGATGTCATCCATATAATCAAATCAACATGGCCTTAGCGGTTGTGCCAACATTATGGTGCAGTCTTTCAATAAACTGCTAGAGGCCGCTTTTGACCCATGCACTAATGCGTAACTTGCCTCTTAATATACAAACTGTATATTGCAGTGCCAGTCGATATGTTTGCATACGGACCAGTGCCCTCGTAACAAGTTGATGATTGAACCGTCACAAATTTGATTGAACAAATCAAAGAGAAGAAACTGCCTTGAACAGAATGGTGTTTTATTAATCTCCTTGGTTTTATTAATCGATTTGATTTATAACTCCATGTATAGATTTACGTTTCTAAGGTCCAGATTGTGGCTAAAATAAACGCAGAACCAACCAGCCGGAACGCAAACAAAGCACATCACTATTCCTATAGGTAACTCGAACTCTAGTACTGGTTGAAATTGAATTACGGAGACGTTTCGAGTATTATTTAAACTCTTCCTCAGCGTCACTAGCGGACTTGTCTTGAGTTGCAGTTTCAACTGTTACGGCCTACAGGCATCAGCCTCTTCTAGACACTGGACACGGAAAACAATAACAACAGCGGATTAGCAACTTGTCGGGCATTCCCGCAAACACAAATATCCGCAGATTAACAAGATTATCGGAGGCTCAATTACAGATCAACAAAGTTTTTTTTTTTCAGAAAATTCGACATTTTGTATGAAAATCTACCTTCAGTTACAGCAACGACGATCATACGAGCGTATCAATTCAATTTATTTCATGCATTTAAACAAGAAAGTATCCCTGTTCAGTTGTAGTACATGTATATAAGAAACCTGAAAAGTTTCGTGTTTGCTGTTACAAAGTTACAAAGACCTAAAGAAAGAAGTGAGTTGCTGGGTACAGTAGAAATTGGCCAAAAATATAATAGACTGAAATATATGCCATATTCATATAATATGCGATAGCATGCCATATTCATATGGATCAGTTTATTTGACATTTTATATTAATTTCCAGCAACCCATTTGAGTCTGGTAAAGACTCACCACAAATCTGCTTAAAAATTGTGTTTCTTTGCGTTCTTGTTGGTCTACTATCCCTCACTCCCACACTGCTGCAAGCTGACAAAAGAAAACACAGAAGGCGTTGTTATCCCTGCCTTTCTAAACACTTTCACAACAAAAGAAAAACAAACACCATAAATAGGCCCTTCAAAAGGGTTCTACCGCCCATCCTACACACGGAGGGGTGCGTCATCACTCCATGTGTGATGGCCCCGCTCTGCAGGCGTCGGCGGGTGCACTTTTGCGACAAGCACGCCCTGCCTAACCTCTTAGCAGATGTAGCATCCTGACAGCTTTTATAATAAAATGATTTGGAAAAGCCTTATAAAACACAGGGCAATCACAAAAAACGTTAAGATTTTCCTAATTTCTATTTGTTTGAAGAATTTATGATCACCTTTGACGGGGCACAGTTGTCGCAAGTAACGGTCGGGCTCACATCTAAAGGTCCTAAACAACTCAGCTATTCAGCCTATGGCACTTTTGTCATTTACTCCACATTCTCGTAAAGTTGTTTGGAACAAAAGAAAGAAACCCTCCTCCAGTAAAATAGTCATTTTATGTACAGGCTTTCCCCTCGTTATAAACGTACACCCCCAACCATCCAATCCAACTTGCCGAAAGAAAAACACAAACGTCCCCTAATAAAAAGTCTCAGCAACATTTCAAAGGGTTCATCTACCGTTACACAATGCAAGAGTCTACGCAACAGAACAAAAGTGCTACCCGTGTTCGTCAAACACGGTATAAGATAGAAAATAAGATAAAATACAGAAAGCCTTACGTCCACGTGCAATCTGTGTGTGTTTAAAACCCCGTCCGTTGATTTTGTTTATGTAATGATTTCTCACGTTAGTGGAAGATTTTCGTAGTTCTGCCAACTAGTTCGACGGACAAATCAATCATTGATCATTATCAATTCATTATTCGATAATTACGGGCGTATCTATGTATAATAGAGTGTGGCAGCACTTCGTCTGTGTGTGAGTCAACCTGTCTGGAACAAGCAAGCTGTCTGCCTCTGTTTATGCAAGAGTTTTTCGTGTTAGTGCGATATTTCATATACCTGTGCCAATGAGTTTGGCATTCAGATCAATTATTCGACAATTATGGGCGTTTTGTGAACATTTCAACACATTGGGACTGTCGCGTCTGTGCTATCTCCTAACAGTTTGTCATGTATTGTGTCCGAGACAATTGTCGTCAACAACTCTTTTTTCTTTCATTGATGATGTGGCTTCCGTCTGTCTGAGACCAATTTTTCCATCGATGGCAAGGAGATTTCAAGTCGATATCACTACAATCCTCTCGTTTATCTGATACATTACTTGTACAGTATCGTGCACATGGCAAAAACGATATTGCCTGGATATTGCGAACAGTTTATCGAAAGAGTTAGCAGTTTTCTCGATCAGTGGTCACCTTTTCTGGCAAACTTCTACTATTCATTCATTCCCAAGAGCAAGGATCATGACCAGTCACCTATGTACATTCGCAAAGTCATAGGCAAGGTTTTTGGATTGTAATATTCATGTCAGTTTGTTTTCCTTTCCTTCCCTAAACCGGACAGTTGTTTGTAGAGCCATTGGTTTATAACGCCATTCAGTTTGTGTACAGTTTATTTTGTTCCCTTTGTCGGCGTTGCCGTTCCCACAACGTCCGCTCAGAGCAAGGTGCGTCGGTCCCGCTCAAGGGCAAAGTGTTGTGATTCTCCCCGCTGGTGGGGGGCTGTTCTGAGGAATGCGACAAACGTTGTCGCGCTCGTGTGTCTCCGCAGGACCCCATCATGCTGTGGCTGAAAAAATAACAAATATATTTGTCGGCCAAAACGCAATTAAAAAACTAAGTTACGCTCGGACCATCACTTGCTGAGCAACTCTTCCAGCAAATCGTGTACCAATTTTGGAAACTTTCTACTACTGTTTTAACCAAGGAAGGAGTCTGCTATGGATTAAAGCCTGTTGGAGGCATGTTGGAGGCTAGCCCTCGCGGCGTGTCGGCCAGCCACCGCTCAAACCCCCGCCCTCCCGCGGGGCCAGGCGGCTTACTCCCCGCCGCGCCGGGGTCAATTAATCCGGCATTTCTCCAGGTTATTATTCAATTACGAAGGGTTATCATCAGCTAACTATCCGGGATTTAGGACGGGGCGTAATTGGACGCTCCTGTCACCAAATCCCTCCCCTCGGTGGCTCAGGGCCAAGTTGAGCCGCCCGGGTTCTTAAAGACGCTTTGTCTTCCACCCGTGTTTTGACTTGGTGTCGTGGTCCTTGTAAATTCGCACTTTAGCGACTTTTAAACTTCAATTTGGCGGGACACACGCACTAAGTCGAAAATCGCTGACTGGTTTTAGCCAGATTTCCGGCTGGCTAGAACTCGCTGAAAGGGGCCATTTTCAGCTGCAGTGCAGACACAAATGGGGTCCATTTCAGAAAAAGCTCCATAGACGGCTGTCAGAAATCTGGCACAGTCAGAAAACTGATGTACAATCTGAAATGTCGAAAACAGCAGTGGAAGTACTAGTACCAGACATACAGACGCACGCACGCACGCACACATACGCACATACACATGTCGTTCGTCCGTCAGGTTGACGAGGACCGCTTTGTCATCCCTCTGTAGTAGGGTGTGTCCTCAGGTGACTGTAGAGTCCAATTTTCGCCCGGAACCGGCGCTCACAGTGCGGGCAGGAGAACAGAGCAGTGTTCGCCACAGGACCGGCTGCACCCTCCTTCCTGGCTCGTCTCTTCTGCTGTGCGGCAGTTCTGCGTGCTTTCTCACAGGTAGCGGCACCCTCTCTAACTGTGCGTCGCCATACACACATACACATAGACACACACATACACACACACTTACGCACACGAATGCACATACACATAGACATAGGCAATCACATCATTTGAAAATCACTTTGTGAGCTGTCAATGAAGACTTGATCATGAAGATAGGAAAAAAAATCGATTTTGCACTCTTTTGATATGTGCTAAGTAACGATTGCATTTCTGCTTGAATCAAAATCGAAATCTGAACTTTTAAGTACACGTAGTAAAGCACACGTGCGCTAATTGGAAAAACACAACGCAGCTTCCGCAAGATTTCCACACATCTTTATAGAAATCACTTAAAGTTTCAATAACGGTAGAAGTAATTCTACCCTGTAAAAGACGGACTCAAAGAGCATTAGCATGGTTTTTAGGGATTTTCAGTGTCATTATATTACTGTTTTTGTAACTGAATGCGGCCATTCTGGCTGTGCTTACGTGCGCATTTGCCACCGTAAGTGGATTTGGGCGAACAAAAATGAATAATAAACCATCTCGATTCACGGAGCTCAAAGATAGCTTAACGAAATGTCTGAAATACCGGGAAGTAGAGAACATACAGCTGTCAGGACTTTACTGGACGTTAGAAGAGAACCGGATCATCTTTCGTTAGTGTTTCAAAAGGACATTATCCACTAGTGTTGTACACTAAGCGGATGAGTGTGTGTATGATCCCCGTCATGTATATCTTTCACTCCAAATTATAGAATCATGTGCGTATCACTTTATCTATAACCAAATAATTAGGAAAATATATGGTAGTAATAGTATCCATTTGAGATTAAAGTTTCCTCCGAATTCTGATATTTTTCGGCCAATTTTCCAGAAAAGCCTTGTGAAGGCATTGCAAGCTGGTGTCTTCAGTTTTGTTGTTGTTGTTGCGCGTTGTTTGTTGTTTTGTTTGTGGATTAGTCAGCTGACGCAGCAGGTTTACTTGTTGTTCCTTGAACAAACTACTGATATCTTCGGATTCAAGCTAAATTTAACACTCGCCCGTCAACTTCCAATTTTTCTTTTACGACTGCTTGAATTTCTCAACCCAAGAATGGTCTTCATGTTGATGTCGCGTTTAGACTAGCTATATGCCAAGAGATATTCCTTCTCAAAGCTCAAATAGGGAGACCTTTTTGCTCGAAAACAGCCGAAAAGTGCATTTCTGTCGCTGTCAACGCGGATTAAGACCTCCGTGCTATGTTTACATAGTCGTTCTACTTCTTATTTTCACGGTGTCGGGCGAAAAAGCGCGAACATCGACACATTGTCACTGTGGTCACTCCCATATTGCTACAATGCTCAAGTGAATTCGAATACAGCAGAAAATGCATCTCTTGCTGTTATCAACAAGCATCTATAATCTACACCGATGTCGTTCAACTCTTTATTTATTCTCACATTGTTGAATGAAAAAGCGCGAACGACCACACATTGTCACCCCCGCTTGCATACAGTCAAAAAGTATATTTCTCTTTCTGTCAACGAGGAGCTCTAATCCCCCCTGCTGTATTGAAGACTCTAATCTCTACTTTTGTCGTTCAACTCCTTATTTTCACGGTGTTGAGCGAAAAAGCGCGAACATCGACACATTGTCACTATGGTCACTCCCGTCTATCGCCACTATGCCCAAAGTGAATTCGAATACAGCCGAATATGCATCTCTCTTGCTGTTATCAACAAGGAAATGCCAGGATAGCGTCTACTATCTACACCGATGTCGTTGACTCTTTATTCTCACATTGTTGAGTGAAAAAGCGCGAACAACCACACATTGTCACTCCCGCAAAAAGTAGAAGTTTTTTTTTCATTCATCAAAGCATAAAGACATAACAAGGACAGTGTGACGCTGCACTCAAGTTAACAACTTATATTAACAGCGCCACACACAAAAAGGTACAATAACGTTTGAATATACAAAGTTGACATGTGCGCCGTAGTCCCACCACCCCAAGACATTAAAATATTAAATTAAATGCTAACAGAGCTATTTGAAAGATAAAATTACATAGTAGAAGTTCTCTTTCTGTCAACAGAGAGTTCTAATCCCCCCTGCTGCATTAAAGACTCTAATCTCTACTTCTGTCGTTCAACTCCTTATTTTCACGGTGTCCAGCGAAAAAGCGCGAACATCGACACATTGTCACTATGGTCACTCCCGTCTATCGCCACTATGCCCAAAGTGAATTCGAATACAGCCGAATATGCATCTCTCTTGCTGTTATCAACAAGGAAATGCCAGGATAGCGTCTACTATCTACACCGATGTCGTTCAACTCCTTATACTCACATTGTTGAGTGAAAAAGCGCGAACGACCCGCAAAAAGTATACATATTTCTCTTTCTGTCAACAAGGAGATCTACCCCCCCCCTTGTATTAAAGACACTAATCTCTACTTTTGTCGTTTAACTCCTTATTTTCACGGTGTTGAGTGAAAAAGCGCGAACATCGGCGCATTGTCACTCCCGTCTGTCGGCATGTGTGGGGAGGCGGATGTGATGTTTAGTGATGAGGTTTGAGTGATGAGGCTGTCATCTCACGAGGGACGCCCCCCCCCCTCTCAACACCAGCCTGTATCACATGTCTGTCCGCTCCTCCCATTGGTCATCGCGTAACTGACATGTCAGATGGTCTGGTGCGTCGTGTCCTCGAAATCAGCGCTTTGGGGGTTTGAAATCTCCGTACTAGTATTTTAAACCTCGTATCAAAAGTCTTTAAATGGATATAGGACATGGGTCGTTTTTTGCTGTTGCGGAAAGTCATCTCCCATAGTACAAGTCAATGAATGAGAGTCCAATAAAGTTTGTTACATGATATTAGGTGTGCGGGTGCCTAGCCTGCTACTCTATATTGTATATTTTCGTTTCTAATTATCCTATACAGAGATATCTTGCTTAGAAAATTTGTTTGTCAAATTTCCGGTGTCGGTGCCGCCAAATCTAAAATTCTGGTATAGTATCCAGCGTCGAGGTCTATCAAATTTCCGTCGATTCTGCGATAAGTGTCAACTGTGGATTGACTTTCGACGGCTTTGTAACACCCTTGGACCTATAATCGTAAATCTCCAAGCAGATGTTATATTAGAAGGTCGTAACAGTTTTCTGACTGCCACGTTGTGTGCCAAGTTATTAAATTTAGACTACTGTACATATTGTAAACTACAATACAATTCAAGATGCACTCCTGCGATGTTGCTTTTATCAAATAAAGTTCTAAAAGTTCTAAAGATTGTGGCCTTCTTCTAATTTGCCCCCATTTTCTGACAGCCGACCACATGTAGGGCATCAGTTAGAACCGGACTGTCCTTCCTACCAACGTCTGCTTGGTTGTCCCGGACTTGAGCCTGCCCCTCCCCACAAGGCCACACGTGGTGGAGGGGAGGGAGGCGGGATCGCATCCCCACTGCGCCGCTCTGATTGGCTACAGACCCGCCGTGCTGACAGTCGGTATGACAGGATTCTAATCACCCCAGATTATTTTATTTAGAGGCGTTTTCAGCGCTGGTCAGTCAGTTCGGAGTCGTGATTTAGAGCGAGCCTGTCCGCTCTACAAACCAGTGACATCCGCGTGAGATCCAGACCGTCCCTTTCAGACAAGACTTGTGACATGGCGGAGAAGAGGAAGAGTGCTCCCGTGACGCTCAGCTCGCGAGCTCACGCCTTTTCCGTGGAGGCTCTCCTCGGGCCGCGGGTGAAGAAGCAGCGGACCGCCCAGTACCGAAACTCCGGGGAGAACGCTACCGGCGAGGACGACGTGCTGGAAAACTTTAGCGCATCCGGTAAGTAATTTTCTACCTCATTACAAATAAATACATACAACCGCATTCCGCTTTTGCCGTCTCCGAGGTGGTTTGATTTAGGGCTATCGAAATTATTCGTTGGCCGACGTTATCATTTTTTTGGTTGCGTGTTTGATTATTTGTATAAAGTCGTGGTACACTATTTAATTTGTACTGGAGGAATGAAAATAGTTCTCTGGTACAACAAGGAGCTGGTTGAACAAATAAAGTTGAAAAGTTGAAAGTTGAGCTTTAAAACTAATATTTCCCTGTGTACCTGTATCTATATCACATATCGGGTGTCCTTTCTGTTCCGACCAGAGGAAAAGTAGTTTTTGAACTTTTTCACTTCAAATTTTCATGATTATATCTTACAACTAAACTTGTCTGGTTTGGTTTGGTTTGCTTTAGTTGTCTTCTACACTCTGATGAGCATACATCGTTGACCTAAATGATTTCCGTTCCCCCAGACGGTAGACATGAGGACCGTACGCCCGAGCAGAGCTCCTCGGCGCTGGGGTCGATACAGGCCCTGCAGAGCCGGCTGGCGTACCCGCTGCCTCAGCCGGACGGGCCGGCGGACCAGGTACGGGTGGAGCTGCAGGGGAAGGACCTGTGGGCGCGCTTCCACGACATCGGCACAGAGATGATCATCACCAAGGCCGGCAGGTAAGACGCCGCTCAAGACCTCGGAAATATTAGTTAGTAAGAAGAGACTTGAAAAAATTTACGCCAAAACGATGCTACTACATTTTATACCGTCATCACAACTTTATTTCAGGACACGACCAAGCACAGATACTACTCATAAAAAGACAATTATATCATGAAACTGTTAGCTTCCAAAGTAGTTACTGAAATACTTGTGCTTTGTTTCAAAAGTGCGACTTACGCAGGCAAGGTCTACGTATATACCGTGTTCTGTTCGTCTAAAACAAGTGAAAGTCTATGAACAAATTATCGGCGCAACTGCCTCCTTTTGTAAATGTCAAGGTCTGTGATTTTTTCCGCGCCTTTCTACGCGGATAGGATAAAATATAGCTCACAGACTGCCGTATCTAGTTGCAGCTATGCCGGCCATGCTGGCGGCTGACCCTAGCCAAGCTGACTGCGCCGTTGCCGCTTGGATTTGACCCGCAGTAAAATTTGACTTTGAGCGAGAGACGGGATAAGTTTTCAGCGCCACATTCCTGATACATTTATGGTCCCCACGTTGGTGGAAAAATCTCGCCGCAATTCACTGTATCTTCTAAAACATTCGAAGCAAAAAGTTTGGCGATGAAAGAGGTGATATTAGAAGACGGTTGGATGGGAAATATGGTCAAAAATCGTCGCTGAATTTGTCTCGTCATATTTCTTATATTCAACGCCGCACTTGTTGACAGTATCGAATGTCGCCATGCCGCGCTTGCACGTCGACACATAATTCTCAGTCATCTTATTTCGCCCATTTCAACAGATAAATAAAGTCATCGTATATATAACTTTTGTCGCGTGCGATCCAGAAAATTCGTTTCGTCTGCATTATTATCCAAATATTGGTGTTATAAAGACGATGTTTCTGTCTTGAACTGGAAGTTACAATAACGTTTAGATTATATTCCCAGCTCAAAAATATGCTAGACGTCATCATTTTCAACCTGAAAGTCAGGGGGTCTCAGAAGACTAACAAAGCAAGCTCAAGAGATACACTTGTTTCGAAATCAATTACCAAAGTCAAAGTGACCGTTATATTTCGTTCTCAACCATACACAATTTTGGTATACCTTTCACAGTTTCAGCCACAGAAAGCACATTACCACAACTTCTAGCCTATTCTATCATCTACAGCAGTTTGTTCTGAGAGGTTTGTCTGACCGTAATCCGTTTGTGATTCCCCCAGGCGCATGTTCCCGGCTATCCGTACCAAAGTGACCGGGCTGGACCCGAAGGCTCAGTACATCGTGATCATGGACATCGTGCCGGTGGACAACAAGCGGTACCGGTACGTGTACCACAGCTCCAAGTGGATGTGCGCCGGGTCCGCGGACGCCCCGCCCCCGCCCAGGGTGTACGTCCACCCCGACTCGCCCGCCTCGGGAGAGGCCTGGATGCGCCAGACCGTCTCCTTCGACAAACTCAAGCTCACCAACAACGAGAACGACGAACAGGGATACGTGAGTAACTTCTCAACACTTCTTATGGCTATGCTGTCCTGAACTATGTAATCGACATATCAGATAAGTGAGCAATATTTAAAGGTATATACACAGGCTGGGTTCCTAGACGTATGGCAGCCCAGAAATGAAGAGGAACAGACACAAACCTCGGCACAGAAGGCTTGAAAAGTATACGATTTTCTAAGCGTTGACTTATATATTCATTCGTTGTACATTGTAGAAATGACTGCATTGTGATACCTAATACCGAATTATTGTTGAATCTGAGGGGAAAGTTAAGTCACGCCGTCCATTCGTATAGAATTTACATGCACGTCACTAAATTGACTCATAAATAAGATGAATTCCGCGCTGACAGATACCGCTTTATTAACACGTACGGCATAATTAGATACAATCAGCGCCATCAATAAACACACATGAATAATGTTGTAATTGAGCACATGGAATGAACAGAGGACGAGTTCATTTAAAACCTTTTCTTCTTAATTAGCTATCTTCAGTAGACAGTAGACCGGGATACTAAAAAGTTAAATTCCGCATACTGGTGTATATAACGGTTTTTAATTTATTTTCAAGATTTACTCAGACCAATGAGGTTTAAAACTTCGTCAGACTTTTGTTATGGCAAAACAGATAGTAAAGGGGCCCCGTTGAAAAGCAGTGCCATCACTGAATTGGGTTACCCTGTATAAAAATGACGGAAATAAAGTAGAAGTCATCCACAGTAGATAGGGCAAGTCTAGAGATGGAACGTTCAGTAACCCGGCGACTGATACCACTTGGCAAGCCTGACTCGCTCGATTTCGGCAAATTTGCACCATATATTCCGACCCGAGAGAGACCGGCAAATCTGGGTGCGGAAAGCTGTAGTCTGTTAGCCTCTACCAGGCTTGAGGAGGCGGCTGGAAAGAGTAGAAATCGGCCAAAATAGAGAGATAAGCATGCCAAGGGAGTTTGGCCGTTGAGAGAACAGTGGGGCGGCGAACTGTTCTCTCAACGGCCAAACTCCCTTGGCATGCTTATCTCTCTATTTTGGCCGATTTCTACTCTTTCCAGCCGCCTCCTCGAGCCTGGTAGAGGCTAGTAGTCTGTCCGCCGGCCGGATGATCTATCACCGCGCTTATCACACGTTACATTAACGTGCCAGTGGAAAGCCGTGACGTGATAAAATAGCGATATTTAGCGGGAGCTCGCGAATTGATGACAGCGGCTCGCCAACAGCCGGAAGCAAACAGCGAACGCACCCCGGCCGACACATGTATGTATGGACACATGGCTGTGAGACGGCCAACAACACTCTACTGTCGGGTGCACACTCGGGGTTAAATAAATGGCAAACATTTTGCAAATAGGGTGAAAAATGTGTCGGAGAAATGTCTATTGTAATGAAAAGGGAAAGAAATTCTAATGAATGAAATGTAGTGTGTGTTCAGCTCCGTCTAAACTAGACATCCAGATTTATCATTAGGTAATACAAAACAGTCTAACAACCGGATAAATTCTTTGAATTACACCGATGATAGAGAGTGGATGCTTTCCGAAAGAATTTATCCAATGTGCTAACGTAATTTTTACGCCCATTTTTTCTGGATTTGGTTGCTCAGGCTGGGATATGAATATTTTTGTTAACACAAGGAGGAACGAAAATATTAAAATGGATTAAAACACCTTTATAGGCGACGAAGTAAAAGTTTTCGATTCTAAAATATGACCCATTAATTCACAACGAAGTTGTTGCACCATGGATCAACTACCGGACACTCCTGTATCCATAGCGCTAATCCGACACCGTAGAAAAATATTATTTTCTCCTGATAAGCTCAGCGCCGTGTTTATTTGTCGCTCGCGTGAAAAGAATATACATGACATCTGCATGTGTGCACACTGTAAAAGAGATGTCAGTGTCGCATGTGTTTCATAAATACTGCGCTATCCACCCAACAAAATCATATAACTTTGAAAATCTTGAAAGGCACGTCTTGGAGTTTGAAATCCGTTGCTTGTGATGACAAGACTTGTGTTTGTGCAATGTAAACGTTTAGGAACCTCATTTGACCCAAATATGCGCACAACTAAACCAACAAAAACACCACCGTACACTTTGTAAGACAATGGTTTTCTGGCAAATTGGAAAATTTTACCATTATTATATATTTCTGAACGATTTATATCTAGATTTGTTCTTGTTTGTCGCCCCTCGAAATGAATATTTTGCCCTAACATCCGCGCCACAAAACCGCACTGTTGACAGCTTTGGGTTTGTGTTTATTCTTGGTTGGTGAAAATTGATACACGAACTTGACATATGTTTGTACAAAGGTCTCACGAATCGGGTTGACTGTAACGTGACATTTAAAAGTGTCCACGGTTGTCTTGTCAAAGGAAAATAAAATAATTTATTTTACCTGCTCAATTCAGCAAATACATGTATAGAGCGCTATCAGCCACTCGTCCTTTTGGCCATTGCTATTCAAACTATGTTCTTGGTTATCATATTAGCCTGGGTTGTTAGTAAACTTCAAAACGTCCGTAGTTTCAAGTTTGCCTTTTGTCTTTCACGTTTGTGTATGGATTGACAAAAAATGATTGAGTCACGAATCTCTCTATCAACCCACGAATTTGCAGTGTGGACTCTTATATACAGGAGCTCCTTATAGTTATACTTGCTGGCTTTTTAGGGAGAGAGTATGGGATAGCACTCGGGATAACTAGAGGCTACGGACAGTCGACTCCATTTCCCCCTCCCTGTCGTGACTCGGGTCGCTGCTAATATGTACCAGGTCATTTCATGTGGGGAGCGGCAAAAGGAAAAGCGTCATTAGGACCAAATTTGTTGTAGCGATGCGGGCCAGATGTGTGAGTGGGGGAGGGGGTGTTCGTGTTGAAACGAAACCGGCTGGTCATAAAACAACAAGCAACCGTCCGGTCGCTTTCAATTTGGGAAGTCATTTTCCAAACTTCAAGGGCACCGTGTGTGCGTGTCGGACGCCCCTGCATTAGAACTTGATACAACATATGTACAGTAAAGTTTCACAAGGACTAGTCAGTTCTATGAAATAGAAACTGTGCCATTCACATGTGCTGTGTAAGAAGAGCATCTTTATAAGTTTATTCAGTGACTTACCAACCTGATGAAACTATTCAATGAAAATGACATTTATAGGGAACTTGACGAAAGTTTGTCGTTGTCTTCAGCTGATGGTCCTTATTTTTGGTGCATGTTGAAGTGCCCGAATGTGTAATGAATATTGTGGGCTTGTCATAATATCGCCAGTCTAGGGGGTATCAGATTTATTTTCTGACCATCAGCCCAGCTCACCCTGGGGGAAATATGTGTTGAAAATCAAGACGTAGCAGGCTATATTAATTCTACTCTGTGGATAACATCATTGGGAGCTCAAATTTTGAATGGAGCATATGAATAGAATTGAATCTCCTCCATTATCTTGGTTAGTAACATAGCCATATGCAATATAAGATGAAGGAATGACTTTGATTACTGTTCAATTTTTATTCAGTACAGAAATCTAGAGTTGAAAAACAAAAGATGTTCCAAAGGTTTCACAGATACAGTGGATTCATTGGTCTTGCATAATCACTGACCTTTTTCTATTTGTCATATTTTGCAGATTATCCTCCACTCCATGCACAAGTATCAGCCTAGAGTTCACATCATCAAGAAGACAGGACACACAGACCTGACCAATAAGACAAGCATATCGCCAGCAGACAAGGCCCAGACCTTCTCTTTCCCTGAGACTGTGTTCACCACTGTCACTGCCTACCAGAACCAACAAGTAAGAACTTTGCAGTAGTTTTCTGGTTTTCGATATTTAAAAAGCAAAAAAAAACGTATTCCTTATGCAGCTAGATGAACCATGGCGTATTATATAAGCTACATCTGTCTACATTACATTTACAACAGTCATTTCTGCATTTTTTAATCTTTTCTTTTGCGACAGTTATTAATTTCAAGTTTGACTTTTCTCCACAGATCACCAGACTGAAGATTGACAGGAATCCTTTTGCAAAGGGCTTCCGAGACTCTGGCAGAAACAGGTGAGACTCAGTTCTGTCTTTAACATCCATTGTACCTGATATGGCCAAATAGAAAATGTTTGTTGAGTTAAAAAAGGTTGTTCTCTGGCAAAATATTCCACCTACTTTTTCCAAAATGTACTATTTTTTCTGCCCACTGGAGAGGCTTGGTGGAGAGTATGGTTGGTTTACCCTCCTTAACTACACAGCCTCCGTCTGTGGGACTTTCCTTATCTCTGTACACTGTAACTCAGCCGACCAGAGAGGGCACTGTGAGAGCTTAGCTTTACAGAATCTGCCTTCTTGAGATAGCAATCAGCTAAGAGGGTTTAGGATGTTTGGTTCAACAACTTCAACATCTCTTAAGCCTGGCAAGTTGTTCACCAATTAAGCTCGTTTTGGTGTACTGTTAAGTGGCACCATGTGTTATTCTTACTCTTAGGAATCTAGTGACAAAAAACACTTGTGTTCTTCTATTTCTATCTTTCTGTCACGACGACTGACAAAATGTTAGGGATGTCATGCCTTTTGACAAAATGAATATCTCCTGCACACAAAATTCAAAGAACCACAAAAAATTTTAAGAACCTTATTATTAAAATATTTTGAATACAGTAATAATCATAGAAGAAGATTGTGAGAACCAGAGAACAAACTTGGCATGTCTTTTCCACATGGCCCATCTGCAGTGCCAGTTCCTCCCAGCAGTAGATATGAGCTTTAGACTGATGATAAACTGTTCCCCCCTCCCCCTGATTATAATTCAGCATGAACAAACAACACCTACCATCTGAACGTCATCAGAAACAACCGTTCGTGTTCGTTTCTAAACGTTAAACTTTCCTGTCCTTCTGTTGAACTTGTTCCATCGCAGCACCCCTACCTGGAAGGTGTGCTTCTGGTTGATATTCCAACCCGTAAAAATCACAAATGGAGTGACGTTTAATGCTCGGCATTTCATAAATCATTTGAGCCTTCATGAACTGAACATCACCTGCGTTGGATGGAAGCATTTTAGACAGAAGGTAGAAGGAAACCTTTAGCCTGGATGCCAGACCCATAGCTCGGCCCAGAGTTAGCAAGTGTAGGTTTGGTAGAAAACTCCCCTATTAAAGAGTTACTGTGATTCACTGGAGGACTATCACTCCCTATCTTGTAAATTTCCAACAGCTGTATATCAGCCACAACTGGCATTTTTCTTCCCTTCCTGATATTTATGAGGAGAAAACACATTTTTTTGCAAAAGGTTTGGGAGAACACTTCTTCCCAGCTACCTCCATGTTGGATGGAGATGTCAGTGGGAGGGAAGCTTGGGCGACCTTTTGACCCTACAGGCCTGCCTCAGATTTCATGGTGCACCTTGATGACTTCATTTGGCCCCTCCTCATGTCCACACTGGGACCTCAACAGTAGCATGTGGCCGGCTGAAACAAATTATTTATTAGTTCTTGGCTATTCCACATTGTAACCACTCTAAAATAAGTATAAAACATCAAAACCAATGCGAACCAAGAAGTGTAAAGGTGGCTGTGTGAAAATGCAAGATGTTTTGCATTAGTAACCCAAGTCAAACCTGTATTGTAACATTTCAAGAAAGTTGACAGAATATAGATAAGATTTCGTGAGTAAAATTACACAAGTGAAAGAAGTCCATCATTGCCACCATCCCCCCATTACCCTTCCCTCAGAAGTGCCTGTAAATCTTCCTAGCTCTTGTTGTCATCTGTCACCAGTAATTAATACTGTATGTCCTGATTTGTAACTGCTGAGTCATTAACCACAGCCCTAATGTACCATGTCTCTGCAGGTCTGGGCTGGAGTGCATCATGGACAGCTATGCCTTGTGGCACAACCCCGGCCGACCCTTGACCTACGGACAGTACACATCCATGAAGAGCCAAGGTAGTCTAAAATTTTACCTGAGCAACAAGTATTGCTTAACACTGGTAACTTTGACATTGCAGAAACTTATTCTGTAAATGTCAATTATGGCACCATGATGGCAGCCCTATTTTGTCTTCAAAATGTCTTGTGTCAAAAAACATGTCTAACCAAGATGACCAAATTTATCTGAATTGGTTCAAGAATCAAGGAATTTGTTTGATGTAACCCCCAAGTGTTGACATGAACAGCCAATCAGCACAAAGCTCTGATATGTTAAAATGCACCTGTGACCTTCCACCTTAGCAGAACTAAAGGTGGTCAAGGACAAAATGGCTGCCTTGAACTAGAAGGGTAACCTAGTTGTCACTCAAGTATGTGTACACCTACTGCAGCTGGATTCAACCACCTAGCACCTTTAAGAAATGACTTTCTTAAGTTTTACTAAGTAACATACAATCCTGAGATTATTGAAAAGAAGTACATAGTTTTTGTTTTCATGTCTGTTGTGAATTTGGCCATCTGGTTAATCAGTGAACCTTTTCTTCTAATAGCAGAGGAAGAGAAGATCATGTCTGGGATTCTGCCACCACCTTCCCCTCCAACCGCCTTCTACCTGGCGCCCAACACCTTCAACGTGGGATGCCGCGAGGGACAGACAGGCATGACGCCCGACCGCTACCACGAGTCACCGCAGCGGACGTCCATCAACAAGGAGAACGTGTTCTCGCCTGACCTCCCCTCGGACAGTTCCCGACTGGTGCCCCCACAATGCAGTGCAGCAGGAAGTATGTGCAGACACCCGCTGATGTCGGAATCGTCAGCGTTACCCCACCCCGACGACTACGTCCGACAGACAGCGCCACAACCTCCCAGCATTCCCTACCAGTACCTTCCCAGCAGCCCCCACTTCTCCCAGACGACCTTGAGCCCGACCCAGCACAGCCCCCTGCTGGGCGCCCCCTATCCCTCCCCACGGAACTGCAGCGCCGGGTCATCCCCACAGTCCTACCTTCCCATCAGCCCCTCCACATCCGGCACTTCCTCCTGCCCTACGACCTCCCACCTCTCGCCGACCTTCTGCACCTCCGCGACCTTCCCACATCCGTACTTCAACAACCTGCAGGTGCTGCCGACCTCTGCCCTCCCGACCTCTGGCCTCTCGACCTCTGCCCTTCCGACCTCTGCCCCCAGCAGCTACAGCTACCTGCATGGACAGTACAGACTGGCAGTGCACAGAATACCCAGTCCTCAGGCATCACTAGTATGAAGACATTGCATAAACCAATGGTAAGCTAGTAACTAGTAAATCAATGAATGTAAATATTGTATGCTAGCAAGCAATGTCATTCTTGTTCAGAAAACACTGGTCATATGAAATTTGAAAAATGTGAATGTTGATTATGAGCTCAAAGTTGTATGATGCTAATGTCCACAACTGACATATTATGATAATATACTACAGTACTGATGGAAGCATGATGTTTCCAACATGTGAAACTGAACTATGTAGATCATGTAATAAGTTTGTTTTCCAACAAAACATGTGTACTTGAAAATATTTCCATTACAGACACATGTACATGTGTTAAGTTGTGGATACATAAAATGATAAATGACATGACAGGCTGCATGGCTGTGAGTTGAAGCTACATTCCAAATGGTTCTTTCCCCAGCTGAGTCCAGTGTCAGGGTGTAAGTTTTCTAGTCAGTACAATGTGAAGTTTATATCTGTGGGGCATGCAACACTTTCCACTCTATCAAGGTCAAATGCCAAGGTCACCTCAAATCCACAAGAGAACACTGTCATATTTTCTCCCAGATTGAGGGACAATTCTAAATAATTTTTATCCGTCAAAACTTGCGTGTTTCATAATATTTGGTACTGGTTTGAAGTTCAGTTTGATAGATTTTTGGAAAGGATGAGAAAGTGTTCTATGCCTCCACAAGTTACACATTTTATTGTAGAAATTGCTCGTGCTATCCCTGTCATTTCTGGAGCCACTGACCTGTATGTATATGTGCTTTGTTGTGAAAAGGACTGCAGCTCAGTTCCCTACCTCTGGTCCGCTCATCAGACTGTTATAAACATAAGAAATTTTTTTTAGAGAAACATATCGGAATTTCGTTACTGTATTAAAAGGGGCATTGGATTGGTGATTAGTCTTGAAAAGACTCACTGTATTTCTAGTAATTTAATATAATGTAAGACAAATGCCATAGATGTGGTATTTAACTGTGTATTTGTATGACAAAGCACTATATAAATGTTCAATCACTTAAAATTGTGTCAGAGCACGTTAGTATTTCAGATGTTGTTGCTTTTAAATGGCATATTCCTGTCACATGTTGAAATGTTAGGCCTCGAACATGATGCCTTTGAAATGTGGAAAATGTCTTTCTGAATCTGAAGACAGCAGTGTTTTGTGTTCTCTGTGTAAACGTGTTGACTGTTTCCTCTGTTCGGCGGCCTCACAGTTGTTGCTGCGCTCTTTATCGCCACTTGCTGTACATAGTTAAGGTGATGATATCCTTGGTGAGTGTTAGCCTCTCAGTTTGTGTTCCACACACGTCAATCCACATGCCGCGCACTCCAGACATACCCACCATGTGTGGGGCATGGCCGACATTCACTTAGCCCCTCACCACACCAAAGGCGTGGCCACATTTTCGTCGCCAAATTCTGCGATGACACCGGAGAGGCGACAGCTGTCCAGTTTCGTTTGTCGCCGTTTTGGTTGAGACCAGCATTAATATAGAGGTATCCACTCGCAGATGGTAAGGCGATCTGGGATGGAGAGGAATAAAAATATCGCTGTGAACATGATTGAGAATGTTTGCGTCTGAGTATTTTGTTGTGGTACGTGATACCATGTGTCCAAGGGGAAATGCACCCCCACCCCAGCCAAACTATAGAACTAGAACACTGTTCAATCCGAGTCGTATTAGCCATCTAAGGTTCGAAAGTCACTGGAAATTTGAAAAAAAACTTTGAATCAAAATTCTGACAAAAATAGGTACAATTATATCCCTTTCATAGATGATAAAAATTTGACTGCTCATTCTGACACCATCAGTTGAAATATAAGGACTGGATTAGTATAAAATCAGGTATTCCAAATTCTCAATGTGTTTCCAAATTCGAAGTGACTAAGGGCCACCCTCCTTAATTTGTCTCCTGTCACCAAACCAGACTATAGCTTTACTAGCATGTTACGCATGATTCTATTAATGTAGGACTGGACCGTTAACCTTTATAACTCAGCAGGATGGGGCAAGATGAGCAAAGACAGCCTCACAAGTTCAGACAGCTGGATTGAAACCCCTGTCATAGTTCATACCACCCAAGTCAACACTCACAAAGCTTGGACTCCTGTCCTGTCAGACTTTAATAGCCTAGTTCCAACTGTCATTGAAGCTATCTTCTACTTTCCATAACCCCATAGAAAAGCCTTGGGAAGACTACTCCTAAAGTAGAGGGAGTCTTCTACTAGGTACAATAAATGTAGGTGAGGATGAAAGAATAGCAAAAACTGCTTGTCACTTCATACAAAATTGGATAATAGTGGATAATACTCAATTGAACATCACCTACATGTACTTAGATACAGTCTGCCCCCCCCCCCCTCCTCAACCAACAAGGCAACCCCCCCCTCCTCAAGTGATCTTCCCCTCCCAGCACCACTGTAAGAGGAGTGAAGACAGCTTGACAGTTTAACAGCTGGATCCACCCTCAGACCAGTTGGAACATATTAATTACCAGGCTCGTTACCAATCCATTGGTAACGGTCTGCAGTCAGGGGACAGGGGGTTAGGGGTTGAGCTGCCTGGGGGAGCAAGACCCCCTAGCCTCTTGCAGATGGATTGCAAGGCAGACAAGGCCCCATAGCCTCATCATGAACATACCACTTAACTTTATCATATGTGACTAGTTAAAGTTGGAAATTTGGAAAGAAATCATGTTGGTATTTTTCTACATTGAAGTCGAAGTTAAAAAAAAATGTTTTTATTCCAACATTGTATTGATCTGTGCAACTTCTCAGTATAAAAGTTAAGGCAATTCATTTGCCTCTTCTTTCAAATGAATGTGTTGACAGCCTGTATATCTACAGCCTACTGGTACCAAAATTGTGTTCCTGCATAAACAACTGGTGCTATAACATGCCTGATAATGGTCAATTAGAATTTCCGTGTTTACAAAATACACACTGGTGATTATTTTTGTTGTTAGGCACCATTAGAATCCATGTAAACACTGAGGCTAAGACTGGGCTTGAACAAGAAAATAACCTGGTTCATTGTTTCATGTTACAGGGGGCAATGTTAATGTTTTATTTCCAAATCCAATGCCATTGGTTGCTTGCAGTGTTAAGTGAACAGCAGTCAAAATCATGTTGGTGGAGTTTTATGATTTCAATCAAATCCAATTTGAGTTGCAGTTTCTCAGCCATCACTGTCTAGTGGAAGTGGGCCTTTTAAAAAAATAGGGAAGTGAAATTATAATTGCGCTGTTAAAAAAGTTATTCTATGGTCATTTTCTGTGAGGGCCTGAAAGGGGGGTAGTGATTACGAATTATGCAAAATTTTCGCTGCCTATTACGAATTACATTAAAGTCTCAGAGCTGATTACGAATTTACGATTTGCGGCTAATGTCCAATTACACATTACGTTGATTTTTGCGGAGGCTGCCTACGAATTACGAAGTCTAAAACGGCCTGATTACGCCTTACGAAAAAGGGCTTGCAGGCCCTCTTCTGTAACCAGAATCATTCAGCACCTGCTAAACGCTGACAGGATCAGACATGCACTAATCCCACACTTCCCATCCTCATCACCTGGTATTGTCTACAAGGTTCTTTCTTCATGTTAAGTTTCCACAGGCAAAACTTAGTCACAACAAAACCTTTGGACATAACAAAACTACTCTATCTGATAATGCAGCTGTGGAGTCAGACCAAATCACCCATCACTAAGTTCACAAACACAATCATCGAGCAATAAAAGTCTCTAACTGTTAACATTATCATGTGAAATGTTACAGAGCCTCTTATGAAAGTCCCCATACTTTTCTCCTGTCAATTAAGAGTCCTATCTTTCAAAGCAATACTGTTTTCAGCTGCTAAGATACCACTGATTCTGAGGATTACACCGGCTTTCCAAATGTCCTTGACTTTGCCTTCAATTCAATTAACCTTTATAAACAAAAATATACAGGTTACTTCTAATTTCTTTTTGAGGCCACAATTCAAATGGAAGAAATTTCCTCTCCAAATAATTTGATCCTGTTTAACAAATGTGTCAGTCATGGTACATCTTTTTCCCATCAAATGATAGTTTTCTTCTCCAAGTAATGGATGATGTTGCATTTTTTGATCAATTTGAATGAGGACTGTATACACAGTTAATGGTTAATACAATATAAAATTGGTAATGTTAGCTATACATAAGTCTTCACATATTGCTGATTGTTAGTTCAAGGAGCTTAGACACAAGTTTCACTCCCTCTCTAAATGTGCAGCAAACAATACCTTCTGCTCCACTAAAAGTCTTCAGGTCAAAAATTGCAGGTTGTATGGGGGCTTTAGCAACGTTAGCAGAATTCCTGGTCACAAATGTGCCATAGACAAAACAACTTCCTGAACTGATAGAAAGGGGAATAGTTGAAATTTGTGGTAGATTTGTGCAGGACTTAGGTCAGGATGTGGTGAGGGCAGCTTTCCCCACCTAGTATCAGGGATAAGCCCTGATGGGAAGACGGGGGAGCCTGTTCACATGCTAGCTATGATGACAGATGGAGTACAGTTGGGCTCTGGATAGATGCTCTACTAATGCTAGTAACGCAAGATACCCAGTTCAACAGAAGATGAAGCCTGGACAGACACATCTTGAAAAACGTAATGACCATTAAATGCAACACAGTAAGGTATGTTTGCGAGTTATGAAGTCTACAGGGCGTTGTGCAACAGGAAATTCCAAAATAAATTCTGTCAGTCCAACGGGAGCCGTTACAGATTCCATGATATTGTGGAAAGTACTGGTGACATTTACAGTAAGTAACATGACGGGTTGTCGCTTGATAAACCATACACAACCTATATAATACCGGTTCCCATGTTGAATGCCAACATTGTTGCTGCTGTCATCAACGTGCTCCCAACGTTTCCTGTGCTGCAATGATGTAGATAACCGCTGCAGGCGCTCCTTGTCAGTCTTGAGTCGAGTCAGCGTGCGACAATCATGAAATGTTAAAAATAAAAAAATCCTCAAAGGAAGGCGTGACATTTAAGTTCAATGTACGGCCAATACACCCAAGTTCCTATCAACCAATATCCTAGCTTGGAAGCTCCTGTCATAGGATATTTTAGGAAGATGATTTAAGTCTTACTGCAGTTTTCTTAAAAGGTGCTAGATGCCGCTTCTCTACCACCTCCCTCTGTGTCAGGCCTCCGACTGTTTACTTCCGGGTCGACCGCACACGTGGGGCGGAGAGGGGGAACGCGAGACCGCAAAATGAAGAAGCGCAAAGCTGACGAAAAGGAGGGACTGGGGGAAAGCCAGGCAAAGACGGCGAGGGATGGAAAGACTGAGTTCTCCGTGGCGATGTTTAGGGCCATGCTGAAGGACAAGACGCAACGTATCGCAGGTAACGTGTTGATGAACATGATAGAACTTGCTGCAAAAGATCCTATAATTTGAAACAACTAGTAGTTGCAACTAACAGTTATAATTTTTCATATTAAATGGACACCACCAAAGCTAAATGTGAAAGTTAAAGGGGTTCAAAGAGGTCGTACAGCACTATCGACAAGCCTATCTGAAAAAGAGCTCTACGTGTGTTGGGGGGGGGGGCTTCTGACACCCTTTTACCCATCTTCCACCTCATCCCCTATGGCCCTACTCCTTTGGTTTTGCATCACTACCATCATATAAAGTGTGTTTTAAGGATACCTACTAAGTAACAGTACAAATGACGTTACCTTCAGGTTAAACACATCCTTACACTTTAATAGCCATGGTGACTGTTGCAGGGCTTGCTACACTGGCTATACAGAATATTATTAATAAGACAGTAAAAATAAATATGAAGACAGAGGCCATGGCTAACTGAAAGTCAGATCATAAAGTTTCACAAGTTTCTCACCATTTCAGCTCTGCAGAAGTTTGCAGTGAGCAGCAGGAACCAGGGAGAGACAACAGACATCATTAAAGACTTCCTCCAAGTGTCTCCTGAATGTGTGGAGATCCTCAAATTGTTGGACGAACAACCCTTAGATCAGGAGGTACTTCCTTCTCAACTGGTACTATTTAAGAAGTTGTGATACACAAGCTTGTTGACATTATCATCAACTTGTAGACATAATATTACATGAAGTAACCAAAAAAATTGCACCTAATTTACACCATGTTTTTTCATTATTAAATTTTTTCTATATTCAACTGTAACTTTTCCCTAGATAGCAAGGAGATCATTTTGACCTCCAGACCTTTGAAATCATCAAGATCACAATCGCACTGTGCAGTTGCACAAGTAGTTTGTTTATTATGGGTTCACCACACCACGAAGTGGTGTGTGGTGAACCCATATTGCTTTTTCTGGTGTTTCTTCTTCTTCTTCTCCTGCCATTTTTTAAATGGATTCAGCTTCTTCATTTTAGGGCCTAAGGTCCTGAAATTTGGTATGGAGGTACAGTGGGCAAATGCCCCTAGGCGTTTTTTAAATTTTTGTGATACAGGCTTTTAGAATGGTTTTATTTGAGTTTTTTGTCTGTTTTATAGCAAATGTATTACTGTGTTAGTGTGCCGTGTTTACCACGTCTGGGCATGAGTCATCACAATGGAATGCAGGGCATCAACCAATAGGCATGCAGCTTTCCTCCATCTTCTTGCTGATTGGCTGTTGGGATTTAACTTGATTAACACCTGCACAGAGCATTTCCACCTGCACAGAGCATTTCTTGCTGATTGGCTGTTGGGATTTAACTTGATTAACACCTGCACAGAGCATTTCCATACTGACAGTATGTCTGTATTCAAGTGTTTTGGTAGGTATTTCAAGCTTTCCTGCTCCAGCATTGGAATGCGGGGCATGAACGTTTTTTTTATTTTGAAAATCAACAGTTTGCATTATGCAATTAAAAATCGTAACCAATATAGTAGGGAATAGCTATCCAACTGTTGTTTTAGTTGTATGTTACTTCATATTATAGTTATATCAATGTAAATCATTGTTTTCCCTTGTGTTTCTCATTCTTTCCCTGCCATGTCGTAAAATGTGGTGAACCCATCGCTGTATTTGCTCCAAAGCAAATATTGGCCTTTCTAGTTTTCCCTGTTTTTGACTGTGTTGTTGTTTGTTTACTGCAGGTCCAGCAGATATTCCGCTGTCTGGAGGCTGTTCTAGTCCGTGCAGCTGACCTTCCCCAGTTCCACATACCCAGCATGCACGTGGTCCAGAAACTCTCCCACCAGTACTCCGAAATCTTCATTAAAACACTAAGACTTACCAACAATACAAGGTACTAGTATGTGCACTAAAATTTAAAATGTGTAATGATGAAAATCTCTATAAGTATGTTAGTTGGTTGGTAAGTTTTTAGATTGTCTGTCTGTACGATCTGATCACTACATAATCTCCAAGCAGACCTTTGGATAGCCAAGACAATATCCAGTCCAAGTAGGATACTGTCTGGCAAATTGGGATACTGTCTTGACTCTTGGCTACTGAAAGATCTGATAGGAATGGATCATTACATATACTAGTACATGGATTGGTGTAGAAACTAGTACATATACCCGGTCCAGTATGCTTAGTAAACGCCGAAAGTCAATAATACAGGGTAGGGATTTGCTTTACCTTACTACACATCGGATATTTCATATTTGGTCTTTTTATCAGATATTTGTTTCTTGTTTGTTTGTTTGTTTGATCACACACCAGCTTGTATAACAGGAGTTCTCTGTTCGTCAAGACGTTTTACAGTAGCTTTTCTCAGGTCAGCAGTCTCAAGCATTATGCACCGAGATTGACCGAAGTAGAAGTACATGTAGTCTTGAAGGTTTAAGCTTTCCACAAGCTAGATCATCAGAATACGCATTTCCTTTCCTTTTTCTGTGCAGCTGTGTGAAGTCGGCCCTCCAGTTACTGACTGCAATGGCATCACTCGGAGCCCAGCCCGCAAAGGATGCACTGCGTCTGGTGGACGTGACGTTATCGACACTCACTGGGCTGCTGCACAGGGCTGACAAGAAGGTAAGGAGATACGTGTCAGCTGCAAGAAGATTGTAACTCGATATATATATCTCACTTGAGCTATTCCTCAGTTTGAGTGAATGCTTCTTGGGGAATTTTCTTCTCATACACTCTTGAAAAACCACAGAGATCCAAATCTTTCTTAATGTACTGCTGAAATGATACCTGTCAGCAATGAAGTTTGTGACACTGTATATGTTGTATTTCATGTTTTGTTATGTACATTTGATGTATATTTCATGCCACGACCTATTCACAGAAGCTTCCTAAAGGTATCTGCAAGCCTTCCTGAAGAACAGTACTAAGACACTGAGCTACCCAGGTAGAAATAAAGTTGTAGAATAAACAAAATACAAGGAATGGGTAAAAATGATTTTTTTCCTCAGGACCTGCGTTCATGTGTCATCAGCCTGGTGGTGTCCTTCCTTCTGACTGATGACAAAGCTGTCATCCTACAGCTTCTGCAGTACAAAGGTCAGGGAGCTGGCTGGTTTCTGTAGAGTGTATTACTTCTTCACAGATTTAACTACATTGTAGCGTTACATGATTGGTGATAATCCCTGTGTGGTTCCTTGGTTGTCCAAAAGACGTACATAACATTAGAAATTCCTCCAAATACTGTACATTGTGTACAAGTCTCATTCCATACTATACAGACTTTTGTAAAGTAGGTATTAATTTAGTTTGCCAGAAGTATTGAACAAGTTTCCTTATATTGTATCATATGCAACTGTTAATCTGTAAAGTTAAGTGTCTTTCAACAAAAAGCCATAGAATCATGATACATTGTGCAATCATGCATCTAGATAAATGTTGAACATGTACTGTCTGCTAAAGGGATAATCAACTTTAAAATGTTATACAGGTTTGTGATTTTTTAAATATTAGGCCAATTTAGGTAAATTTTATGGATGACGTCCTTTGGAGATCCTAAATCTAATGTGAGAGAGCAATAAAAAAACAAGAAGGGACCTAAAAAACAAGATGCCTAGATTAGAAATATACTAAATATACGACAAATGTTAGGACACAAATTGAATGAGGTGACACAGTGTAACAAGCAAGAAGTCTTTTATTTATCATCAAAACAGCAATAAATCAGGTGGAACAGCAGTTGTCGTCTTGTGCTTTGGGGAGGTAGATGGAATGGTCAGCAAGTTTCTTCAAATGTGGCAGCATGAACCAAACTGAATTCCTAATTGAAGTCATGATTTCCTTGCTTGATGCTTCATAAGCTTTGGTCCGTACAAACCTATTTGCGGCACTGTCGTGACTCTTTGGTCATAGTTACAGGAAGCGGAATTTTTTTTTCTAGGAACAGGCCAAAATCAATGCGCGCGCGGATGTCATCCATAAAATTTACTTGGTGTGGCCTTAGTCTAAAATGAGGGAATGATAGTGGACCTGTGTTACCTGGCTTCCTTACCCCCCTCCCACTTACATGTACCTGTTGGCTCTGTCTACTGTCTTCTTCAGACTTGATGAGGAGCATCTTTAAGAACCTGCCAGGTGACCACCTGTCCACCATCCAGCTTCTCCTGACTACTCTTAGGGACATGGTGAGTGTGAGGGTGGAGTTGTGCAGTGTAATGGTGTATTGTGGTCTTTATATTTGACTTTGACTGTATTTGGATCCAGAGTAAAGCTTGACACTTCAGCTATTCTTCACGTGGTCCTCACATTAACATACTAAGTCTTATGATACATAATGATACATTTGATTGGAAATGTTATACATACAATTGTATAAATGTTTCAGATGTTATGAAGTTTGATATGTTGTGAAAGACATTTTGTGTTTTGTCTGTAACTGAGAAAGTCTTTATTTTCTACCCTCAGGTGGTGAGAAGTGATTTTGTGTCCAAAACTGCCAAAATCCACCTGTTTACAAACCAGGCACTGCACCAGCTGACTCTGCTGTACAACTGGACTGGCAGAGTGGACATTTCTGTCAGTGAGGGTGATAAGGTACCTTTCTTTTTATCCACAAGTACTCTTAAATGTTGTCAGAGCTTTTGTGTGGTGACTTTACAGATTGATATTTCGTATATGGCCTCCTTAGGTCAATATTGATCACACTAAAATCCTAATTGGTATCAGCTATGGCTGATCAGTCCTATATTATATATTAGACTGACAGTCTCTGCCACATGTAGGGCACATCTCATCTGTAAGCTGACTCAGGTCTGTTGCAGAGTTCTTTTCTCTGGGTCTGCTTCTCTTCTGTGCAGCGCATCAGTCTAGCTTCTAGTTAGATGATTAGACTTAAGCTAAAGGAGTAGATGAGATGAGAGTTTGCACAAGGTTTTCCATCCTTCAGACCTGATCTTGACCTTCCTTAGGAAACATCCGAAGGGCAGCAGAGGAAGGAAGGAAGACGTCTTGTAAGACAGCTGGTGCACAGCTTCCTCCTTGAGTTGTGCTGTGACTTCAGAAATGGCATCAATTTTCACGACAAGACCTTGGGCACCTCAGGAAAGTAAGACATTATGATTAACATCAATCCTTGGAGAGTTGACGTAAAGGCAAATCATCTAAGATTTTGGAAGATACTTTAATGTTGACCATCTGTAAGTTTTTTTCAAAACACATTGTGATCCTTAACTGTCACAGATTAAAATGTTATATTATATCCAACTCCATGACAGACACACAACATTATTCACAGCCAACATTTTCTTTTATTGGTAGGTTACATTGTACATGTATTTTGTTTTCCTTCCATTTCTTCAAGGAATATGAACCAAGTTCTTCACAAGTTCCTTCTAGACTTAAGACAGGCGAACCGAGACCCTTTGATGGCTGAGCTGGTTGTCCATGTCCTTAAGGCGTGCCCTGACCTTGTGAACAGGTACCTGTCAGACGTGCCCTTCTCCTTCTCACCAAGACCTTCAGCACAGTGGGAGGACAACATGGTGCTGCTCACAGAGGTCAGATGGTCTCAGAGTTGTGGGAAACATTTTTACATTGTGTTTTCATTCTTTGTTCAAGCAAAAGGGGATCTCTCTCCCGAATTAAGTCCCCAGAAAAGTGCAGTAATGACGAAAATGAAGTAAGAATTATATTGTTAGGTGTTCAAGCTGCAAATACTTTTCACCTTAGCTCAAGGTCGACTTAAACTGCAAACCTCACCTGGCAGTCTGTTACTGGTATCATATGCTTTCGCTTTAGTTATAACAATTGACTTGATGCTAATTATATTGCACTTAAGACTCTCACAGCTGAATTTAGTTCTACATGTCCTTACATTTCCGTAGATCTACAAAAGCCAGCCCGACATCTCGCCTGTCTTTGACCTCCTGGAGCCCCGCCCTGCTGAAGAGGTCATCTCCATGGTGATGGTGACAGTTTTGCCGTCTGCCATCAAACCTGTAGTTGCTCAGGGCATCAAGGTAGGAATTTCTGTGTACAGGTGTTTTTTTATTTTTATTTTGAGGCCTTTGAAAGAAAGTTAGTGACATCCCTTTAAAGGAAAATTCACAATTCCTACCTTTGATGCCCTGTAGTTGCTCAGGGTATCAAGGTAGGATGTTTTGTGTACAGGTGTAATTTTTTGTGTCAAATTTTGAGGCTTTTGAAGGAAAGTTAGTGACATCCCTTTAAAGAAAAATTCACAGTATTTTCTTTGTTTTCTCTTTTGTTTTTCCTGCTTGGCGCCTAACATAGCCATGTTACTTGAGAAATGAATTTTTTTGTTCTCAGCACGCTGAAGCATCAGTGAGAGCGACTACATGTTCCCTGCTGGTGTGTGTCCTTCAGAGGTCATTCAAGGTCATTAGCCATTGTCGGGACAGGCAGCAGTGGACGAGCCACACCGTTTACTCCTTTCACGACATGGACAGGGTTGTGGTGCTTCTCCGAGAGGCATTGGTGAAGGTTGGTACATAAAGCTGACAGAGATCGAAATCCCTTTTTCTGCATACCTGCACTGGGGCAGCCAACATTGAACAATAACAGACAAATTTTACCTGCACCACTCATACTAAAACTGTTCAGAAACTATTGCCATCATTTTTCTTATACTTAATGGTGAATGTGGCTGGAAAAATTCCATGTTACACCAACATGTATAATTATGTAAACCCAGTTCATGGACCGACACAAGTTAGATACAGGATGAGGTAGACATTTTAATTTTAAAAGACATACCGTACCTGCACATTTAGTTCCAATTTTACTTGCACTATTATAAGCTGCATATAGAGGTGGTACCCCAGTATCTCAAAAACCCTAACTGTAGAGACAGTTTGGAGCTATATAACAGGGGCTTATGAACTTTAAAAACACATAAACCTTGCATAAAGAAATGATTGCAAATAGCATTGTCTATCATCTACATCATTTAGAAATGTTTAATACAAAATTACACGCATGTTACAGTATTGTCTGCTTAAAACAACCTAATATAATCTAGCTCCAGAACTATGGAGCTTACTTTATACACTCCAAGGAAATAAGGTGTGTTCTGGCTATCTAACTGACAAGAACATCTAAACTCTTAATACCAATATCTTCCATACAACAATGATTGCAAAGAGTATTGTTACAGCAGTGTCTGCTTAAAACAACCTACAGCTAGAATATAGCTACATTTCATAGTCTGGATTATTTTAAAATATACTGAGTACAATATTGTGAAGACCTTAAACCTACATATTATGATTATCATGATAATAGTTATCTAAAAGAAAAGAAACTTCCTCCATAGCAATATACATAGGCTATGCAGTAAGCATGATACATGTATCACTAACCTCAAATGAAATATATATTATATCATAGATTCAACTAGAAATGCAGACTTAGTCTATTATATCTATGTCTATGTTTGTTATATGCTCAAAACTAGTAGTACACTTAGCCTAGTAAATAATAATTGTTCTTATATAATATACTAAAATTTGTCTTTACTCCATGCATGTCTCAATTCATAGTTTTTGGATAAATACTTGTTCAAATATGATTCTGTTAGTCACTGACAAAAAGTAGTAGATGCTAGTAACTGTAATTGAAACATCTAACAGTTTTTTCAAAATCTATCTGGGTGCTTGAGTAAGTTCTCTTGTGTATTTCATTACGTGGATGTCTTAAACCCTCATCAATATACAATGGCTGGTATGGTCACATATAGGCCTATTTCAGAGAAGTCTGGCTTTCAGCATCTGTATCATTGTTCCTTCTCAATCTCATCCAGAGATTGGTAGTCATGCAGGCTGTTACGACCATCTATGGGATCATTTACATCATCATCATCAGTCGACCCCCCTAGGGGACGGGGTTTACCGCTGCATTTACATACATGACAGCATTCTGGTAATCAGCCTGTGGATTGGCTACATTTATAGGGGGGATGGAAGGAATTTCATAATGTTCTTCAGAGCTGTTGTCAAGAGACTGCCTGGTAGTATGTAATTGTCGGGATGGACTTATTACATCATCATACTCATATGTCTCCAAGGCATGGCCTTGCTCATGATTACTGACTTGTTCAGAAGTTGAACATTGCCTTTGCCTCCTGTTCCAGATTATGCAAAGTATGGTAACAGTAAGGGCAGTGCCAAGCACAGAGCCAACTAGACAGCCAACAAAAATGGGTAGGGAGAAACTGTAACTGATCATTGGTACATTCAGTTGGACATTTATCTGTACAGGCAGTATGTCAAATGTGGAACCAAAAGGACATGCTGCAATACAGATGTATGAACCAGTATCTGCTGCAGTAACATTGGTTATGGTGATGGTACCATTCTTCCCTACAGTTACTCTTCCACCTGACTCAACAGTAGCATTCTCTCCAGATGGGAGAATGACAGTGATGTCTGGTGTGGGAATTCCTGAAGCTTCACAGACCAAGTGTAGAGTCTCACTCTTAACCAATGTCTTATTGTCATTCCTCTCAAACCTCACAATTGTTGGCTTTTCGCAGGTCAGATCCTCAGGATTGATGTCTTTAAGCAGCTGCCCCTGGTTGCGTGGATTAGTGCATGCAACTTCATTTTCAAAATCTAAAGATCCCTTCATTTTCAGCCTAAACCCAACCATTCTACAGTCACACTGCCAGGGGTTGTTTGAAATTTTTACTTTAGAGATTGATGACAGAATGTCATAGGCTGCCAATGGTAGTGTTGCCATTTGGTTGTTCTCAAGCCTAAGCACAGAGATGTTTGGAGCCTTTAACAATTCATTAACAGGAAACACTTCTATGTTGTTGTTATACAGGTACAGCTCTTGAAGCTGGATTAGGTTTGAGAAAGTATGAGGATGGATGTATGTTATCTGGTTGGAGTGCATGGACAACAGGTGAAGTTTGGTTAGGGTTGAGAAAGTATCAGGATGGTTATTAGTTATCTGGTTTGAGTACAAGAACAGCTTTTGAAGCTGGATTAGGTTTGAGAAAGTATGAGGATGGATGTATGTTATCTGGTTGGAGGACATGGACAACAGGTGAAGTTTGGTTAGGTTTGAGAAAGTATCAGGATGGATGTTAGTGATCTGGTTTGAGTACATGGACAACAGTTGAAGATGGATTAGGTTTGAGAAAGTATCAGGATGGATGTTAGTGATCTGGTTTGAGTACAGGTACAGCTTTTGAAGCTGGATTAGGTTTGAGAAGGTATCAGGATGGATGTTAGTTATCTGGTTTGAGTACAGGTACAGCTCTTGAAGCTGGATTAGGTTTGAGAAAGTATCAGGATGGATGTTAGTTATCTGGTTGGAGCGCAGGTACAGTATTTCAAGCTGAGTTAGGTTTGAGAAAGTATCAGACTGTATGTTGCTTATACGGTTTGAGTTTAAATCTAGCATCCTCAAATTCCTGTACCGTGAGAAGTCAGATTGAGTCAAATTTGTGATGATATTGTGTTGTAAGTAAAGACTACTGATATTTGTTGGCAGATTTTGAGGAACACTGCTGAGGTCATTGTTGCTGCAGTCACATTCTGATGAGCACCTGCTGCTACAGGCTGCGGTTGGTCCAGTTTCCTTCAGGATGATCAGCAGAAGAACCAGCAGTCTCCCTAGCCCATTGGTCATTTTGTCTGTAATGAAGTACAAACAGAAGTACTTTGGTTTGATTCTTGCTGCGACAGTTAGAACACAAGTACATGTACCAACTCAGACACTGCTATAATTTGCGAACTTCAGCGGAGCTTTAATGGCTCAGCTCACAACTCTTCAGACAAGATGGCGGACAGAGCACATGCTCTGGTGACCCATGACGTAATGGGCTCATTGATAATATAAATTCACAAGCCACATAACGCTGCCTCAACTGGCCACAAATGATCTGACAACCTGTCATTCTCATCTCTATTTTAACTGCTCAACTTAAAAACTTGTAGCCTGGTTACCAAACCTATTAGAGTCCTACATCCTCTCCGCAAATAGAAAGTCTTTCAGTCGGCAAAATAACTCATGGAAACTGGATCAGAAAATCCATTGATATTCAGGTCATGAAAAGTTCTTCCTCCAATATTAAACTGCTAGGACACTTCATAACAATATGACTGCAATGTCCGAGTGAGAACATTAAATTTTCCAGCCTTGAATTATCTGAAATCTATCCTTCAGGCATTTTGCCAGACTTATCAATGAAGGTTTGGAAGCCTACATACCTTGCTTAGGTCCTTTACAGCTTTTGAGTGCTGTGTAGAAAATAATTCAAAACTGCTCTGTGTTCTTCTCCCAAGCTGCAATGTAATGCAATAATATTATACTACACTCTTCTAGTATATACCATGACTATTTCAACATTACTTCTGAACACAGTATTTTCACCAGTACATAATGGGGTTGGCAGAAAAACCTGTCCAGTTTGGACTGTTTTGGCGGGTGGAAAAGCTTGTCCAGTCTGATAAAACGGTCTGCATGGGGTCTAGGCTTGGTTTTGATAGAAAGTCCAAATAGCCGCTATTTGAGACACTACTATGTTGAGACAACGGATACGACGTGAATATGTGGGTGCACATGAAAAGGGGACACAGGCTCACAAAGTCTAAATGCTGGTAACGCAAGAGATTGGCTGGCAGGTGCCATGCCTAGCTTCTTAATCTTATTCATACTGTAAGTCTACAAATTTCTGCGGTATATTTAGATTCGCGGAATTCGCGGGGACCTCTGTACCGCGAATCTATTACCCCGCGAATATGTTTTGCGTAAGTGCGCCCCCCTCCCCACATGCATTAACGACGGTAAGTGAAACACAAACACACGCGACAAACACAAATCACTGCAAATCAACTCCATTCTTAGCAAATGTACGTATGTTGAGTACCAAAATTCTAAAGTTATACTGATGTCAAAAAATTATAATATTATGAGACACCGAATCGTGATACTGCGGCACTGGCCGTGTCAAACGTGCACCGCCGGACAAAAATCTCTGTGTGCTGAGCGCCGGCCATGCGCGCCCGGGCGCTTGAAAATTGCGGGCACATCGGGCAAATCTACAAGTATTTTGATGAAAAACATAACTGCTGGTACCTGGGAAGTGTTAGTTGGTTCTCTTTTGCGCCCTGCTTTGCGGGCGTTTTTTTTTCTTGTTTTGCTGGATAGAAACGCTACCGTGGGCCGCTACAAAACCGTAGGCGACCTTTGCATACTTCCGGGTTCAAAATCTCGCCGAAGACGGCATAAATATTCTTAGTAATATATATTTTCCCGAAAGATTCTTTCGATTATGCATTTCTTCACTAGAGTATCGATGTGTAGTCGTGGAAAATAGCGTTTTAGCGCTTATTTCCGAACAAAGAAAATTGTTTACACGTGCGTCAGATCGATCGTCAGCTATACCGCCGGCAGTCTCGCGCGGTGCACGAAACAAATTTTTGCGCCGCGTTTTAGGATATAAATGCCGGAACACGAACTTTTATTACTTTAAATATACACTTTACAAATTTTTCTTTGAAAAATAGCCAAGGAGAAATCGCGAATCTAAAAATACCGCGGATTGTCCATTTTCCCGAAACCGCGAACTTTAGGCCCCGCGAATCTAAAGAGACTTACAGTAATTCATTCCTGTCCAGCCCAACAACGTAGGATTATTGGCAGGTTGTGCATTGTTAGTAACAATTGTGAACCGGTACATAAAAAACAAAGGAAAGAAAAGGATAATTTCTGGTTTGTAAGATTTCTAAGTAGGCACCAAAAGTGTCATGAGCCATACTAGTCTGGAAATAGAATGTTCCTTGAGACCATTTTAGCAGGTCAATATCAGTTATGCCCATGTACATACTCTCAAATGAATTGCAGGGATGATATACATGTAGTACAAACTTAAACCATTGATTGAGTTTGCCAGATGGCTACAAATGATTGTCTAACTATATTATGTGATCAGAATTTTTTTCACTTTTCAAAGAAATTTTGGATTTATCCAATGTTGAGTATAACCTCCTGGGTTTACCTACCAATATCTTGTTTAAACAACTAGAGTACTGTAATTCATCCCAGAAGTTTTCGTACAATCCTCCACCCCTAAACATAATTCCTAAGCAGTTCTACAGTAAAGTTGGATATTGTTTGACAGGCTAAAACAACCAGCTTGAGGATTAGGGGATAAATGTTGACAATGTTGCCAATCCTGCTGAATTTAGCATTATGCATTGCCAGGAACCCCCAAGCAGACCCTTTATTCAGACTGGACAGGTTTTTCCGCCAACCCCAGATAATGGGATGCCTCAGTACAACTACATGCGCAAGATCTATCTCTACTAAAATATGGGACTACAGTCACACATCTCATCTGAAGTGTTTTGACCCCAGCTGTATATTACCACTAATGCTCCAGTTAGAATTTAGGATTCAAACCTCCAACCTTTGGGTCCAAGGAACATACATTGTAACCCATACAGCAGGCAGTACCTTAATCCATTATTATAATAGGAGAGGGAAATAAAAGACTTACCAAGAGATTGTGCTGCAGAAAAGTATCCAGATGCAGCCACCTTTACTGGGATGAGTTCAAGTGGTCAAAGGCGTTCCCTAAAGAAGTTGAAGTTGTAGTAACTGTTGTAATTCCTGCTGCGGCAATGTACACTGCGTTTCTACCCGTCTACAGAAAGGATTATTTGCAGTTCCGTGAGCCTTCCTTTTAAAGCCAAGCTTTTCTGACTCAACTTGAGTTGAACTTTGCTATGAGGAAGTGTGTAAGATTTCCCAGTAAAACTTGGCATAAGAAGTGAGTAGAATAGCTTCTGTCAGCTGAACTTGGCTTGAGCTCTATAAGGAAATCCTTTACCATTCCTTATCTGCAACCAGCCGTTAGAGGGGGAAACCATGTGATGTCTGCAGACTGCCTTGTTATTTTTGTTACAGATTATATCTGTAGGGGAAAGATTATAATTATTACACTCTTGTAAAATTCTCTAATCATGTTTACGAAGTCACAAAGGGAAAATATATTGGTTTTGCTCAGTTTCTTTTTTCTTCTCTAAACAAGTAAAGTCAATGACATGGACCAGATGTCTGTGACCACGGCAGCCACAATGTTGTTGTGCTGCAAAAAAAGGTTGGAAAACTGCCATACAACTCCTCTTTATTAGTGCAGATTGTGGCCATGCTGTTTGTTTACATTCATTTTAGGAGCCTCCTAAAAATATAGCGGGCCTGGCGCAACTTATTCTTGTGCTGCCGGAAAAGTGAAAGAGCAATGCTAATACTAGTATGTTGAAAGTTATTGAAAGTGACAATCTAGATGAGAAAATTTGAATTATCTATATTTACAGTTTTGGCGCAAAAATCTTACATAATATCATAGAAATGGATGAACTGGATGAAATGGATGTCTCTGTGTTGGATACACTTCCTGAGGACCAGAGGAAGGCTGATTAACCACTGGACACTGGACAATACATGCTACATTGACAGCATTTAATTCTTTTAAATGTCACAAAAAATTGTTAATTGCTTATTTTATTATTATTTTTTGTTTGTTTAGATGCTGCCTGATATAAACACTATCATCACTGCCTGGCAGTCTGCAAGGAAACAGGAGAGGACGACAAGCACTCAGGAACCACAGGCTGGGAAAACTCTGGTCTTCTCATCACCAGGTACATCGTGTGGGGATCTCCCCATATATTTAGAATTATGTGATTCATGCTATTCACTGGAAAGTAAAGAGGAAATAATGTCACTGAAATATCCACAGTCTCCTTCGTTGGTTTTTCCTGTTTAATCTTATCTGCCAGCACCTGAATGTAAATGTTGATGAAGAATTGATGATTCAAACCAAAGGAAAAAATAAAGGGGGGCTTCTGGTGCTGCCATGCATGTTTCTTTGTTTAACCACATTGTATTTGGGTGCCACTGTACTTGCTTATGACTGGAGGTGGTTGCTCAGCAAGGTTTGGCTGTATTTAGTTTTAGACATAATTATAGTTCTAGACAGCTAATGTTATCATGTAGACTTCAGTTATTTTATACCCTATACCATTAATCTTTTATGTTTTGTAATTTGCAATTAGCCCCCGGGCAAGAATTTGCAATAAACTTTTCAATATTATTATGTACTATGATGCATTCAAATGTTTTTTCACCCCATCACCCCCAGATGTGGATGGAGTGCTGCATGTCCTGGGTCTGTACCAGCAGGTTTTACCCGACCATTTCCTCCAGTCAAACTATGACTTCACCAGGCTGCTGCACGACACGGCAGTGTGGGTCACGGAGCAGGGGTTGACATCACCGTGGTTACACATCATGAGCATTCTGGGAAGGCTGCCAAAGGGAAGGATCAAGTGGCACAAGGAGGTGGGTGGCATCGTGTTGAAAAAAAATTAAAAAAAAAATCATGTTGAAAGTCTGACAAATTATGAAAAAGTCTTGAGTGAACTCTTTGAAATGGTCCTGAATCAACTGAAAAATGCTCATATTTTGCCCCCAACAGTTGAGGAAAGTCCTTTTCTTCCTAGTTGTTACAGTTTTCCCATCTATCAATGCAGTGGTTTGATTAAAAGTTCAAAATTCAATGTTTAAATTTTAACCCAGCCTTTTGTGTTGACTTCATGGCTCATTCTGTAGCATTTAAGCCTATAATAGGATGCCTAGACCTGTTTTTATTTTTTATTTTTTTCGCCCTGTCGCTTCATATTTTTTCTGAAAAAATCCGAGAACCAACAAATTAAATTGGTGTGGCCTTATTGTGTATTTCTTGCTGATTTTGTACCTATTCCATTGTCACACAAATGAAAGTTCTTACACTGTAATGACCAGTAGAAGAGTGTACTGTAACTTAGTTCAACTGTTCAAATTCACCTTTCACCGGTGCAATGGTGAAGTGGGTAAAGTGATCGCCTTGCATTCGGTAGTTCGATCAATGACCGAGTCATACCAAAGACTTAAGAAATGGTACATACCGCCTTCTCTGCTTAGCACTCACCATTTGAGAAAGATTATACCACCAGCAGTGGACTAGCCACCTGCTGTAGTGATTGCACAACTGTGTGGCCCAAGGGCTACAGAAACAGAGATGGGCACTGCCATATGTTGCGGGGAGGACTTAAGCTTTTAACTTTCACCAAAGAGTGCCTATATTTATAGGAAAAAGGCCAGAGGACAGCATGCTACCAGCTCATGCAGGTGTTCTCCAACACATCAGATGTTCAGGTCGCCAAGCAGACAAAGGAACTTCTGGTGAAGGTGAGACATGATTTCTGAGACATGTGCTGTTAGCTCACCTGAGTTGTAGTTGGTATGTCAAAAAGGAGGTTCTGTTTTGCATATATTTGGTATGGCCATGTAACTATGAGTATGTATACTATGTTTTGATGTACATTGTACATTTGTGTCACACTGTGTGTGTGTGTGAGTGTGCAGTACCACCGTGCATGTGTACATGTCCAGGCATCATCCCCAAAACTTAGTCAGCCTAGTGCCAAAATTAAGTCATCTGACAGGGAAATAAATAGTCCTTGCTTTGGCGTCTTACATAGATACAGGGTATGGCAAAATGCCGCTTGTGAAGTTTGACCCTTTGGCCATCTGTTGAAAAGAGAGAGAGAGAGAGAAAGAAAGGTATTGGTAAGACATATCTAGAGGATATGTTGCATTTCCTTTTGTAGAAGAGGACAGTTCTTTACAGTGACAAATTTTTGCAGGTCCTGAGTGACACGGGTCTGTTTGACCACACCTCGGAGGAGGCAGAGCTGTGGCTGAGACATCTCAGACTCCTTGAGACGACTGAGGAGAGGGACCAGGTGCTGACATTTCTGGACAAAGTTCTGACACGGGGAGTCAGGAATCCTTACCCATTTGCAGACAAGGTAAGAATAATAAAATATTATCTAGTATATGATAGTCAATTTCGCCTAAAATAGACACAGACCCACCAAATTGTGAATGAATGATACAGACTTAGTGTCAGTGTTAGACTGAAGGACGGTTCTTAACTTGTGTTTTAACAAGCTATTGGAATAAAGCTGTGCTTATTCCTCCGCCTGTATTGTAAAAATGAGACCAACACAAATTCTAGTAACAAGAGACATATCGCAATGGTAAATCATCTCAGTAATATATTTTCTTGTTTCTGATATTTCAGGTTGCTGAGATGATCGTCGAAGCCTCCTCCTTTACCTCAGACAAGGTCAACACAACAGGGCCTGACCTTGAAGCAATCTTAGATGCAAATTCTGCAGTTAACGTAGAAGACATACTTGAAGACAGCCCACAATCATCTACAAGTCTTCTTCCCTTCAGTGCATTTGTCCCAGCGTTGTTAGAAGACTGTAGGTCTGTGGTACAGAAGGTTGTTGGAGGGACCATACAGCCATCAGTAGTTAACAACATCCACAGTTTTCTGACTCCGGCATGTCTTGACTTGCTCCACTCACAGGTTGGTGAATAATGTCTTAACTACATTGCTTTTGGGCCAGACTATTGAGAATTTGAATCCCAGCTTGTTTGTTTGAGCCTTTGCTCATGAAAATTCTAAATTTCTAACTCCTATTTGTATTCATCAAAAAGAGTAGGACATATTGAATCTGTATTATTTTGTATGTAACCTGTCTTTCATGTCACAACCAGTGCAAAAGTAGCATTTCAGTCTTCTCTTTTATTTCAGACTGACCCCCTCCCCCTGTGCCTTACCCTCCACCAACACGTGGCAGCTGTACACAGTGAAGCATCAACAACATCAAACAAGCTTGCACCTCAGCCGTGGATAGCTGACTGTAACACTCTTGCTCAGACTGTAGCCGAGTTCCTGTCCACTGAAGAAATACCCAAGATAGAAACCTTGCCTTGCGACAAACTGGTGAAGAAGTTGCAGAAAGACCTTGCTGTGGATCACAAAGACACAAGCGTCGAGTTCTGCAGAAGTTTGTTTGAGAGGATAAGTTGTTTGGACACCAGCAGCTTGGACCTTGTCGCAGATTTGTTTCTTAGCTTCTGTCTGAAGACTCCAGACTTGCTCAGGTTTGTGGCAAAGTTAGCAAGAACCAGACGTCTCCCTGAAGCAGTGGTGGCAACCTTGAGCCAGTCCTGCAAGGTCATTTCCATAGCAACGCTCCTATTCCAGTCGACCAATCGGCAGCTTATACATCAGCAGGTTGTAAAGGATGCTGTCTTAGCTTCCATCAAGGTGCTGAAAGATTCAGAGTTTGTGTTTACTGGAAAGTGTGTGCTGCTTTCCCTGAAGAGAGAGCTGGATTCTCTGACGTCCAACCAAGATAGCGCCAACATAGCGAACTACTTCTTGTATCTTCAAGAGATACTTCAAGCCTCAAGGGAAATGCAAAATCAAGAGGTCTTAGATGTTGATGCGGGGAATGACAAGTTGGAAGACTTGGAGAAGACTATCTTGAATCATCCAATAGTCAACAGCTGGTTTCTGAAACCTAAGACAGGAAACAAGAAAACTGATGCCGTTTCAGGTGTGATGAGTGAAGAAACATGTAAGATGATAGCAAGCATGATGCGCCATTCCCCTTCTAGTTCCACCCAAGAACGTGCACAAGATTTTATCCGCAAGCTTGTGACCATCTTAAGGCAGGAAATAGGGTCTGCTCAGAAGAAGAGCAAGTGGACAGCAGGTTCCGTGACCTTGAACCTGTTCAGTTGTCTACAGTTCTGTGCTGATGCAGAGGTCATACAGGAGGTGGTGGAAGACTTGTCAAAAATTCCACTTCAAGTTCTCCTTGGTCCACAGAAGACATCTTCAGACATGCCAAGTCTACATTTGTGTGGCCAAGTTCTCGTCTCAGGAGTGCACAGGTTGCTCGCAGACACTGGAGGACAGGTACAGGTAAGACCAGTGCTCCAATGCTTTGTAGAAAGTCCAACTCACTGGTCTTTTTTGCTTTGGTAGAAAAAAACACTGTTCCATAATGTCAAGTTCAAATATCAATGATAAGTTGGAGGTCACCATGTTAGCTACATCTATTATATTATTTGATTATTGAAAAAATCATTCTTTGCATTGTTTTAAAGTATCTTTTTACTGTAATACCTGTATAGATATCTGAAAATTTACACTTACCTAACAGTCTGTACTGTAGCTCACAGGGGATACTGTGTACCTTAGAAGTAAAGAAATGTGTTCCTCCTAGGTGTCTAGTTGCTGCTTCCATCAGCTTCTCAAGCTGCTACAAGTCACTGATAGCCAAGATGTGAAGACTACAGTGCTGAGACTACTTGAGACCGAGTCAGCATTTCCAGCGGAGGTGGATGAGAACCTTCTGGAAAATCTATTGCAGAGACCCTCAGAGTCGAGTGTGCAGGTTGCAGCTTTACTGGTTGAGAAAAGTGTAATGTGCAGGTAAGGGCTAGCCCACAATCATTGAGTGTTTATGGATCAAATTGTAGCCTACTGTAAATCATTTTATGTTTGCGGACATGTTTGTGGAACTATAGGCTTGCGTTGCAGACAGGTGTAAGAAAAAGAATGAAGGCAGCAAAAGGACTACCAAACTGTTGGCAGGTGAAATCTCTGATTTGTTTGTTTGCATGTTTGCTGTCTTTCAGGGCCCAGCTCCGTTCCTTTTTCCTGACTAAAAGTGGAAAGAGGAAGCTGAGAACACATTGGCAGACGTACGTTCCTGCACTGAATTCCTACCTCAAACAAACTGAATGTGATAAAACTCAAGGTGAGAAGAAAATATTCTGATCAATGAACCTGTACACCCTGTTGTGCCTGGTAGTAGAGAAGCTCATTTGTTCATCAAGTTCATTTCAGCTAAACTGGTTCAAGATTATGTTGACTCTTCTTTCTTCAAGTACTGCATTTGCGAGGTACCATTTTTTTTTCCTTTATTTTCCCCCCAAAATTTTTTCTTTTTTCCAGAAAAATCATCAGGCAAGGTGTACCAGGTACTGCTGGAAGACTGTTACAATGAGATGGTGGATTCTGTCTTGGCAAAGAAGGAGGAGGAGATACCGGGCGGAGTGGAGCTGGTCGCTAGGTTACTGAGAGAAAAGTCTGTTGCCTTGGATACCAAGGAGTTCCTTGAGAAGCTGATACCATTGATGTCATCTCCAGATACATCTTTAAGAAGGTATCCTTACCAAAAAGGAATCTTTTATTGCTTAATGTGTAATTTCTTACATGGTAATGTTATAACAGAAATTCTGTTAAAAAAAGTTGATAAGTTGATCATGGTCCATCTTACACCAAGAAAAGTGATAAAGATTAATCATTGAACCATTTTAGCATCTTAGCCTTAGATTAACTTAAACTGGATAATATGTTACTAGTATACATTTTAGCTAAATGTACTTGTTGTTACATTTATCTTATAGGTGGCAGATTGTTCTTGATCTCCTCAAAGATCTTTCTGACCAAGACGAAGGAGAGAATGATTCCACGTGTGGCCGTCTTCTTGTCGCATCCTGGGAGGGTCTTACTACACTTTGGAAGAAGAAGAAAGATGCAGCAGACATGACAAGTCTTCAAGAGAAGGAAAATGGTCTGCTAGAAAACATGCAGAAACTTGTGGTAAGACTCAACAATATATACCTAGGAGATTAAATTGTATTTACACATGTTGGCCAGTTACAATGTAGTTAGTTTGTTAACAGCTGGATACTCAATGACATATCTTTTGTATGAATTTAACAATTTGTGTGTAGGTATTGGTCTAGGATTAAGTGTCCCTGACAGTGGTTGCCAATTTGCCATCTCATAGTAGTAATTAATTAATATTCTTTTCTTTGCTGTTTTGTTTTTTGTTTCATGCTTGTAGAGTTTTGTGAGGAAAGACTCATTGCTGGAAGACTCCAAGTCAACTTGGGCCAAATTTGTGAAGACTGGGCTGAGGTGAGTAAATTTCTGTTACACAAGTTAACAAAGTCATCTTAAGGTCAAGTTTATTGACTAAGAATCTAAAAGTTCTGAATTTGAGTCCCTACAGCTGCCCCAACTCTTGTCTAGTTTTGTCTTTGGTGCAATCATGTCTGAAATTGCCATTGGAAGACCAAAATCCATACCTGCATTAATTTTCAGGTACAACCTGGAGAATTCCCTGTTCCTGCGAACGTTGCTCTGCCTGACTGGGATCGTGTACGGGACAGACGCCCCCGAGCAGACCCTGCCGCTCCCGACTCTCTACCAGATGATCTGGAGCCACTCCCACTTCCTGTCAATCATCATGGCACGGCCTGATGGGAAGGTGGAATCTGCAGCAAAAGGTAGTAACTTTATGCCATTTTGATTTTGAAGCCGAAGGTCATTTTATGAATTATGAATTTTATGAAGTCCTCCTGAAGAAGGAAGTATTTAGTCAGCACGTGAAACTGTACAATTGCAATCAATTTCCAAATTTTTAAACTTCTCCTTAACTTTTGTCATTAGTCAGCTTTGTCCTGTTCTGACAATCCTTGTGGTTTGTTGAAGGTGACCTTGTGGAGCTGCTGTTCCATCTGGTAACCATGGATACCACAGCCTGCACCAGTCAGCACGTCCCTGTGTTGCTGGGGGCCTACAATGCCACACTCAGTAGAACAGGTACAAATGAACTTTATTGACACAACAAAAGTACAGCGACTTTCGTAAGGTCTGTAACTACCGGTAGTCGAACAAAGAGACGTGGGTACAGAAGAATTAACCTACGTACAACACTGTAGATGAATCAACTTGTACTAATTGTTCTAAGGTCTAAACATTCTTTGATATATTTACCTATATGAACACAGTAAGGGTTATTACGGTTATAGGATGAAATTGAAGTTACAGCTCTATCTATAGCATGTAATGTGACAAGTGCTGTTGCGTAAGCTGAAAGAAGGTTGAACAGCTTTGTGCGTTTATCATTATTGAGTGGACAATCCATAATAAAATGCCGTTCATCTTCAATATCATTAGATCAGAATCAAAAAAACCTCTGGTCACAGGGGACATGTCACCTTGATGTGTCAATATTTAGAAACGCTTTTTGTTGACATTATGGTTGACATCATCAGACACAGTGTATTTTCAATTTCACAGTTGTTTACAAGTGCAGAATTGTTGCTTCAAATAATGAGAAAATCACTTTTATTTTTTTCAGATCAAACCCTTCTCTGTATTCTACATGTGTATGAAGAGCAGGGATTTGCCTCAGAAGAGTTTATGTAAGTGTCTACAGTTAGATTGACCCAAGAATTAAAGCTTCGCAGTTATATAATTAGTCTGACGTAGTATGCCAAGATGAGGTGTGTGTGTACGAATGTTAGCAGAAGTCACAAGTCTTGGTTGTGTTGTGTGTGAAAACAAGACTGCATGATGCCCTTATCATCTTTTGCTGCATGCATTTTTTTATGTCAATATCTTAAACCACTCTTCTACTTTATGTTTGCTGTGAATTTTTTTTACCATATTTTCTTGGTTTCACACAGGTTCCTCTTTAGTCTGCCCTTTAATGTATAAATTCCAATACAGTAATATACTTAGAATACCGGGGGTATCTATTTCTTGACAACCCTAATTTTGGTAACCCAAATTTAAACCCTAATGACTTGGCAGGCCCTGGCTGTGGGGAGTGTCCTCTGTCGAACACTATCAGGCCAGGAAGAGCTTTGGTCCATCGCTATGGCAACAGCCGGGGATGGAGGATGTGCTGAAGATGCTGGAGAAGGAGAAGATGCACCAGTCTGTGCTGAACTTCCCTGTCTCAAGGAATCTTAAACCTCAGGTAAGATCCTAGAGGCAATTTTACAAGGTAACACTGGAGTATGACCGGTCTTTTAAGATTTGGAAAGAAAAAAGTTTAAACCTTCACTAAATGCAAGGAGTAAATATCTACATGTATAGTGTTTGGGCCAGAATCAAGATGTCCTGGTTTAAGCCTTTGGCTACAAACAGAGATCCAACCACCCAATAACAATGGTGACTGCAAAATTCAGAAGGTCAAGTATCAAAATTAGCTTTGACGAGTACAGTTTCAGCTTGCAAGTTGCCAATGTTATTACTTATACCACCGTGGTTCCTCAAGTTGACAGCTAGTGAAATCGCGCCTGTTCTAACTAATATTTTCCAACACTCGCTAAACACTGCAGAAATCCCTAAAGATTGGAGGGATGCAAATATATGCGCCATCTTTAAAAAAGGAGATAGAGCGGTCCCCAGCAACTACAGACCTGTTTCACTGACCTGCATATCCTGCAAACTACTTGAACATATTATCCATAGCCAAATCATGAAGCACCTAGAAAGTTACAGTATATTAACGGATTACCAGCATGGATTCAGAGCCAAACGATCCACAGAAACACAGCTTATACTAACAGTCCATGACATAGCTGGCGCACTAAACAGTAAACGGCAGGTAGATTTAGCAATACTTGATTTCACTAAAGCCTTTGATAAAGTCCCCCATGGCAGGCTCATCTCAAAACTGGAGTATTATGGAATCCAAGGCCCTACGCTGAATTGGTTAAAGGCTTTCCTGACCAACAGGGAGCAAACAGTAGTGGTTGAAGGGAAGGCGTCGGCTCCAGTTAAAGTAGCGTCTGGGGTCCTCAAGGAACCGTCCTGGGGCCATTGCTCTTTCTCTTGTATATAAATGACCTACCAGATCAGCTTGACTCAAATGTGAGGTTATTTGCCGATGACTGTCTATTGTATGTAGAGCTTTCTACACAGACCGACTCACAACTTCTCCAAAAAGACCTGAACACCCTGGAAGAATGGCAAAGCAAATGGCTCATGCAGTTTAATCCCGAAAAATGCTATATTATGCACATAACAAACAAACGAACACCACATGCAACTAGCTACCAGTTTTGTGGTCAGGCTTTATCAACCACAAAAATCCATCCGTATCTGGGCGTCACGCTGACAAGCGGACTGAAGTGGGGTGCACATGTTAATAATATCACAACTAAGGCGAAACAGACATTGGGAGTGATTAAACGTAATCTGTGGGCATGTCCAACTAGAGTAAAATCACTTGCATACACGTCACTTGTAAGACCGAACCTAGAATACGCTGCGACAGTATGGGATCCATATACAAAGAAAGACAAAGACGAATTGGAAAGGGTACAGAATCAAGCTGCAAGATTCTGTATGAACAACTATGTAAGAGGTGCTAGTGTCACGGAAATGAAAAGAAACCTACAGTGGACCTCACTGGAAGACAGAAGAAAGATGTCTAGACTATGCATGATGTACAAAATGACTAATAAACTGGTGGATGTCCCAACTACTAAGTACCTAATACCAGCCCAGAAGAGAACAAGAAATAGCCACGCATTCAAGTACCAGAGTTATCAACCAAGGATTGAGGTGTTCAAGAATTCATTCTTTCCTAGAACTATCGCAGAGTGGAACTCACTGTCACCAAGTACAGTAGGGGCATTGTCAATAGATAGCTTTAAACAATGTCTAGAGCTAGAAGTTCAAGGGTTAGGTGTAACAAGTCGATCGGTGTAATATAGCCAGCTGCCGCCGCGCCGCGTGCCTGCGAAGCTGGTGTGTTACGCCGAAAGGCGGTTATACCGGCTATACAGATACAGATACAGATATCTGAATGACTTCCAGCACTTCCTTGTAACCCACTATTTCCCTGCCTGCTACACAGGTGTGTGAGGTGCCCCAGTCTGCAGGTGAAATGTACGATCCCTGCTTCTTCCTCCCACTCTTCTCCAGCGTGCTCACACCAGGTAAGTTTGTGATCAAACAGACAGTAAACTGTAACAACTGCACACTGTAACTGGTAAGGTAGCAATTTCTTACTTATCAAGTCCTTCCTAAAATCAGAGAATACATCATCATGCAGCCCTAAACAATTTGCATGTTTATCAATATTCAAAAATGTCTCGGATTGTATCATATTGTCCCTACAGAATGTTACACAATCATCTAATAAACTATTCAGATTAATCTCCAATCAGTTCACACAGTGCAAGGCAGTATCCATTGGCCAGAAGAGTGTCCATAGCCACTAAAGCTAATGGACACTCTTCTGGCCAATGGATACTGCCTTGCCACTATCAATACCTTATTTCACCATATTTTTTTACCACCTGTCCCCAGAGTCTGTAGTGGACTGCAGAAGATTTGTGGAGAGCCACTGCCTGGGTTTTGTGCTGGCTGGGTTGGCGAGTAATGATGCAGACATGCGGGCTGCTTCTTACCATGTCCTGTCGCTCTTCTACCAGCACCTGGAGGGAGCCAGGTTTGCAGAGAAGAGACAGGTACTGTCATGTTGCTGTGTTTCTGCTGTGTCCTTCCTGTTTACAGCTACTGTACACATGTACTTACTGCACTGATTCTTAGCCTGTAGTCCAGCCTTGTTAGCTTAACTCCGCTTTCCAAGATCTGCTGCCCTGCCAAATTATCTAATCAACTAATTATCAACTCAACAAAAAACACCTGCAGTATTATTACTTACATGTCAGAGAATAGTTAAACCTTTATTGTTACCACTGACATATATTCTGTACGTAGATTACCACATACCGGTACATAATAATTTGTATATTCTGTACGTAGGATGACTTTATTCATACAAATTCATGTACTAGCTTTCTTAGATCTTTAGTTGTAGAGACCATACAGAAGTCCCTGTACTCTTTCTTGTGTCAATGAAGAATCTCTTAAATTGCCTGTCTTCTATTCCCAGTTACTGTACCTGCTGCAGTGTCTGCAGAATGGGATCCACCGGCCCAACCTGCAGGTTCCCAACATCCTCACACTGTTCCTGGCCAGGACAAGCCAGCTGCTGCTGCAACCAGGTGGGCACTACGGGACATGTTAGGGCACTACGGGACATGTTAGGGCACTACGGGACATGTTAGGGCACTACGGGACATGTTAGGGCACTATGGGACATGTTAGGGCACTACGGGACATGTTAGGGCACTACGGGACATGTTAGGGCACTAAGGGACATGTTAGGGCACTACGGGACATGTTAGGGCACTAAGGGACATGTTAGGGGACGCACAGGCAACACAAGCCTTTAGAGATTGAGTTTGATGGGAGATTTTGAATTGAAGTCTAGTATTTGTAACACATTTCTGTCTTACCTCATCACTTCAAGGAAAAGTGGTCAGCTAGCTGATTTCTTGAATAAACCAAGGCATTTAGGATTATTAGATGCACGTTTTTTTCCCTGGAACATGTTACATGTATGTGTTGTGTTTGTAAAGAATTTTCTTTTTTTTGTGAAATAACAGACCAAAATGAATAAAATGTACACCCAGATGTAATGTGGTGTTCGTATTTTTAACTGTCTTTTGAATAATTGTATTACTTTCATACAGGGAACCTTCTTGTACCATTTAACCCTCTGTTTTCCAGAGGAACACATGTACCCTCTTGTGTGCCGCTACCTACTGGTGCGACCTGACCTTGACCTCAAGGCTATCCCAGAATTCCATATCCTGTTCTTCAGCACAAGTATGGAGGTGAGTGAAAGGACTTGTAAATGAATTTGATATATACTAGTACATTTTTTTTTCATATCTTGTTCAAAACAGAAGGTGCAATAGTCTCCTTGGACTAAACTGCCATACAGACAGTATTACTTGTTCCACGTCTTGGATCCAATAATCTTTACTGTGACTACATGTAGTTGTTGTATTTTTGCGTCCAGTTTAAGACAGAGCGTTCCTGGATCCTGACCCTGCTGGTTGATGGCCTGAGAGACAGACAAGACTTCCTTCTGTACCAGAGCAAGTCGGTCTTCAGCATAGCCCTGACCTTCTACGAGTCTCCTCTGAGTGACGAACACTCCAAGGTAAGGAACCCCCCTCCCCCTCCTTGTGAGATATATAGTGTGAAGGTCATGTGTTGCAGGGTTCTAGTGTGGTAATGGTTATGTTCATTTTGGCACATTTATTGAGCATCAAATACATTATTTTGTACAACATTGTGGATGCTTTTGATTACATCCATTTCTACACCTTATGTTCTGACAATCTACGTTACAACAACCTTGACCTTACGTCAGAACATAGGGCTGTCGGAACAGCTTTCAGTTTTGCATAGCCAATAAGCCACAATTAACATGGTGAAGCACACCCTAAAGGATTGTAATAATTACAATCCTTTAGGGTGTGCTTAGACTTAAGTTAAAGCTGCACCCATAGCTAGGGATTTTCCTCAGAACATTGATTGCCCTACCAGAGAAAAATTGTCATTGGTTCCATACCTTCCATGTTGCCCTGCCCCCTAGGCCCTGGTGATGTCCTTGCTGGAGAAAGCCTGTTGTATCAAGGAGGCTGCCGAGTCTTTGTGTCAGAAACATGGGCTTCTGTCCTGGCTGCATGCACTTGTTATCAGGTGAGTTGATTAGTACTACAATGTAGTATCTTTGACTTTGGCTCCCATACTTGCTTGCCTTAATGATTTTGCCATAGCCCTTCCTCAGTGCTGAATTAGGTAAATCCACCAGGATTGCTTAAATGTGCTTAATGAGATTTACAAACTTTATTCCCAGCAGGAAAGGAGAGGCAGGCACCCTGAGTCAGGTCATTCAGCTGCTCTACCGCCTGTGGTCCACACTACTTGGCACAGAGAGACGTGTTGGTTCCGACAGGGAGGTTCTGTCAGAGGTAGAAGCCACGGCTCACACACAAACAACCATACCACCTCAACTGGCCCAGGAAGTTTTGTTAGTGTGTAGTTCCATCTCAGAAACCCTAGGCTGACTAGGTTTTTTGAAAAAACAAGTTTTTTTTTAATGCCTTGGAGATGGAAATGACATCTATGGTACTTTTGCATAAACCCAGTATTTCAACTTCAACTACCGTAGTCTTTTTCTCAAAAATTTTCTTCTAAGATAAAGTTTGATGTCAGCTTTGATGTACCTGCAGCAAAGACCTTTTTCACTGGTCAGGATCACTACTGGTAGAATCAAGAGATTCTGTCAAAGTGCAATCTCCACCTAACATAAAAAAGCTAAAGCTCAACTACCTATCAACACAAACACATGTAACACTCAGAAAAACCTCCTGCCAGGTCTATGTTCATGATACTTTATTTGTACCAAAAGATAGAAAATAAGGTAAAGTTGAGGGATCTACTGAACCATACTAATATAGGGGTACAAAAGGCTAAACATTAGGGGAAATTACATGTGGCTGTCTAGTAAAAAAAATATCAGAGAAGGAAAGTTCTTAACCAATTAATGTGAATAAACTTAAATTGAGTTATATTATCATATAAAATAATTAAGCAGTAAATAGAATATTAACATAATAATATATATTGCTTTAACATAAGGTTGTACATGTTTGTGTGGCTGTTGTAGTGAGCTCCTTCCTGTGCTGGAAGGGAACATTGTCGAAGATAAAGCCTGTTACATAACAGCTTTCTACCTAGGAGTTAGTGAATATTTATAAAGGTTTGGTATAAATACACTGTGTACATGAGTTACAAAGTACTGTGTACAATGGCGCTGGCATAAACATCATAGAGGGGATCTGCTTACATTGAGGCAGTGGAGAGGCTAGCCTGGTAGGTAGGGTAGAGGTGTATGGTTAAACATCAGCACCCTGTTACTGAGCACTCAAAAATTTCGATCCTCCGTTGTTTACCCTTCTTACAAGTCCAAAAAGTCATTCTCTGCTATCTTCACAAAAATAGCCTTTTTTTATTACTTTCCGTGTGGGCTAGAAAAAATAGGTTCTGACTACGACACCTCGTGTCCACACGCGCTACATGAAGGGTGGACAATCACAGAACCCACGCGTCACAATTGTCTCATAGAACAAGTAAAACAGTAGAATTTCATCGTACAAGGTTACTGGCAGCTACACGTATGCTTTTTAAACAAGCTCATCTACAAACTAGAAAGCCTACAAAATGCGTTAAGAATTATTTAGAAAAAAAAACATGATGCCGACTACGATGGAGGCAGCACTGGCCAGCCTGGATAGGTCTTGATACAAAACAGCCTCAGTCACCAGTACAAAAGCAATAGGACTATCGCTTTTTAACAACACATCTTTTCTTCTTCTTTTTCCTCCAATCACAATCACATCATTCCTCTCTATCTTCTGACCATATCTTACACAATCATGTTTACAAAATTAGTACAGGGACATCTGCTAAATTTTCTCTCTCTTCATGATCATGGCTGTATTCTTACATGTACCTCTCTCTTTTGTGTTAATTTCTATTAATTCCCAAGCGCTTTACGACAGGCTATTGACGTGCCCATTCTCGCCCATCTCTGTACCCTCTTCATCGGTCATGACGGTGACAAGCTTGCCGACAGCTTTGTTCAGGTCGCCCGCCATGTTGAAGAGGTTTCCTACCGTGTTTTTCCCTGCGGGTCAACGAGCAGAAAATCCATTTACTGTAACAGAGAGGAGAGGAGGAAAAGGGTTGGTCAGAACAGAAAGAAAATAAGGAACTAAAAAAAATGGGATAAAATAAATTATACTAAAAATCAAGACCTAAAATAGATTACAAGGCAAGGATAAATCAAACTAACAGTGACTCTATTATCCAGTAAAACTGTGCAGAAAATAAGGGACTATGGAAACATTGGAAAGTGTGCAGGAGAGGGAAGGCGGGGGTGAGAAGTGCAGGTAGGCTTCTGATTGCACTTTCAATTGGTAACAACATTATACGTAATTTGTATACACAGGCACACACAAACACACACACACACACACACTAACATACACACACACACTTACAATCATCAATTGTATACAAATACATTTGTACTACTTAATTTGTAACTGATAAAGATAATGACAATGTATGTGATTGTGAGGGTTTGCAACCTTACGTGCCAAATGTAGAGAAAAGTTTCAAAATGTGTGGGTCAAGATGCAAGTGTGTTCCCAGACCTAAGATACATGTATATAGCCCTCCATGTGCGATAGTGCTTGGGACAAGCAGTTAGAAGTTACCTTCTCCCAATTCACTCAACCAACCAACCACCCTTCAGGGATACCGGATAGAAGAGGTTTTCTATCTGTCTCAAAAAACTGAGCAAAGGGGAACAAGGAGAGAAGAGCAAGGGAGGGAAGAAGAAGGTGGGAGATAGAAGAAAGACAGTCAAGTAAATGAAGCAATCAGGAAAATAAAATGGGACACCTACAGTGCCTTTTACAGACGGTAGGTGTATCTGGTACTGGAGGAACCTGGGAGAGAGGGAGGCAGAGAATGGGAAATGAATGAATGAATGAAACCTGGAACAAACACAACACATGGTATAAGGAAATAAACGAGAGAAAATCTCAGGGTTGAACAAAGTGGGTAGAGTGTACACAGGTAACACAAATGAAGAGATCAAGTCAAGACTGATGGAAAAGGCTGTATGGTTTGATGCCAAATCACAATTGCTTGTCATAGCAGCAATTTCATTAGCCTTCTGCCTGCTGTCTAATGCTAAAACAAATGCCAAGTCTGTGTCAAAAAGGCTGAACTGTACTAAACACAGCTAGGGGAAAAATGGATTCTGACTCCGAGACTTTCTCCTCAAATGCTGTTTTCATGTTGACATTCTAATCTAACATTTTTTGTAGCCCACCAAGAAATCAAACCGGTGTGACCTAACGCAACATGCCATGAAAAGTCACACGAGACAAGTTAATGCAGGACCTGTCATGTCAGGCTGAGGAGGCATAAGGTGGCAAGCAGGGCAGCGGAGGAATTCCTTTTGGTCATGACCAGCTCCGCAGAGCTAACCACTGTGTTAGGTGGAGGGGGAGGGGGGCAGAGGTGGAAGACAGAAAACAGGAGAGGAGAAGTTGAAACATCCAGGTGAACTTTTCTCCAAGCAGATTCTGGGGTAGAAAATCAAAACATTTTCTAATCTGCTGTTTTTCTGACCAAAAACAAATACACAGCGAATCACAAGACATTATGATTTTCTATCCCAACAGCAGCTTGGAGATCACAGATGGACAGCACAGAATGGATAGAACACAGAAACGTGCAGGCCATGCAGACATTTCATGTCAGATATGACAAGGTGGAAGGGACCACTCTTAAGGAACGAATGGTGATAAGTTGCAAGACAATGTAAGAATTAAGATGCACTTGATGTGGTGGAAAAATGATGCAAAGTGCAAACCCTCTGCAGTCAAAAATGTTCTACAGTGGTTAGAAATGTTTTAAGAAATCTAATGATGATGCTGATGTTCAAGCAGTGCTGTGAGAATGGTTGGAAAAGTTGAGAATCAAGGTTACGAGCAGAACTGCAGTGTCGCAACACGGCTTGTCACAATCCAGATCTCTGAGGCTTCACCAGAGCTGGAAGGTTGCCTACCTTGAGTAAAGAGATTCTTTCTACACAACCAAGTCTTTTATTCAGCTGACGTTTTGGCGACCGTCTGTCACCTTCTTCAGGGCAATTCTGACTGGTTCACATTGCATTGCAGCACAGGTGTCGCCGCTTTAGATGCATTCCTAAATGTACACTATTTACAAATCTACACATCTATAGCAGCGACACCTGTGCTGCAATGCAATTTGAACCAGTCAGAATTGCCCTGAGGAAAGTGACAGACGGTCACCGAAATGTCGGCTGAATAAAAGACTTGGTTGTGAAGAAAAAGTCTCCACTCGGTGACTTACCAACCTGACGAAACTATTCAGGGATGTTGCCTACCTTGTGTGTGATTGGAGTCAGGAGGGAAAGAGCTGTTGACCTCCCGCATGACCTCCTCCAGCTGTTCCTCAGGGGTCTGCTGACGACGCTGTCCGTCGCGCAGTGGGGGAGGGGTGCGCGTCGCTCCTTGTACTGGAGGAGGGAGGGAAAAGTGAGATTAGACACAGAAGACTCGGGTTCAAGTCTGACAAAGTTCACTCACTTCACACTCACACGATGACAAACACTTGAATCATATGAATTCCTTAATTTTCAGCTCTAAAAAGTCAAGGAGCACAAATATACGACATGTACACAACACCAAGCTAGTCTAAGGACCTACACTACTCAGGTGTTGTTGGCACGAGAGAAAGAGGCCGGTATCGTTGGAGAGATGGAGAAGTCTTCTTCCTCCTTGTAAGGATTACTAAATTAAGGTTAAGTTTGACACCACTGTGCTGGATAGATGGAGAAGTCTAGTTCTTCCCTGTAAGGATTACTAACTTAAATGGAGGTCCCGTGTTTGGGAGAGCCACACCCCACACATGGTAAAGAACCCACCACACTTATCAAAAAGAGTCGGAGACCTTTCAAGTATACAGTCCTACAGCCGCACCTGGGGTCATATTGAGGTCACCTGAGTTAGCGCCGAATGGCAGCCCCTCCAGACCCTTCCGATAAAACCCTAATAATTGTAAGCTCCTCACAATTCAGCCCTTGACTGCGAAGAGAGAGTAGCTGGCCCACCCAATATAAGTGAAGGTAAAGTTTCTCACCTCTGATGTCAGCCGCCCCGTTGACAGCGCCGTCCCCATTGGGAAGCCCGTTGGTGGTGGTGGGGAAGCGCGGCGCCCGGGATGGCGGGGTGTTCCCGGGGAGTGACCCCTGCGAGGACGACGGGGTGACCTCGTTGGGCGTGTGACTGCTGGACGAGGTGTGGGACGTGGGGCTGCGGTCACTCTGGGGCTGGACAGACAAAAAGTTCTCTGGTCAGTATCACATTCAGGTTTAAAAACTTTTTCGATGGACTACTATTGTCAATTGAACATAGTAATTTGTGGAGAGGATGTAGGACTCTAGAGCTATAATAGGTTTGGAAACCTGGCTAATTGAACAGTAGGTTGCCTTAAAGATGCTGATTGAAAATGAAACATGCCTATATGGAAAGGACCTGATGTAATACCTGTAGATGCAATATGTACATGTATGACAAGTTGTTCTGAAGGTAAAGCTCTAACACAGAGTATGCCATTTGATGATGTCATAGAGTATAAGCAATGCTGCTACAATGTCATTAAATTCTATGCTTGACTTCACTCCATTGTCACTGATTGAGAGATCATCAAGGTGCAGAACTTTTGTGACTGAAGGAGAGCAACTGAAGAGAACCATATTTTGACCACTGTCTCCAAACCCTCAATAACAGTCTTTCCAAAGGTACAGTGCATTTACCACACAAGCCTGAGACAAAAATAGCATAAGTTCATGACATGATGCCAGCCCTTCAGACTGATCCACCCTGATGCTTTGATCGATGGAGGGATTTGTGTGCCGGAGGAACTGTGACGGATGAGCGTAATTTCCAAGCTGCTGAGTTATTGCCCCATAATCCTGGAGGATGAACGCTGCGTGGGTCCTTCCACTTAAGGCTACACTGATTTGGTTACTTGGTTTGCAGATATTTTCAAGTAAACCTCACTTAAAGGACAAGATAACAGCTGGGAGGATATATTGTTCTTGGAAAAAATAAAGATTCCTAGAACAAGATAAAATAGGAGTCTACAAGGACAACTTGAATCTGGCCAAATGTGTAGTCAGTGCTAGTCACTTCTTGAATTTGAAACTGTGATAACTACAGACTTTACTCTCTGACTCTGATATTGATATATTTCTATTTAGTACTGCTTATCTTTTAAATCTGAGGAGCAAGAAATTAAATCTGTGTAGCCTTGTGTCTGCAGTCTCCACATCTTCTCTGTTATCAGATTCAGACAATTTGTCAACAGACAACTTAGGTCTTCTGTAGATCCCTGTACTGATATCCAGAGCACTGACAGATGGTTATACTGTTTTGTATGTGCCTGGTAATGCAGGTTGGAGTCACATGGGAGAGGCTGCCTGCACTGCGTGCATTTCTGCACTGTTAGAGAGAATCCTACCACTTTATCACACTGCCCTGGGCAACACACAGTTTTATGTCCAACATGTCTGTGACTTAGCTTGGTGACATTTCAGGTAGATTTCAGCCTTTCTTTCTCTACAAATCGCCATGTCGTAATAGGAGAGTAATATTACAATGTATCAGCACTAAAGTGTGTAAAATCCATAAGTACTGAATACCGGTACTAGTATTTTATAATGTCAGTGTTGGCAATCAAGACAAATCCTTGATCCAAACAGTTATTGCAAAATGAGACACCTTCAACAACCAATTACATCGTAAAAGTAACGTCAAAAACCCCTGGGCAAAATGAAAACTTGACAGTAAACTTTCCTGTAGTTTTACGAGGTGAAATTCTCCTCCACTCCTGAGCTCCATCCCTCCCTTAAGTACCATACGGATGAAGACTGCCAACAAGAAAATCCTTTTCCTACCTCAAGAGGGGAATAAAAATCCAACAAACGTGAAGAAATAGCTCCAAGGAAATCCAAGGGCTTGTAAAGTTTTTACAGCCTTGTACTTTTGATAGGATACTCAAAGTCAACAGGCTTAGCTCTTTCTGTTTTACAGCCAATAGCACTTTCTTAGATTGCCCAACGTCGTACGATTTACAACAGTGTGACCTCATCTCTACTTGAACCTATGCTGAAATTGGCAATTCTTTGTCACCAAGTCCTCCAGACAGCAATTAAATCCTCACAGACGAAACAGGATCTTCCTACAAAAGTACCTTCAAAAGTTGAATGACACATAAAAAAGTTGGATGTTCCAATCTTCCCAGGAGATATAACTCTGCAGGACTCCCAATCCCAGGATGAAAAGCCCATCTCTCACAGTTCCCTGCGGCATGTTTCTGCACAGTAAGTCGGGCTAAGTTCACCGAACCACTCTCAAGCTCCTGCGCCAGGGGAAGATTGCTACATTCATCAGGCCTGATGGAACTTTCTCTCCTTATTGCCTGCAATCAGGAAGTGGCTCGGCTCCAAAAAGTTGGATTGCCGCTGAGTCGAGTGATTCACGAGAAATATAACGAGGCGACTTGGGAACGCAAGACAAATCACGCTGTTTCTGAAACTACGCTCAGACAAATTAGGCAGTCAGGTTTTGTTTCCACATGGATACATTTAAGCCGCTGGTTCCAAATTTGCAGACAGTTTTCTAACTTATAATTGGCATATTCCTACTTCTGTCTCAGACCAACTTATCATTAATTATCATCAACTTATCACACTTTTCTTCTAACTAGTATGCTGACGATTTAGCTGGTTGGATACATTTAAGTTGCTGGTTGGATACATTTAAGGTGCTCTTGACAATGTAGACAGTTTTCCAACTGATAATTGGCATACATACTAGTATTCATCCACATAAAGTTAAACCTGACAATGTATCCTGCAGAGACAGAAAACTACACTCACGAAGCCTGTCTCTGCTCTACTTTGCTTTTACATTCCGCCCACACACATCGACATTTTGAAGCAAGAGGCAAAAGAAAGAAATGTGCAGGATCTGGGTGAGGAGGAGGGATATCCTGAAGTTGCTCCCTAAGTGAGAAGTGACAGGGAAGATGGATGGTTAGGAGAAAAGTTCCATTTGGTTTGGTCGCCCGGGACGTGTGATCGGTGTACAGTACACAGATTGTACTTCTTTCTGTGATACCTTTCCATTAACACTGCTGACCCAAGCAAGGCTATCTCACAAAAATGTTTTCGCGGTTGCATTATCAAACTTCTGCACATAAAACTACTGGTACCAACCCGGAATATCATCAATAATCTGTAATAGATATGCACATTCTAACACTACTGTGAACGTATTTTTGAATATCCTATTTCTTTTTGTTCCACAGATGCTGCTAGATGCTATGGTTTGAACCGTCTCAACAGTATTCATGGTACTCATGATTAACCTTCTCCCTACTGCCTAATTCTGTCCAGTACAAATTTTGTACCAAACTTCTACTCTAGCAGACTGAAGGTTAAAGATGTCTCATACATGTATGCCATTAAAATGGCAGTAAAAAGGATTTTGCAGTGCATTGAGACATAGATGTATGAGCACTCTACTTCCAAAACGATCCACTACAAATCAGATTTCCCAGATGTCTATCTATCTGCAAACGCCAACCTAGCCCACACCCATCAGGAAGACACAAGGCAACATATAACTACCGCCCAAAAATAGCCTTGTGACAAGAATACTGATTATATCTATTCATCTAAAATATTCATCCCAGCTGCAGCAATTTGTTACCACGGTAACTCCTTGTTGCGGCCCCATTTTGAACTCTTCCTGTTGTTTACACGGTACGGTCTCCCGACGCGCACTTAACGTTGCCAACTGCGAAGTCGTTTTATTCATGCAAGCCCACTTCCATCCATTAGTGGGATATGTCACTCACAGGGACCCTAAATACAACATGTTAATATCACTGCATGCATAAGATATTGAAAAGACATTCCCTCGACATGGTTCGGCTGCCTGGCTACATTGATGATGGAATGATATTAAGGACGTTATGTAACCATAAAATATCAAAGTTCAATATGGTTTTTAGGAACTCAATAAATATGCAACAAAAGCTGTGAGAAATCGAAGCAGCATAAAACCCTCTTTCACAGCTAACATCCTTGTGATCTATACATGTTGCTCTGATTGGAATCATATCCCTGTACCATTTTTACCTCCGGGTAGGGATGTATATCCCGAGCGCGGAGGTTTTGTGAGGGAAGACGAAAATTGCGTTCGCACCCGTTTCTCGCGTTTGGGTGGACGGATATGTCTGGGACTTGGTATACGTTTTGCTGTTGGGCTGTAGATGGTGCACGTTGTTTTGGTTTTTTAGTATGTGTGTTTTAGTGCGTGAAAATGATGCGTTTAGACCGCCGATGGACACCCCTTTCAGTGTTGGTCGGGCCTCAGCTTTTGACCTTTGCATGTATAATCACCATTGAGGTCGCGACCACTGATCTGACCTTTCACACAGAGGGGTGTCAGCATTCTTTGAAACTGTTCAGATGTGAACCACATGTGCCGTCAATCAACGTCTCGTGCCTGGTGGGATCGCGCGGGTCGCAGCCAGCGAACTTCCGGGTGGGCCAATGGGTCAGGGGTCAACGCCCTCTTGCGCAATTTCGGATGTTTTCGGGGAATACCGTGGTATACTGTCTCAGACCTTCTCGGGACTCGGTGTATCTTCTGTTAATGGGCTGTAGATGGTGCAGTTTTTTTTTGTTTTATTGTATATGTGTTTTGGGGCGTAAGATTATTTGTATTTCCTTTTCGTGTCTCGGACACCCGTTACTGTGTTTGTTTACATTATCGCTGGTCGCTGAGGGTCGGGCAGCCAGATTCGCCACGGGATGCCTCCTGTCCTTTCTATTTTTGGGCTCCAGTCGGCTAGGGGGGATTAGTGATTTCACACATCATTTAGCCAATTACAAACATTTCGAAACTTTTCGAAAAAAATGGTATTCGCGCGAATTCACTAGTTAATTCAAAGAACAGTCCCAACATGCACCCAACATTCTGCAACATACATTACAATACCCGGAGGTACAAAATCTACGATTTTCCTTGTTCAATATACATTTTGTAGTGACTATTATTCCAGAACTCCAATCAATCCACCTATTCAAAGATTTATCATAATTGCAAATGAATGTGGAAAATCAAATTCCAAAAATTTTTACTACCATACTTGGAAATAATATCAGAGAATCTATCATTATTAAAGGCAACACTGAAATCTGCTTGTGCATTATGCATCAAACCCTTAGCTTCTGAACACGTCATTGAGCTCAAGACAATACAGCTTCTTCACGAAGCTTTTACAGTTTAAAAATGGCCTTCTCTTGAACATCTTCTGCTCTATATTGTACAACAGATTGCTACACAATCAGACATAAAAATCCAACACAAATGATGTTTCACCAGACTGGATAGAGATCACATTTGGCATGGTTGGTTACACATTTTAGCTACAGGTACACACATTTAGGTAATCTTCATCTTCTATATATCTACACAAGTCATCTTTCACATCTACAAGTTCCAGAAAGTGCATGTTACCTTTGCGGATGGTTGCATGTATCCCGGCATGTTTAAATCAGTGGCGTGAGCCTGCAGACTAATGATGGCTTCTCTACAGTAACGTCTCCTTCTGCCTCAACCAGGTTTTATCTGAGCTTTTATCTTGTTAGGGCTCATCCACTCATGTAACATTCAAAGGGGTGGCTGTCTGGAACCTACCATTACTGATCCAAACGGGGCCTTACGGCTAACACTGGGGCAGTAATGTAATGCTTTACAGGCATGTATGAATCATGATTGTAACATTTTGATGCCATGTTTCAGTGAGGGTGATCGGTTTCCATCTACTGTTGCACAAGGGTGAAGAGGTAAGGTGCCCTGAGTCCCTCCTGCTGCACAGACATCTGCGTACCAGACAACATGGCTCCCACTAATGGCCTTGTCTTCTCTTAACTCCATTAAACTTTTATAGATTGCAAACTTCCCGTCACCTTTGGTGAACAGCGTAACCCTTCTAGGGTCACCCAGCAACAGAATTTCACTTACAGATATTCAAGTTATACATACGCAAACATTGCAACAGCAGCTTCGATGAGTACATCTTGCTTCTTTTGTGAGTTACTGATTTGTGCAAAGTGAAGACCCAAGATTATGAATAATATGTTTAGGAGAATTATTGCTGTTATGGTTGGCTGTAATTTGGGGACTCTTCTTAAGGAATATATTACTTTTTATTAGGTCTGCTATAATCAACAAGGTAATATTGAGGAGACCAGTTTGGGGATATCATCATTAGTATTATCTCGTTTTTTTCAGGACTTAAATTGCTGTAAGTTGCAGATGAAGGGTATGAAACAGCCTGGCTATGTTATTGGTAACTCACAATTGATAACATCTCAGCTCTGCGACAATCAACAGATAATAAGCCATCAAAGTTTAATGAGTGTTGGAAGCAGCAGTAAAGGGCCTTCAGGGGTGCTGTATGTCACCGAGCTTCTGGTCTTCCACATGTCAATGTCATTATCACACTACCATCATTCAACACAACTTTGGGCCTCACTTGTCTTTAAGAACAAGATCCTCCAAACTGTTTAAAATTCTGTCCATGTCGTGTAGCGAGCCAGAGAAGTCAGAATCGGTGGGCGTTGTCCTTCAAGCTGTGGTGAGTGATTAAGTTCCTAATGCATATTTCAACACTGCTGCCGGCCTGATTGCGAGCCGGGTGCTGTGTGAGTTCCATTTCGTTCTGCTGGCTTGGCACTTGGCATTTTGGAGATAGGAGAACGAGTGATATATGAGGGAAGATGTCATCTGTGGAATCTCGTGAACTTCATTTCTTGGGCTGTTTTCCAATTCCTGTCATGTTCACATCCATTCCCGGTGAATCCCCATAAGAGTAATACATGTATGTACTGTATTATCATGTAACTTTTAGATGGAGACTTATGATAATGACATTTCCAAAAGCCCCATAATCCTGATTCATCACATGGGAAGCTTTGCAGCTTTCTCACAACAAATCTTGAGAAATTTTCTGAAAATAAAACATCTGTCCTACAGATTACTGATAAATCATTTAATGGAAAGTTTTAACTCATTTCAAATATGCTTTTCAATTCAAAGTATTCCCACCACTACTTTTCAGTTGTTTTCAATTAAATGAAGTTCCACAATAGTGATGGGCTGGATTAATGGCTCTTACATTATGAAGAGGATTATCAATGAAGCAGATGATATCATCACCAGTCCTGAATACTCTACTCCACTCAACTGATCCCTAAAAACGTATCACATTTTAAGCAGCTCATCCCATCTCAGCATCTTTATCCTCCGTTGGAAAGTCCAAATCGAGAGTAAAATCTTATCTGTACTGTGAACATCTCTGCTCCCCTACAGAGAAGATTACCTTTCATTCATCTGTGGGTTTAACTAGGTGCTTTTCACACGTCAGATGAGATACTCCCACTGCTTCAGGCATTGTGAAAACTGAACATTACAAAGAAACTTTTATGGCTTCTGATTCGCATTGTAGATTTCAGTGCGCACTAGCATAAAGACATCCCTCTAGCATAAATGTTTATCCTATTCCCAGCTTCCATTTCAATATGAGTGCTGGCCTTAGGAAGTCGGCTATCCTGCATCCATTTTACTAGACAAAACCTTCAATGGTACACTTGTACTTTCACTCCAGTTGACATTCTGTTGGGAGCCAGTCAGAGTAGGAAATTCCATGAACGTTCATCTTGACATTTGGCTGAAGGCAAATGTATTCTCTCAAACTGACCTCGTTCACACACCGGTAATCCGTTTGCATCTTTCCCAGAATCTCATTCCGTTTGCTGTCAACTTACCATAAAAACCTAATCCTTTAATCTAGCTCGCAGGAACCCTTCCATATTACTCTCGTTATCTCCTGACTTTGAAGGAAATTGCCAAGATAATGCCCCGAGATAGAGAGTTGCTTGGCAATTCCATACATGTCCAATAGCCTTGTAGGTTTACCTCTGATCTTTACGTCCATCATCCTCTCCTTGTGGAGCGGCAGTTCTTTGTGTTATCTTTGTTCTCAGCCTACTCATAAATATACTTACTCCAGGGAACACCTTCTTCTCATGGGCTATTCTTGGCTCTACATCTCAAAGTTTTCCATCACAAAGTCTTCTGAAGATCAGGAGAACTTTCTTCATGTCTTTGCAACTTTCTTGTCTTCTTTCTATTATACTCCTCTTGTAGTATACGGCTCCTATTAAAGCACAATGACTACTGTCCATCTAAGGATATTAAGTTACTGATTGAAAATATTAGTCTTCCTATTTTGCTAGCTGCCATGAAAAACAAATATTGGTACATGTGTATGTCCTTTGCAACCATCTAAATAAGGCCGCCATTCCGTCAGAGAATTTTAAGCCAGCAATATTTCTATCAACTTTTCACCCCCAATAACAAAAGAATGATGCAGTCCATCAGCTTAATTCAGAAAGGTATCAGTGAATCAACAGAATAAAGAGACAGGATAACTTAATTTCCATTAGGTGACTGAAGCGGTGAAATTGCATTACCATCCCTTATGTCATCCGCAATAATGTGATGAAAGTCATTCACGCCTGTATGGAAGAGGACACGAGGTGGATGGCATCAATCAGATTTAAGCTAAATCACCGAGCTGGAATTGGATTGCCCTATGTGTGTATTGCATCAAAGGCACACACCTTGTAACATCAGAAGCATTCGATATACATGTCTCAATTGACATTTGCTCAGCAAGGCAATTCAAATACTGAATGTTTTGTTTTTTTCCCCATTGACAAAACTGTCAAGTTTCAGTACTACATGTAGATTTTGTGTGTGAATTGCAGGTTATATGTTGGTATAGACAGCCCAATGTGTTACACAATCCTCTTCTTGGCTGTCACAAGCACAAAAGGCAAGTATTCATAAACTGAGTTACTGGTAGCTTGAACAGCAGCACAGGCGCTGACAGAATTGGCTCCTAGGATAGTTAGTCTTTATCCTCTCCACAAAATAAAAACTCAGGAGCTAAAATAGGTTTGGTAACCAGGCAAAGTTAGCCTGACAGAGACTCCAACTCACCTGCTCGAGGAGTTGCCGTAACCTCTGGAGCTGAGCCTCCAGCTGCCTGTTGTGGTCCTCCAGGATCTGCATGCGCGCCTCCAGCCGACCCTTGTGCTGCCGCAGCAGCTTGGCCTCGGCGATCAGCTCGTTGTCTCGGTTCACCTCCGACTTCGGCTCGGCCTGCGGAGACGGCTGCTGCTGCTTCTGGATTTTCAACCGCTCGTACTCCATTTGTAAATTTCTGCCGGGAAAAAATACAGCATTCCATTAATTACTTCTGACCCTATTCTTCTCACTTAAATAAGATACATGTACTATGTAGTCTTACTGAAGAACCGTCCAAACTGTTCTCAACAGATGCAACAATAGTTGCGGGAGTAGCTATGGTCTTAGGTAAGGTCTTACTGATGATATTGATACTAAAGAGACTGCAGACATGACTACAGAATAGTTAATTAGCTAGTGTTCAAAATCTTGTTAGTTCCATGTCTTTGTCTGTGAAGTTTGAAATCGTCTTTTTTTCTCTAAATACAGGCTACAGCAGCGATTGGTGTCTATTACTGAAAAATGTAAAGCACTCTACATCTAGTATCTCTACATCTACATCTACATCTACAGCTCACCTATTCTCCTCCTCCAGGTCCTTGATCATGGCTTCCAGCTCCGCCCGCTGCTCCTGGTCAATGGCCACCACGATCTGAGCTGGGCTCTTTGGCTGCAGGCGGAAAAAGGGAGGAAAATGTTACAAAACACCAAAACTTCAGTTCAACAGGATTTGGTGTTATGATAAAAAAGAGGTTTGTTCATATCAGAGTAGATTAAGTTTGCTTATGCCAGTCTCTGATGTGGTCATTAAAGGCAAAATGGGCAAGTGGGTACTTCTCAGTTTAAGATGCCAAAGTCATCATTATGATTCCATCTTTGAAAGGCTCCTCTAGTAATATGTGAGTATGATGAGCTTCTAAGCTGTTAAGACTTTCGATAGTTTCATCTTCTACATACTGTACACATATTAGTGAAAAGCTTTCTTTAGTAAATGTAATGAGTAGTTGGCTCCCAAAGGATTCCTCAACTGCAATTACTTTCATGTTCAGCAGCAATAACCACGCGCCCCCTACACCAGACCTAATGAGTTGGTAGTTGATAAAGATCCCCTCTCTATTATTATCCTGCAGGATTTCAACAGAACCCCTGCCAGTCTCATCACAGTTCCAAATGATGGTTTTTACATAGAAATTGTGAACCTTGTTTCAAGCAGCCTGAATTATCTCCCTGCAGATAACAGCTCAAAACTAGAGGAGCCAATCTAAAACCCATCGGAAAACATTTTACATGCAAGTTGTTTCCCCTCCTTTCATCCGTGTGGTTACAAATTATATAGTCTAAAATTATCCTTGCTAAACTGCCACTGGAATTAGTCCACACTAATCTTGCTTGCTGAATGCGTATCCTTCAATGAATTACTGTAACAGGTGCAGTATATTGAGATTATAATCACTGCATTGGAAGTGTCATAACGAACGTTATTGTATCAGTAAGCAGAAAGTGGAAAGACCTTCCTTCTTACACAGCAATTTTCATCAAATTTCATTAGCCAGCAGTTAATCCAGTTAGGCTTTCTCCCTAATGACATTTCAATGTGAGAAAGTGCTTGCAAATCATTTGCAGGATGATGCATTTTCATCTTGCTTGAGTACTTCTCTCGCATTTTATTAGTTCATATTAATTTGTGCATACTGTATGCTGAAATGTTGCCAGATTCTTACTCCCATATACATGCATAGCCTGGATTCATGACAATGCACTAAAGAAGACATTATAGATTGGAGAGAAATGACTCTTACATTATTGCTAGCGTATTACACCGTATGTAACAAAGACATACATCGTAAAGTGAATAATCCCAAATTATTGGCCACCTGCCTTTATATTACAGTGTTCTCCATTATCATCAAACAATTTCATAATATGTACTTGTTATTGCGGAGTACATTGGATGTACTCTCACTTCCTCCTCATAAAACAGATAAGCCACACCGTACATCACAAATATCGGTTTAGCAAAGATGAGGATTTATGACGATACGGGGATGCCAATGCTGTTTATTAAGTGTCAGTGGCAGTCCTGATACATTTCACACAAATCCACCTTTACAATGACGAATACACGGCAATATCGCGTAGCCGCATCACTTCATTTCCACGGGCTCTACAAATCCGATCATCCGTCTTTGTCTCGGTCGATATCATCCCTGAATACTGGATGGATGTCTGTTCCTATTGTGTGTATTGGCAGGGACATATTCCCCTGTTGCTCTACAGGAAATGGGATCTGTCCAAGCTTTATAGCAAATATCAGGTGGTATTGAGTGGTGAGCAGAGAACCTTCTGTCTTATAATATACAAGTGTCTATGAGACATCCCTTAACTATAAGACACTGGAAACTCAGGAAAAGGTTCACATACTAGAACCATTGTAGTGTTGCTTAAGCTCGTCCTATTAAATGCAAATGAATATAATAACAGATTTAGAGGGACTGAACAATGAACACTGAGATATAAAATTACATGTAGAAAACAACATTGAGAACAGATCACACTAACTCACTCACCATCTAGGATGTGATTATTTATAACTGGAAATTTGGAAAATGTTATTGAGCTCAATTTTGGGTTCTTGCTGGATGTACAGCCAATGTTCACATGTCAATTGAAAAGCCATGTTTCAATCTATAGTACTGCATTGTTCTTTCTGTTCAAATCTATTGGACTTAACATTGATTTTAGCCTTTCCAAACACCAGTATTATCTGTGCCAAGACAGAAATGTGGGAAGAAGTAGAGACTCACCACTCCTGAGTCTCCTCCCAGACTCTGGCAATACTGCTGGATCAGTGTGTGCTCGTCCTCCCTGGAGTAACAACAAGGCAGACATGGGTGAGATTTTTTTAAAAGGGAGATAGAAAAGCATGGTTATTTCAATCATTCTTTTTACAGAACAGATACTTTTGCAGGCTCTCTGGTAGGGTAAAAATGATAATGATTTATATGCAAGTGTGTGGTCTAAATAAAGCTAACATACAGTTAAGACACAGAACTTGTACAAGCCCCTACAATGTTACGGAATTAGAATCATCGATGTAACAGTAAATGTTAGTCCCTGCTGACAAATATAAGCATCTCAATATAAAACCCTTTCTACTTGTTCCTTTATCACCAAACTTTGTGAAGTTGGAGTTACATGATAGTACTCCATAACAGAAGGGTATTCCATCATATCCTGTACAGTTGTACATTTCTACATCCACCCAAAGTGCACACTCACAAAGCATGGCACAAGCACCAAGGGCACTACTGTACACATTGAAAGGCCTGCTGTTGCGAAGTGCTACCCGACGGGAGCAATAACGGAAATAGCCAGATAAAACCAAGCTTTCCATGATGACCTTGGCAAAGAAAAAACGGCCATTACTACGGGAGAGCTCCACTTCATGAAAGAGGGGAAGGCAGGAAAATGGTCAGGAGCAGATTACAGCTGATGGGCAATCAGTTATCTCTGCAGGTTAATGCACAGGTGCACACCTGACAGGAATGTACAGTTTGGGGGAGGGGGGGGAGTGAAGAATATGCCATATATGCAAGTGTGGTACAGTTCCAAGTGTTCCTGTAAATTTCATGGTGCATTTGAGGTCTTTAGCATGGCTTTTTATCATGTACATGTACATGTAAAATATATTATACTACATAGGTCAATAAGTCCAGAAATCCCATTATCAAAAATCAATGATTTCCCTTTTAGAGAAGAACTTAAAGATTGTGGTAGTTTCAGGCTATGCCATAACTAGTATTACCTATGGTCTGCTGTTGCAGTCTGTTTTGTATCAGAAACAAACTCTTAATTTCGCTGGCATTTGACAAATCCAGTACAAGTTTGCAGACTCACGGAATATAAATAATTGAGTAATAATTGGTCCACGAATAAAAGAGAAAATTGAAGGTCAACATTGCAATGAAAGATTAATGGTTTCATGGTCAAAACAACACAAAAACAACACATACATTGGTATGGAAGATAAAGCTTAAAAGTTAAAGATATAGCTAATAATGAGATGGTCCATATGCCTATCCCAAGAAACTGTGAGCATCTAAATGACAAATTTTTGCATCGATCTTTCCAATGGCCCTAAGACCTTAGCCTCATTCTTCCTGCTCACAATCAATACTCAGCTTCTGTTCCAAGTCTTCCACAGAAGCCAGTTAAATTCTTTCCATTCTTTTTGCAAGCGGACACTAAAATTACTACTGCCTGGTTCAGTCCCAAGGACATCTCCACAACAGGCAGTCCCAAAGGAGCTGTTACACAAAAACAACACCTGTTCATAAAATCTCATGGTTACAATAGGAATTAGAGGCACATAAAACATGTAATATAAATCTGGTATCATCACTTACATGTCTGAAGAACTGCTCATACTGTTCATGCTCTGTTCTACTTCAGCCAACCTGCAACACAAATACAGAAAAAAAGGTCAGATAGGATATTCCTAATACACCTTCCACAACAGGCAGGGTACTCCTGAAGCAATCAATAGGTGGCAATTATTCAGAGGATGGAAGTCTTCCCAACGTTGGTGTGCGTGTTGTGTTTGCGTATCTCGGGAAGACAAGACGTGGGTTACCAGGGAAACGGTGACGTACAGACCGTCCTGAAGATCTCCGTGGGTTGCTCTGCTCCAGCTGAAGTGAGAATGGTCTGATAGTCACATGCTCCTTGCTGATCAACGCATTTATCTTGCTCCCCAGTCGCCAGAGTCGCGTGTAATTGAATTTTATATGTGGCCCGGTGATGTATACCACCATATGCTCACCAGTCCGTATGGGCCATCATCGCTCATGCCAACAATGACAATTTTCTACCTCATGCAATTTCACATTGTGTCTCAATCTTCATGTCAAGACTCCACTAATGACAAATATTCACTGTACCATTTTATGAATGAATCTAATTACACATACAGGTCAGTTTGCATTATACAAAATATAACAAATCATTACATAAGCTGGGAATTTCAAAAACCATTCAATATTGTCCTTGCAATATCCCCCATGCATGCATGAAATTCCCAATAATCACATATAGAGGTCATGAATAAAATATTCACAATACTGAGAAGTATTAGGTGTAACAATACCAACAGATCATAAAGTGAAGATTTTGAACAAGAAAGTATCCTCCATACACGTACCTGTTGTCACACGAACTTCTCATGTTGTAAATTATGAGTGCGTCATTGAGGATCTTACAATGAGCTCCAATATCTTTCCTTAAATCCCTGACTCCTGTCCGTGATTAACTGCCGTGTTTCTCAATTAACTAGGACTCAAACAATTAATCCCAACACTGATTTCATCCTCAGAAAGTTTCCTTGGAAGTTTTTTTCTGGCAGATTGCTCTTTTGAGGAGGTTCAGTCCAGCTGGAATAGTGTACGTCAATGTTCCAGTAGAGAGCATATAGGGAATTAGGGAATGCCCAAGGGAAAAACCACTGGGAACAGAATGATTCAGACATCAACATTACTGGAATTACTTTTGGTCATCTTGTGAATGACTAATTGTATTGTGCTGGCTTTTATTCCCGATAAATGTGTTAGCAGTTTTAACAGGATTTGCGCCATTCTGCCCACACAAGCGCACTCAATTGTCTGATGTTCGGAGAGGGATGGATTTTAGGAGGATGAAGGGGAGGTGATTAATAACTATGTTTGTCTGCTGGCTGATGGGCAATTCATTACAGTTAATCTGGGTGATGGATTATCCGGAATTATGTTGTTACTGCGGCGTACGGAGTTAGCATGCACGGTGTACCACACGACCTCTGCAACACGACCTCCATCATTCCCTCATTAGCATTCAGGAGGGACAACGCTCTCGTCGTTCGGCAGCCACAAATTCTACACCGAATGTCAGGAGGCAGTGTGTTCGCAAAAACGGAATGATAGCTCGTCAAAAGCCCCAGGAATATGTCCCAGTAACGGAGACCCTTCAGATGAATATCATCCAGCTGAGATCAGGAGGAACACAGAAGGTTTCCCGCCCTGGACACTGCCCGAGCTCCATGACTCCGATCTTGTGCACCCTACAAATCAATCGATCACCCTTCTACTGGAGGGCTGGCCTGATTACTAATTGGGATGGGGGGACGGAGGGGGTAATAAAATCCGGGAAATTGTGGCTGAACCTTGCAGGAAGGGTGCTTGAGTGATAAACACAGCTCTGGGCATTCCTTCGCGATGCATATTATTCTGCACACATTCTGACCCAGATCTTTTATAGTAAAGCATATTACCAACATGATTCTAATCGTTGACATTTAAGTACATTCCCAAACATGTATCTGATAACTTGGGTACATGTTTAGTGATACATTTTGTCCTGTGATCAAGGCTACACAATGTTTTGTTTTTCTCACATCGAGGGCTTTGTAATATATAAAATATAAGGTTGTGTCAGTTAACATATGTTGCATGCTTAACTACAATGTACAGCCGGACCGCTAGAATGTTAGAGGAGGTTGCGATAAGGTGTAGATGAAAGGTTGACGTACCTGCTGGCGTACAGCTCCAGCCGGCTATGCATGTCCTGAGAAACAGCCTGCTGCGGCGAGGACGACGGCCTGAAACAACCGGGAAACAGGCGACGTCTTAGCTTCTCCAACACCATTTCTAACGGATTACCTCACGCGACACGATCTATCACACAACACAGCGCCCTTACTAAACCCTTCCTCACGCCGTGCTACGAATTCCCAACACAGTCTTAAACACAGCGTATGGTTAGAGGGATCGTAAGCGCGGCCTAAATTTCCCGGTGGTCACCAAGCTCTTGCAGAAGGCAGACTAACTGAGGGGTGATTTCTGGCATAAAAGCAATCACAGTGTACATATGGCGGTAAATCTTTTGTATGCTCAGAGTAACATGAATCACTATAAGAGACACATGATTAGATTACCAAGGAACACGTGCCTGGAATTTGATCCGTTTTTCTGATAACACAAAAGAGTGCGGAGAGAATACAAGCATGCCAGGAGTGAGAGAACAGCACCATGACTTAACCACATGGCACACATCTCTAAGACTTGTTCCATCGACAGAAGCACGAAAAATTTCTACCAGTCAACTACGAAAAAATTCATGAAGAATGAAGTCGGCAAGAACGAAGTATTAAAGGTCAAGAAAGGTTAAAAAAGAGGATGTCTCTAGACTTACACAAGGTGTGTACAACCCCATGCTAGTGTCTGAGGGTCCACGAGGGCCGATGGTATGGGGGATAAGATTTCTGTGTTATATACCCTCCTCAGTCTTCCCCATTGGTCGTGGGGCATTGATTTTAATCACACGCCCACCCACCCGCGAGCATCGAACGTGAGGCGCCTGCACGGGATGGTTTTACGGCAATGACAATTGCCGTCGCCAGGGGTGATTGATCTCACAGATGCCTCTTCCCTGCCGGCTTGCACTGATTAGAGGAGCGAGCAACGCTCCAGTCCCTACTATTAACCAATAGGAGCTATGAATTATGCATGAGGAGAATTGGCGTCTTTCTTTATTGCCAGTGAGACAGCATGTCTGCTCTGGATTCTCCTTCCCTTTGCAGTTTTAATGAGGTAACGCTGGTGAGAATTCTCCTGAGGGTTGAGATAAAATATTCAGCATGAAGCCAAAATGGCAGCAGCCAATGGTCTGTCATGGGTCGGCATTATTGTCAGAATTGCTGTTTACGACGAGTCATGTCTCACTTGCACCATAACAATACATCAGGACCTGACCCTACATACATGTATCTTCACTTTGTATGCATGGCATGTACTGGTTTCCTACTAAGCATTCAGGCTTACAAAAAAGCATGTAAGCTATCAACAGTGCATAATACAATGATGCTGGATATAGCGATTGACATTTCAGATTGCGTCCACTATCTTTCATCAGGGACTGAGATCCATTTGCTTAATTCAGTTTGTATTATGAAATATTCTACGTGATATTCTTACAATGAATTGTCTCCATTTGTAAGCAATAAAGATTATCCCAAAAGTTTTTGTTTTGACTCAATTTACTGTAGTTTGGCAAAAGTTTAGAATCCACTTTAGGAAACTGGAAATCAATGCAAGTAGTTTAGAGTGAGACCTGCTGGTCTGGTAACCCTGTAAATGTTATGGCAGGAGTATCATACGTTACAAACAACCCTTGGCCCATCCCCGAACAAGATCCATCCCACCAGCACACTTAATGTAATTGGTTGGGTAGACAGGGGTGAGGGAAGTCATCTCCACCCGTGGAGGGGAAAATTGACAATTTGGGGCTGACAGAAACGTACTGGAGCCTTCACAACATCTTTCTCAGAAGCAAATGACCCAGACAAGGAAACTGTGGGCAGTTATGTCTCAACCTAAATATGAAAAGTACAAATTTTACGATCTAAGATGGGTTCCACTGCCGTTAGAGGGATTCCTTAAGAAGTTAACTTCTCTTTATAGTCAAAATAACCAATACAAATTACCCTGCGCTGCATCGAGAACGATTTATTGATTGCTTTTGCAAGTTGCTTGTGTGATTTGAATGTGCAGTAAATAAAAATGATCTGACACTGATATAAAGTTGAGTAACTGGAGTCAATAGTATTCAACAGTCAATGGCAAAAATCAGTCTTGTTCATTAGAACTGATATGTGTGACAACAACAATTGAAGATGGGCCTCCTTTTTCCCTTTCCAGTCCAAATAGTAGAAGACATAAAAATACCAAGCCAAAAGACTTGGTAGCGGATATTGACAATGCCTTAAGGGAAATCTTTGACACACTTTATTCAACCAGTAATAGTTAATGCCAGGAGGCAGCTGTCTGTGTGATTTTGCCAGATTCTATTACCCACAATTCCCCAAGGCTTCTTGGCACCAGTGGAAAATTATATCTCCGATAACAGAAGAGACCTTTTGGACTGCTGCGCATCAGAACAAATTTGCAATCAGTTCGACTAAAGTGCATTTTTGAAGCCCATGTCCTTACCAATGCTCTCCAGGTATTGAGTGTATTGGAGCCTACATTATGTTCTTTCAGGTTACATCACAGCCTGAGGCAGTACACCCACCTTGATATCTCCAGAGACAAGTACTGCTCTCTGCTAACTAAATATTCCATTGGTAAATGCCTGGCAGGGTTCTCCAGGGAGTAGAAGCATTAGACCATGTAATTATGGGTCACAATACGTGATACCCAAGTAGAATTTGCTTTTCAGACTTAGCAGATAGAGGTAGAGGATTTATGGGGATATAATCCTTTTCTGTGGATTACAGAGTCTGAGAAGTTTTGATATCTCCAGAGAATCAAAGACTCAAAGCCCCAAGACATGTGGTTCTACTAGGCTTCTACTTTTCATTCTCTAGTAGCTGTGTCTACAAATTCTGAAGTGTAAAATCTTTTTTCAGTATGCTGAGGAAATTGCTGGCTGACCTTGACTTTATACTATACAAGGTTTGATCTTCCTTGTTTTCTAGTGCATTCTCTTGATTGTGAAGATACCAATGATTATCAATGCCTTCTCTTTTCTAGTGGTGGGATGTGTTTTCTATTAAACAACTTACTGCCGCTCTTCTATATGAAGATCTCGAGGAGGCTCTTCTCTGTCTGGTGTTACTTGTTCGTATCGCCACAGTACCAAAGGACTGTAGGTTTGGGGGGAGGGGGGGAGAACATTCAGGAATACATAGGGAGCAGTGGAGGTCAGGTAGAATACAGAAAACAGTGGAGACAATAATAAGAAGGTTGCCAGAAAAGAAAAGAAGTTTCTATCAAAATGGTTTAAAATGAGAATCGAGTGGAAAAGGATGAATTCAAAGCTGAAATTCCATTTCTTAAGAATTGTAGGGTTTATGAATATACCGGTACTCTTGCAAAGTAACCTATAATACATTGATAATAATTCATAGCTGGCAAAGGAAAAGAGTTACACAATGAATAAGGGGTGGGGATGGGAATTGACAATGCAACTCATAGAACTCTGGTGGGAGATGTTGGGTATCATCCTTACGTTTCAAGGTTGTCTCCCTCTAACACCGTCTGCACCGGAAGGTACCCCAGACGGGGGTGTTTTTTCAAGGATTTCTTGGACCTGAACTTGTTGCGGACGACCTTGGCAAAGTCCCGCACATCCTCCCCTGAGGTCGTCTGAGGAAAACACAAGACAGTCACAAATGTGATCAGAAGGGACCTCCACTGATAATCACTGATTACCTATGTGAAGATTTTTCTATAGCATTACTAATTCATGATCAATCATAAAACCATAATAACAGACACATAACACCAGGAGGATGTTTACATCCATTAGAATTACAGTAATGTGAGACTATTAGGTTTATGATAAACATCAGCATTTGTATGTGTTCTTGTGTACATGTATATGTATGAATTATGTAGTTCTGATCATTCTTCATTGTACAGCTAGTAGTAGTGCAAGGCAGCTCATTTTCTTTTCCATAGATGTGTTGGGCTCTTTTATGAGCAGAGGTTTGATACCTGAGACTAATGCCCAAAGCTCCTCAGCCATTGAGACAAGTAAGCATTCAATGTGAACATAAAGGTTGAAAAAAAACGACTTACAGCGGTGCAGTACTCCTGCATGGGGTGGGACAGCTTGTGTCCCTTGGCTTTCCTGCCCGAAAGGAAACAGCTCTGGCACATGTCAAAGTTGAAGCACCTCAAACAGCGATACCTGCGAGTAACATAAAATAAACAGGAACTTGATCAGATGTGCCAAATCATGGTGTCAAATGAAAATATAGTACACATTTTACTGATCAGTTACTGATTGATTTCTTGATTTAATTAAGTTTTGTCCCAATTTAGTCTTACATCTAGGCAAGGTCAGGCTCTGCATACAGATTACATGCTCAGAGTGAGCAGCTCCACATTTCAGTTTACGACTTAACTGCAGCAATATTACAACAGCTACACCTGTCACTCTATGCAAGAACTGCAGCATGAAAGTGTGAACAAAAGGATATTTCCTGTGACAAGGGAAAACTGAGAATCTTTAGGTAAGGACAAAAACTTCTTCACGCTTACCTAAATCCTAGAACTGAGTATTCTTTACAGATATTGCACTTGGTTTGGTATTTCACGCAACAAGGAAAACTATGATCCTTAAGACAAGGCAAGAAAACTTCTTCACTCTTACCTAAATCCTACAATTGGGTATTCTTTACAGATATTGCACTTGGCCTGGTGTTTGGCCGTCTCTGCTGCGGCTAGCCTGTGCAGGACAGGTAACCACACCATGGACTGGGGCTCCTGCTTCATCCAGTCCAGGAAATGGGCCGCCTCAATCTCAGGCTTCCCGCCCGCCCGCTCGAAGCAGCTGCGCACGCTGGGCTCGATATTGCTTCCGCCGAACGAGGCAATCTCACCTAGCTGACGAGGAACCTGGACAAGGAAAAAAGTTTCTATTTCAGTGAAAAGGACAATATTCCAATAGTTGACATAGTTTCCAGTACTGCTTTCCTACATGGCATAATCACACGACACACAACAATGTTTAAAATGAAAACATAGTAACACCTCCATGCTGGTATATGGCTTCAGTCTGCACTTAGTCTGTTTCAGGACTTATTTTATCACTCAAAAACGACTACATTCATAAACATATACCAAGCTTCTTTGAAAGGCAGTACAGAAGGACTGTACAGTGACACGAAGCCTTTCACCAGATCTCACCTGTATTAGATCATGCAGCAGTAACCCCAGCTTTCTCTGGTCGGCAAATCCTGTGGCCTCTGCTATCAACCTGAAGTTGACTAAAGAACGAAAAAAGGAATTCATATATCAAAATTGACTTTGACAGTGATGCATGGTTCAGATATTTTAGTATTTCACAACAAAGTTGTTGATGAATAAAAATGCTGAAGAATGGGGTTAGGATACTCACATCTGTATTTGTCCTCGAGATGTGCCCTACAGAGAGAGATGATCCCCACCTTGAACGATAGCACCCTGATCTTCCCACTCCTACCCCTGGAACAAACACACAACAAAACCAATGACCAAACTGTGGATAAATTATTACAAGTACACTAATGTTTCTAGACTAAACCGAAATGCTGTACCAATGAAGCCAAAGCAAAATAACAACTACCATACATACATGTACATGTTACATTGGTCTCTTCATACTTAATTAAAAAAATTGTGATTGTGGAGATTCCTGCTACAATTTATACAATGTATCAAGTAAATCTACTATCTCACTCTATATGACGAAACCTTTATCTCCATAACTTTTAAAGCTAAATCACAGCAGCTCCACAAAGCCATCTACCACTTACGTATCATACACGTTGAGTAACCAGTTCAGGCACATGTCTACGCAGAGCGGCACGTTGACCAGGTTGCCGTGATCCTGCTCCAGATTGTCGTAGATGGTGGTCAGACAGTTGATGATCTCGATCACATCCATCAGCCGGTCGTTCTGGCCCCGCAGACCGTGCTGGTCAAAGGCATCAATGGCGTTGTTCATGCTTAGCAAGTCCACTGGTGGGCAGGAGAGAGAAAAACAACAGGGGTTAGACTGTGCAATGTACTTTGTCAAAACAAAACTCCACAAAAACCAATGTGCATGTACTTGCAAATGTGAAGAAAGGGCAGATAAAAACTTTACACTGTATATTTCCATTAATAATTTTCCAAACATTTCATTTTTCCTAGAGCCTATTTCATCATTTAAAAGCTGTACTACAGAATGTATTTGAGACCTCAGTTATCGAAATCCAAGCACATTACTGGTAGGTCACTATCTGAGCACCTGGTAGATGTTTTACACTGTCTAAAAAGCTTAAAACTTCAATATTATCCTATAACTAGTATAAGGAGTAAAAGGAATTTCGACTTACAACATAGAGCCTTCTGTAACCTCCTGAGTTTCATGGCTGTGCGGTAGGCTGAGAATCTGACGTCATTCAAGTCAGCTGAAAATTAAAATACCATGACATAAGCAGTTAGCTAAAGTAACATAACTGGTATTATCATTGTAAAAAAATTGACACAAGGTAAAGCAAATATGTCAGCATTTGACGTTATCGATTTCAACAAACTGTGCAACAGCATTGCCTGATGGTTGCTACTGATGCCATCCACAGAATGCAAATTTGTACATAGCAGTGCAGCAGAGACATCTGGTGACATGCAAGCAAAGTGCAGTTCATCGAGACCGTACCTAATGATTGGAAGAGTTCTGTCATCTTGGGGTGGTCCCAGCTGGTTGTTTCTGTAGTATGGCTGTAAGAACAAACATGAAACCAACAGGTTAAGACAAACATACAGGAAAGAATAACATGAACATCCTGGTCTCCAGATGGAACATATTGAGGACACAGGTTTAAACAACTGTTTCTAAACTGTTGCAGAACTGTTTCTGTGTCTTTAGGTTCAGGTCAGTGGTAATGGTCAGTGCACAAGAGTCAAATCTTGAACAATATGGTTTTGAAGTCCTTATTTCAGTAAAATCAAAGTCTCAAAGACAATATGAAATGCTGTTAAAACCAAACTATTTTACAGTCTCTGTGGGTAATACTGGGTATACATGTAACCATCAGCATGAAAATGAAGTAAAATCTTTCTATGGATTTTCAAGTTGAAGGAAAAAAGACTGCTTCAAGATTTAACAGCAGTAGAAAGACTGTATGGCGACACTTACTTGATGTAGTATGGCACCTTGTTGGCAGCTACTGCCCTTTCCCAGGTTCCTTCCACAGAGGCTAGAGAAGAGAAGAAAACCATTATTAACTCTTATACCGGTAGTTCTGCACGTTTTCAAGTGTACTTACATCATAGAAGGGTCATCAAAAATATCCTGGTACTACATTCCTACCTTAGGGTCAGCAAAAGCATAATTTCCTGGAAAATTATTATTGTTCCAAGAAAAAATTACCAGATAACACACTTACAATATACATGTAGGTAAGCCATATTAGCCTCTGACCCCAACTCTTCTAACCCAGCAATCATAAATGAGTGTGAATTCCCCTGTCTCCACTACTAATAGACAATACCGTTAATGGAGCCGAATTAGCATGTTACAAGGTTGCAGATGGGAAACCTTATCACACTCTGACCTAAATACCAATTACTGTGCTAATCGCATTACGTGTGAAGGGGGAACTTAACAAAGCTACACAGGTGGACGGTATCCACACCACACAGGATGTAATAAACAAGAGATCTCTGCAACACCTGTTTTTCCCTTATGTGAACCACTAGGAGGGATTAGAAAATTGTAAAGACTTCAAAAACATTATGTAAACCATGTATTGATCAACCATTGATCTTTCTCTCTCACCTAGTTTTTCTGGTAATTTATCAATCTGATTTTCCATTTCATTTGGAAATGGAGATTGATTGATGGGCACATAAATTCAATTCTGTATGACAGAATCCTAAGTTTGTATAAAAGTCTCTTTCAGCTTACTCTATAATCTTATTTATCCACCATATTTAACAATTATTCCAAAAATTAGCCAGTATTTCGAAGCTTGTTTCTCTCAGTACATACATATCAGCACCAGTCAGCTGATGGATTTGACGCACTCTGGCATTACACCACTCGGTCTGGCCTAATTAGCCTGCTCACTAGTCACCCCAAACACACAGGTGGGCATGGCTGGAGAACTGGTGTTGACAAACAGGCAGCATACCCTTTGTGCAACTTCCAAGAAATGACTTCCAGATGTACAATGTAGTGTGTATTACATATGGATCTTTCTACACAGACTGTTGGTTCTTTTCATAGGTCAATTTGAATCATAACTGTTGATTGGTGTTCGGCTCAAACATTTTAGGCCCGACCTGTGAAATATGGTTTACCTGATAGGCAACAGAAGAGTTGTACAAGAGCCATGCATCATTTCCTATGAACAGATTTGTTTTGAGGATTACAAGTTCTTATGATTATGAGACATACTTTCTAAGTTTCTAAAAAGTCATCAATTTTTAACAATCCAGGTCTTATGATGCATGAAAAATTGGAGAGAAACCCCTAAAAAGTAAATATATAGCACACACATGCACACATCCACTCTCCCCAAAAGATTTCCAGCACAGTTAATGAGCACTCTGTCTCTTCTGCAGCTATGATTAAACATGCAGGCATGCCAGCTAATTGCCCTGTCTAGGGGCCCTGCCTTGATAACAGATATGTGCCACCGTGTCATCATTCTTCCACTCATTAATGCAGCTTTTCATACCGGAGATATAGCCCGTAAATTCTATGGTATGCCAATGGTAAGAAATCATCATTATTTTGGAATAGGCTTCAGATAGTGAGGCAGAGCTATGTGTATGTTTCCAACTGAAGTGCTTATACAGATGCCTTTCATGAAAAGGGAGTAAAGACATATATCTGTCAAAAAGGAACATGAAAATGTGCTATGTACAAACGACAATGGGTGAGCTTTAGATAAAATATCTTGAACTTTTTAAACCGTAACTAAATCCTAATGACAGCAACACCAAAAGGACAGCCAAGAAATCCCCACTTAGACCTTACAGTTTATGTGCTTTGCATGCAATACATACACATTGTATGTATATCCCACCTGGCTGATGAAATGGGTAGAAATCCTTACCAAACTGTAAGCAATTTGCTCCACCCTGTCTGGAACTAACTTTGCAACAGAATGCTGCCTGGTTGGAGACAGGTAACTACCAAACAGGAAGCGACAGGGTGTTTCTGACTGAATACCTCCGGGGTATCTTTCCAGTACTTACACATGGACAATGCTAGCCTGACAGGGGATCTCAAAAAAGAGAAACTTTCCAGCGAAATGAAAGGCTCCCCTCGGCTTGTCCTAGATTTAGGTACACTTCAGCAGGCGGCCCTTCCAACCAATCATTTGAAGAGTCAATCAAAGTATAGCTACTGTGACTTATACGGCTTCAAAACTTGTAACAAATGCTTGAGTGGAGGCTAGGCTGTTCCATTTTGGTTGTTTGTTTAAGGGGGACACTGATGTCAAACTACACAAAAAAGGTAGTAAAAGTTGGTTTTGTGCACGTGTGACACACACACATACACAAAACCACAAAAATCTTCTTGTAACAGTAAAAATCCTGACAATTTTATGCTAAGAAAGATACCTTTAAAGCCACTACATTTCCATTGCAGTTACAAAGCATGTTGCCAGGGGGCCCAAAAATCTTATCATTCTTGACAAGGTCAGACCTAAGTACATCCCGAATGCCATTAGAATTCATCCCCAGGTCTTGGGCTATGCCATCTACAAACCAATGGTACCCTAATGCTCCTTGATGGAGGTAATAAAATAAATGAGTCCCCTTACTAAAACAGGAAGTGCTGTGCATTGGGTTGGAAGTCCCTAAGTTGTACTGTCCTTTTAACTAGGGATAATGCAATAAGCCAGCTGGCTAACCTTGGCCTTATAATGTTAATGTCTGCAATGCTACAGCTGAACCAATGAATAAGTAAGATAAAGGTGTGGACTGACTAAACAGAAAAGTGTTATGAGTTTGATATGAAGTTTTATTGCCCTTTTAGCACTAGCTCTGCACACCTATCAGTTTCAGTTCTATTGTTCAGCCAGGTGAATACATCTCCGATCTAGACCATGACCTCAGATGATCCTTTTTTGTAGTGAACAACGGTCACATATGCAATGCTTGCAACCTTAACCAATAAATAAGTAAGACACATACATGCACTCAGTAGACAGTGAGTTGATTCCAAGTTCGTCTGTTGTCCTTTAAACTAGGCCTAGACAAGTGTAATGGCCGAGGACTAGTTGGGCAACCTTGCTTGTAATTCAAAGTATGCAATGCTCGCAACCTGAACCAATATAAGGCCTAGGAAAAATGTTGTTTCCTGTTTCTCGACAGATGCCAGAAAAAACTGTAAGTTGACTCTTGCAAGGGATATAAATTTTTGAGCTGCTCGACCTTTTTTAGCGACACCTTAATGATGAACTGTTGTAAATCGGTTTTCCAACATTGACATTGAAAATATAAGTGTCCTCATTTAAGTTTTACGTTGTTTAACTGTATTCTATAAGTTGGATCACTACAGATTACTTAAAAGATAATCCCTACCAAATGACCCTAATTTTTTCAGGACTGAAACAGGAAACACAACATTTTTTTCCTAGGCCTAAGTAAGATACAAAAGTGAACTCACTAGACAGGAAGTGTTGTGAGTTGGGTCCGAAGTCCCTGAGCGCCTCCTCCAGCTGCTTGAGCCTGTCCTGTGCCGACACCTGCAGCAGCCGCCAGCGCGTGTTCAGGTCCTCCAACCTGTAGGGCAGGATCCACAGGTTAATCCTGATGCACACCGTCTCACGGTGGGGCGCGTACGGACACTGATACCCCGCCGCGCGCCCGCTGGGAAATACCGTGTGACCAGACATCGGCACATCCCTGCCAACGTAGGGCCGAGAGCACGCAGCAGCATCGACTAGCCCGCACGGGGACCTGTTAGAAGATTGGTCAATTTGTGAAGGGATTATGGGGGGCTTTGGGCGAACGGACGCGTGGGGACAATCAAGCTATCAGGCATCCCAGAAATCCTTAATCAAATGGGGTCAAACATTACAACTCCGGGAGCATCTTCAGTCCGGGAGGGAAGGTCTTTATGGAACGTTTTGACCTGCTCACCCTCTAATTTGGTCCGGACAACGGGCTTATTAATTTTGGGGTGGATAAGTGGAAAAGGGACATGTTGCCCTTACTAATAGGCCGTATGACCTACATAAAGGAAATCAACCTGCGCAAATTAGATCATTGGCTGCCATAGCTATCTTTAGACATCGTTAAAGATTTACTTGTAGTGTTTTAAAGCTATTCCCATTTCTATTCAAGTCGTGTAGAGGAGCTAGGCTCTGATGGGTGGTGACTACTGGAGCGGTTATCAACTATGAAAGACTGAACCCTGGTTAGGAGACACCCAGTTCAGGTAAGGAGGAACTTGGTTGTAGTATTTTACTTCATCTCAAATTTGCAATCATCTACTCATGGAATTATTTCGCTATTTTTCATCAGGTTCCTTTTGTAGCAACATTCAGCAATTACAAAATACATAATGACACCTGAACACAGTTGTCCATCAATATCATCAGTCCAACCAATAACAGTAACACTACACAAATTTTAGCATTCCTAATTCTATGGCTTTTAGATTCATGTGCAAAGTCTTGTTTCCATTTTTTGTTTGCAATTGCATGTATCCTTTTTCGACAAGGAAGGGCAAGGCTGTAAGATTGGGCTATCGGAGGCAGAAAGAAAACGAATCGGCTTTTTGCTGAGCCTGATTAAGCAGGAGCGATACAGGCCCATCCCCAGGCCTCTACATGGCCAACAATTAAACCGCTGTTCCCGGAATGGGCTTGACATGCCCTTGCTATTGATTAGTAGGCAGCAATCACCACTCTGCCAACTGGAACTATAATCTTTTATTTATGCCGCACATTTGTTGCTTAATGGTCACTCTGCGCGCCGTGTGTTTCGAAACTGCTCAACACCGGAAGATTAATTATTAATCCAATTACCGCAAGGATTCTTGCTACCACTTGAAGTGAGCAATGAAAATTTCAGGGCAGTGCAAGGTATTTGCATACAGGGCAAGTGAGAACGCACTCCTAGTAAAGAGAGCATGCAATTTTAATGCTGCTCTTCCAGAAGAGAATATTGAATCTGACCTGCAGCGGGGGAAACATTGATTGCAGGTGAACCATGAAAATGTGCCGAGGGAAAGCCCTAGTCAGGCGAACAAAGTAATTTTCCCGTGCACAGACACAAGACGCGAAGATGTAGTCGGAATCCATCCAGTTAGTTCAACTTGGGTGAGTATTGTTCACCTTAAGATCTGGATATAATATGTTTTCAGCTCTTTTACGAAATAGTCCGCAAAACTAGATGCAAAATGTTTCTTAATCTATGTCTCTGCTTAACTCTGCATAACTGTGAATGTAAATTCAACGTTATTATCAGTTACACAGGTAAAATCTGGTGGGATTGTTGATCGCGCCTCGGTCATTCTTTGTCCTTCTTGAATGTCATAACTGGCCAAGACATACATTTTGGAGGACAGTATGCCATTATTCCATTCTACCACTATCCTATGCAAGCTTCCTTCGTAAATGCATCTGTTTTAATGACAACTTCTGTACCCACCTGTTTAGGTTGGAGCTGGACAGCTGGACATCCAAAGGTTGGAAACTGTTGGCCAGGTTGTTGGTGTAATCCACGTTGTTCTGGATGGGTGCTATTTGTGCCTGGAATGCCTGAAAAACACAATTCAACCATTCAGACATTCTACCCTTAGTGAAGGTGAACTTGAGTTAATTGCGATCCACTTTAAGTGTGAATTTAGCTGCTATGAAAGGCAAGCTATTCTTATAGACTAAGTGGTTTTAGGTACTGTACCTAAAATGTACATGGATATGCTGAAGAAATACAGCAAAGAACTGCTCATTACTATCATAGAAATGGCCAGTGACTGCTAAGTTTGTGCTTTGATGCCAAAAAAGTGAGATGAGGTCTTACCAGAATAGCAATATCCAAGAAGGCAAAAATGAAGAGACAAAAACGTTACTATTCAATGTGTATCATTGTAAAATGCAGACTAAATGCTTAAGAGAAATTCATCAAGTGATATCTTTCAAATAATATAAGATTTGACACTGCAAAGCATCTTTTATTCGATGTATATATATTATTATGAATGTTGATGCTGCATACATGTGTTAGAGATAAACTAAAGATGACTTATTTATATGAAAGAAGAAGTTTCCCACCTTGACGTCGTCGATCTGATCCTGTAAGTTGTCGATGATGAGGTCTCCGACCGGCAGCCATGACGCCTTCAGCGTCTCCCCCTCATGCAGCTTCCCGCTTAGGTCGTTCATCGCGTCGTGCAGCTGGCGCAATTTCTGTGAAAAAAGAAGAAGAAGAGAGTGATAAATTTCTTTCTGAACTATCAGCGCACAATGAGGGTGAGGAATTCTATCGGAGAAACGGGTGCTTGAGAAGTAACACCTCGGCGTTGCCTATCTCTTAACGATTGCAGTTTCCCTTCTAATGGCGGCTATTTGGACGCGTGCCGAGGGCCTTATTACTGCACTTCATGATGGAAAACTTCCATCCATAACCAGCCAATGTCAGAAAGCTTTTGTTAACCGCCCTCAAGGAGAGGCGACGTTAATTTAACTCCTTCAATTTCCCACGATTAATTGATGTTTGCCGCGAAATTAGTCCTGGGGGGATGCGGAAAATATTCGGGGAGCCACATATCATTTCAATATGGGGAAGGTTATATAATTATCCTTCAGTGTTCAACTGTTGAAAACACTGTGGTAATAAATTCTAACTACAAAATTTGATTTGGTGTTGCCAAACTGTGCTGGAATTAAAAGAAAGCTGACAGTTAGTCAGGAAAATGAGCCATCCTGAGATCGACTAGGACTACAACATTTTATTGATCCTCAATCGAATTTCCTTATCCACTTGAGTGTGCACATGGTAGGTCATGGGAAGGGTAAGTACCCGGAGCTGTAAACGACAACACCGGTGGGTATTGTATCATCCTACCACAACATGACTCTGCATATGTAGAGAGGAGAGGCAGCAGAAAGCATTGCCAAGACCTATCATCAATTTATGATCAATAAGATTAATGAATAGATTGTAAATTACCTTTAAGTGTCTTTGCCTGTGACTGGATTTTAGGCAAGGGAGTACTTTAAGAAATGGCATGGAGAAGATGGAAGTGCATGTATCAAACCTCCCCTATATCACAGGACTCTGCTAATGCACTGTCAGGCCATTTGTAGTCCCTGCAGGTGCATGCATGGTCTCTAACAGTCGTATCAATTCTGTATCATGTGCCACAGTTCAACAATTCATGACTGTTATTAAGGCTGCACAGGTTGATCCTTTCAAATACGAGCAGCCTTCTCGACTTTGTAATACACTTTGAAGAATGAATGAGGTTATTTGTAAACATTGTACCAAAGATAGGGGGAATTTGTGGTCAAAGAATTCAAACCCTGCAGTGTGAATTCCATTTTGAAGAAAAAAAAAACAAATTTGTCCTTCAGTCAACAAAAAACAACAACAGCACAGACCTCCTTCCCACCATCTATAATGGTTATCCCCTAGATCACCCTAATATCATATGCCACTGCTTAGCTGAGAGAAGAATGGTTTAAGCGAGCATTTGGCAGATATTCAATCTACAGGTCACCTTGGCAGAACGCAGCAGGTTCTGATACAAGCTCAGCAGGCTGCAGGAATGAACAAGTGGCCTCGCGGCTGGGTGGCAGCTTCTCCATAACCAATCCTCAAAGATGGTCTATACCTGCTAATGGTCTCGTTTGCAGGCTTACGTCTCCTCCGAGTATCGATTCGGGGCCAGTTTCTTCTTACAGAAGAAGATAACTGATGATTTTGACGCTAATGTTCAAGGCCACCATCATTTCTTTCACGGTAATGACTGAATTGAACTGATTAAATCGGGGCCACAGCTTTTCTGGATGGCATTTTCTGAGGAAAATGAGTTTCAGGCAACCTTTGCCCTACGTAAAATTGTTCTTCAGACATGAAAAATCAATGACCTAAGATTGACTTTGTAGACATTTAAGTTGAGGACTGTGTCTTTAAAGTTTATGACCTATTTATACTGGATGCAGACATTACAAATACTACAATCATGAATGATGGATTTCCCTCTGTCATTTACATATCAATTGAGAATCAGATACTCATTTTTATAGAGATTACACTTGTCTTCAGACTCATTCTCAGTCACCGATGAAAGATAGCAGATAATATCTGAAACGTCTTTGACTCTTCAGACTTTTATCCAGCTGCTTGATTTATTTGATATTAAATGATATAAGAACACACAAAATCTACCATGTTGAAATTCAGACCTTGAAGATTAGCTTGGGATAAGAGCTAAAGGGCATTTCAATAAGATCAAATTTTTATGTATTAATTTTATTCATTGGAATTGCAACAATGCATTAGGCACCATTGCTAATATCAATTGCTATCATATTCCAAACATACACATCTACGTTGACTACATTAACCCTGAATAAGATTTACAAATGTGATATTTTAAGTTGTCTTTCCATAGTTAATGTTAACAGTGTTACAGGTATCAAGTCAAACATTTAAGAACATAAAATGTACATACGTTCAAGACGTCGTCTATCCTCTTCTGCCAGATGTCCGACCTGCCTTGGAGCTGCGCCCACTTGTCTGTCAGTGTCTTCACTTGTCTCTTCAGGTTCCTGGCGATCTCCTTAGCCTGCTCTTCCGGCGTCAAACCAACCTTGTCTTCTTCTGTGCTCAGCTCATCACTGAGGCTTGTTGCTGTGGAGGAAAAGACGTCACCAAAAAAGGATTAAGGGTTGCTTATTTTAAAACGTTTTGACTCTTACATACACCATTGTCACTTACATCTAACACAGAACAAGATCACTTGGTCTGAACAACTTGAACATCATCCTGTTTGCTTGCTTGTATACTATAATCAAATAGAGTACAGTATTGAAAATCTTTTATGTCTTGTCTGATGTTGTTAAGATGACAAGGTCATAGGAAAAAATACCCTTCTGTCTTCTTTGCAATCATGATAGAACATAACTTTTTATCAAAAAGGTTTGTCCAAATCTTTATCACAAGCAAACTCAACATGAAGAAGGGAAAATGGAAGACACGACACTCCAAAATGCTACACTTCTACTACACGTATGTTGGATGGAAATTCACTCTGGAGCAAAGCAGATAGACTTACCTTTGTTTGGGCTGGTATAGCATTTCTAACCTCAATCAAAGGACATTCACAGCTGAAGCAAGATGACTATACACCATGTCGATGTTAGTGGATAAAGAAGAAGTTGTGGTTAGACGTGAGGACAGCAGAGGTAGCAGCAAACCGGAGGGAGAGTAACGAGAACATGACCCAACGTGGCAGGAACAGCAAAAGATACGGGAACTCCAAAAAGAATTATAGTCCAGCACTTTGAGTAAACTAGAATCCCCGAACAGGAAAATTATGTGTGGACTTCAGGTTTTGAGGTAAATAGAACAGACAGGTCTCAGACAGTTTACCTGGTAGCAGTCAATTAGTTAGGCACAAATGTACATGAAAATGATCTAATTGCAGAGAAAACTTGCCTGGCAAAGTCTGATAAAAAGCCAACGGAAACATGACTAGTGAGGTTACACAAATCGGTCCCTTGTTTTGACTGGCAATATCCTCAGTTTACTATGTGGTGCCAGTTTCTTAAACAGGGTGGCACTTGTGTCAGAAAGTACCAATGTCAACATGCAAGTCCCAGCTCCTATCAAGGACTTTTCTATACTGTTCTCGCTCTTATCACTCTTAGAAACACAAGTGAACTTTTTCTTATAGATCACAATATTTTTTAAAAAGGCATGACAAGGCTTGAAATTACTTCAGCTGACAACAAAAACATTACCCTGATAAACTATCTGAGACCTGTTGTTAAAACCTGGAAATCACCCCCAATTTTTTACATGCAAACGTCCAAAGTACACCGTAGATATTGGCTCGTCATGAACCACTGAACTTAGAAAAGGAGAGGTGTACAGGTTGTTGGATCTCTGTTCCGTGCCACTACCTGTGAGGTCAGACTCGCCGCTGGTGTTGAGGGTACTCCTGCTGTCCTCACCTTGCTCCACCAGGTACTCCTTACCCGTCTCCAGACTGGTCTCGATCAGCGGCCTCTTGTCCTCCACCGACTGTCGGAAGAGCTGCGGGGAGACGTACAGAAACATTTCCCTCAAAACCCGCTTCAAAAGGACGCACAGGTGTAATCAAAGGTGCGGCTGTATTAGCCCTGGCAGGGAAGGAAAGGCCTGTCGACTGGCTGAATTCCAGGAAGGCTTTTAGCACCCATGACACCAACTTGGGATCAATAAGTGATGAACACGGAACACTGACACAGACAGATGCGATTTCCTTGTCCTAAGCCAAGTGACTGGGGAGGACATATCTTCTCAATGGCATTTCCTGATCTAATCATTCTTTTACTGTGTAACATGGCTGCCAAACGGTGCTATTTAGTGCCATTAGAGCCATCATATCAAAGACAAAAACTTTAATGTTCTACCTATCCATACATATACAGTGATGCTATTATATATATTTATAGACTCAGTGAAGATACAAGTATCATTACAATTAATACATCTCATGATGTTTTACCTTCCGATACATTCAACAATGATCTTGCCACCTTTCCACCCACAGAGCTAGTCTGAGAATCTCAGATCACTACTACTTGATGTAATCTATCTAAAACAAAGCCAGCAAAACTGAACCAGATTTAACCAGTACCAACTGAACAGTAGTAGCTCTACAACAAGTCCTTACCTTGTGGTCTGCTTGCTGCTGCTGTACAGTGTTGAGGTCCCCTCCGATTGGCTGCATGCGCGTGAGTTCATCCTCCTTGATGGAACACCATTCGATCAAGTCCTGCAGGGTAATGAGCAGCTGGTTCCACTGCTCGATATTTGCCTCCAGTCGTTGTCTGTGGGAGAAGACAGGGAGACGTCCCAGAGTTAGTCCATCCCATCTATCACCCTCCAGTACAGAGAATAAATGGCTGCCAGGATGATCCAATTGCGGAGGTCGTATCTCATGATTATGTCTGTTGTCTTTATCAGACTTTGGTTCCGCTAAGTGCATTACAAATGTACCTACTCAATGAGAAGCTATCATCATTGGTTACAGTTGCTCTCATCATACATTGTACCATGGATTTAGGTCCCTAACATTTCCCAACCTCTCTTTTACTTAGTGAACTTAGATTCTCCTATTAAAAGAAAACACGTTTTCAGATTAAAATATATAAACTATCATACAAAGACAACAATTCACCAGTTTAAAGGACATTTAGCTATACATATGACTAAATGATTGGCCATACTTTGGTGAAGGTTAGTCATCCAGGTAATAAGATATGCCAAAAAACGTTACTCAAGCAACTAGATATGATTTTGGAAAGGGTCATCCAAAATCATATCCAGTTGCTTGAGTAACTGTTTTTGTGTATTGGCCATACTTGTTTAGGTTGCTTGCACATTTCCACCACAAACCATACATACCTGATGTATAACTTACAGATGATTGGGCAAGTATGTTACAATAAGTCCAGGCCTGTTTCTAGACTCTTGTACATATACCTGTACCTGTACATGTGCCTAAAATTTGCCTGTACAGCTCCACCACAAACCATACATACCTGATGTCCAGCGACTTGCTCCTGAGCGCCGTCCACCGGTCATTCATGTTCTCCAGGCGGCGCTGGAGCATCTGGGCATCCTCGCAGTGCTCGATGCTCTGCAGGATGTGCCGCCCCGTGTCGTTGAGCGAGGACCAGACATCTTGGTGAGCATCGATCTCAGCCTGCAAGTCCTACAGAACAACAGCAACAAGCCGGTGTCAGGTCTAGCGTCACTCTTTATGCTGGCCTTTCTGTCTCTAATTGATTGTTTATTTGTTATGATGATGACAAGAGTTAAGCACATTGAATCTTTCTCATTTCTGATACTGGATAGCCTATAAGCAGAAGCTGGACTGAACAACTTGACAACAAACATAATCATCATATGCTGAACATCAACAAAAGCTTGTCTCTTTACATACAAACAGAAGTAGAACATTAAGCTTAATGATTGTAACACAAGCAAAATGAAAAACAAAACAGCAGTACAAATCAAGCTACAGGACTGTTACACATCTACAAGCTGGCAGCTGCTACAGCTGAAAAGGGAACAGATTCCAGCGGATCAAGAAAAAACAACAAACTTAGATGATGTGAGTACAGTACAGAGTACTAAAAAAAACAGTGTTACATCCAGTATTACTACGTCCAGCATTACGTTTCGGCCTCGACTAGTATCAACCGTACTGAAACAAACCCATGTCCTGAGAATTCCACTAGTTAGGCAGAATGTTAACAACAGCAAAACCATACAAACCATGTGTGAAAAGACAACCTGTGAAGCTGAGATCGTAAACGTACTGCCTACAGTTTTTTGACAGATTCCAGAAAAGAGTATTCCTCTAGCCAGGCCTGTGGTATGTTGCTATGAACCTGTACGGGTGGTTGAGCATTCTGCACCACCAACAAACTGCCAAGGAAGATCAGTAGAGTATCATGACTCTATAAGTGCCCTGGAAGAACTTCTTAATCTCACCTGGGTCCTGTTACCTGACATCAAAGAATGGAGAGTAAGATAACCTTGTTTACTGTCAACATGGGAAAATATCACTCTCTCTTTAGGTCAGGTAAGCCTCATGTAATGTAGAGAAAGTTGTCAAGTCTTATTGATGGAGGGCCTTATTGATTGAGTTAAAGTACGATGGGCCTTGAATCTAATAAAGTGTAGAGCCTCTACCAATTATGAAATGCTGCCATATTCAAAATTGTACTGTACCTCTCACCATCTCTATCTTTACACAAATACTGGACAAATTCCTACATCATGACTTCACAAATGTCCTGTTGAAAATTGTTCTTTTCCCCCAAGACTGGATCTAAAAATAGTGTTAATGCTTGGTATGAGGACCATGTTGCTACTGGTGTAGCTGGCATAAGCCAGGCATTTCGCAAACCACAAATCACGCGGAAGTTGCTTTAATCCACGCTGTACCTCTTTTAGATTTACTCTGGCAGGAAAAACACAGCTTTGTTTTTTGTCATCACTGAGGCTGAGGCCATGCCACAAGGAACGACACAAGTGTGTCATTGTTTGGAGTCATATTTATCCCCCTTTCCTATGCAGTCTTACACGTGCCATGTGTACGGGATTGAACAGTGTCAGCTCTACTTTTCCTTGATAATACAGAGGCTATGTCAGGAATCTGTTTGCTTTTGAAATTAGCTTAAGCAGAGAATGCCTTGAACTTCAGCTTGAAGAAAGTCCCAATGGTCACATGCTTATACCACTGGGTGGGAGGGTGGAAGGCTATACCTAAAATAGAGAAGACAACCTATCATTTTTACTGCCTCACTCGCATACAATACTAAACCCAAGCTGACAGCATTCGAACTTCCCTATCTTCAAAGTCAGACAGAAATCCGTGACTCGTAACATTCTGCGCAGTAAAGTTCGTGTAGCGCCTGAGGATTACTTTTCCCTGTAATGTCAACATTCGGTCAGGGTCACAGCTTTTCTGATGGAGCGCTCTGACTTCTCTCAGTCGGGACATCAGTAACTGTCTGGATGGGTCTTGGCCAAACACTGCTGTCACAGAACTATAGCAATCTAGGCATTCCCGGAGGGTTCTGTCAAGACCAAGCAAACCTAAGTGGGTACAATGGACAGTGGAGCCTGCAAAGAGAAGCCAACTTGAATCCCACCTATGCGAGGCATGCGGGAATAACCACTCAAGCTGGCCTGAACTCGGCTCACTTCTTCACAAGCTATTAACAGGTGCTACACAGAAAACCCTGTGTGAAAGTAAAAGATCACGAGTGAGAAATGTTTGGGATTTCACTCGACTTTTGAGGACCACACTGCTCCTAACACCTGAGTCATCTATGTCACAATTGCCATGGCAACTGATGCAGGTGAGCCTAATGCCCCATCTTGGAGCAGTCTCTCTTTGAGCTGTTGCCGCGACAACAGATGCGGGGCACACGTAGGGTTAATCCTCCACCATTTAGAACGCTGCAAATCTTTCACAGGATGAATTTTAGTCATCAGTTAACCGGTTCAGGTTTCAGCCCGTCACACAATATTGCTGAAAACGACCTCCATGGATGGGAAAATCTGCTCCTGTGAAGTTGCACATTGAGTGCTCTTAAGCTGTACAGGCAGGAGAGAGAAAATAATTCTTCTCACCCCCCCTTCTCTTTCTGACAACCTGCCAAGTCTACAGTGATGTCAAGCAGCATTCCTGGCCCATGCACAATTCTTGTTTTCAGAGTCAGTACTGTCATTGGTGGGCCCGAGATGGGAACCATATGTTGATGCAACCCAGGATCATCACCTTGAGGGTTGGAATGAACTTGGGTTTGACCCTCATTAACTGTTGTTTCTCTTTTAAGTCTCAAAGGAAAGCATTCCGAAAGACTCTGGAGGCAAGGCCAAACCCTGGTTGAGAAAACTTTTGTGGCCCTTTGTAACATAGACACTAAATCATCAGTACTGTATTGCATTTATTTACCTACTGTCATGCGTTTATGTACAGCAGTGTGAAATATAGTATAGAAAACCAAAAGTTCTTGGTCTACAGTTACATTACCAATCTGCTGCCTAACCCAACAACCAATACAAATTTGATTCCAAATGGCTACTCCTCTGTAGACTGAAGGTTACCGGTAATAGTGGCTGTGGTTCACATACTTCCAAGAATTCATCCTCTTGGACTCAAGGTGCAAAATCATTAATTTCACAAAAGGTTCAGTAAATTCATAAACTTGAGTGACTTTTTTCCACATTTCTGAAATATGCATCTTACAAGGACACCAAAACCTTACTTTTGAAACCCATACAAATTTTCATCAACACCTTTGAAGATAATAAACACAACACAAATGTAACAGTTCCTCCCTAACCAGCAGGCATGATCAGCTATGATCTTGGCTGACGTTGTTTGTACCCCAAAGGCTCGGCTACCATCAACAGTCTCGGCCAACTATTTCAGGAAAGCCTGCTTTGCCTCAAACAGGCACTTGACCCTGTCACTTAATGTGCTCAAAAATGTGTGTTTACAAGTTTCCCCCGCTGCCTGAGGTATTTTGGCCAGGCCACAATTTAATGTTTGACTGGCAAAGGACTTTCAACATTTTGTTTCACCAAGGACAAACTCGTAAAAGTTTAGTACTGTTGACTTTGTGATAATGTCTACACGGCTGACAACCTACTCAAGTGACACAGGCCAAGTGTCAGAAAGCAAAGTGACTTTCCATTCTAAGAACTCTTCGTGCTTCATAAATTACACCTGCTACACAAGACAGGCCCAGAATATGAAACACTTTATCTGGATTGTGCTTTTTCAAACTCTAAAACTATCTTTCCAGATCTTTGTAGTAACTTTAAGAATGCAACTAAAACCTGTAGCTACTGATCATCATCATGAAAAGCTACTTGTAAGAGCATTTAGAAATTGGAACTCTGAAGTACGTAAGTAAACAGGCTTTAGAGTGATTGGTTTAGAATGTAAACAGCTCAAGAAAGGTGTATCAACAACTTTCCGCCCACCTCTGACCAAACCAGGATGCAAACAATGGGATACAGCAACAGAACAGGATACACTGTTATTATTGTTCTGACAACTTTTCCTGTTTTGTGTTGAAGTCTGAAGTATTTGTGATGCAATAAAGAACTGAAGATTCTGCCCAAACAAATTTCAGTGGTGACATGAAAATTGTTCCTTCACAAAATATCACTGCTTAAATATGAGTCTGTAATGTCACACAAGCAGATTATAATGTGCCATACTTTTGAATCAGGATCATAAATCAAATCCTCAAAGAAGTTCTGGTGTATTAAACCTAGGTTATAGCATTGTCTTACACATGTTATCCTTCAAATCCTCGCCGACCCTGACAACCAGGAACCAATTTGCACTACCGTTGGTACGTGTGGTCTCAAGGCCAGGAAGAAACACTGAAACTGTCTACAGTCTAGCAAGTTTTCTTTTCCACATCCCCCACTGTCCTTGTCCTTGACTTCTCTGACAAAGTCAGGAAAAACAACTGACTTCCTCCTGTAACTTCTTGACACGTTGGGAATTTCATGCAGTTTTTTGTGTGGCTGTTCTAAAGGCAATTTGTTCCTAGTTTTGTAAAAAGTAAGATTTGAAAATCTAGTATCCAGTGGCTTTACATTTTCCCAAACAACCATTAACTGCCGACTCTATAATGGCACCAACCTCCCAAGATGATGAAGAGTTAGTAAAAGGCCTTAATCCCAAACACAACAAATGGAATGGTATCAAAACAAACCAAAAAGCCACATTGAAAATACTCTTAGTCTTAGGAAATGTTATTACATTAACAAAGGTCCTGTGATTTACATGTTGGGGAAATCCACAAAGAGGACCATGACAATTTATTGCGTGACATGTATGGAGTTTATAATCACAGCAAAAATGAGACCTAGTATGTCTTAAGTGCTTCTAAAAAACACCAAATCAAACCATTCAGTACAGTTTTTGAAGTACTGGGTGGCTGCCAATACTGCATGTGATTGTCACACACTGTGACCATCTTCTACTAG